ATTTTCAGGTGATAAGGCGGGTGGCAGGGGTAGGGGGCAAAGTTCGCCCCACTCTTCAAGTACCCCCCCCCCCCCAAAGGGCCACTTTTACTTTGTAAAGAAGTGCCCCTTCCCCTTTTTAACTCGGATAAGCGCACATTTCATCAACACATGTGCCCCCTTTCCTATCTGATAAGGGCTATTTAGAAAAATAAGGCCCTTCATAAATAAAAAGTGTCCCTTTTCATCTCTGGTAAATGACCATTTTCATATATGAGAAGTTAATTCTTTTTACTTCAGTGCGCTCTTCACCTCTGATAATTGCCCCTATTCAAATCTGAGAGATGCTCGTTTTACTTTGAAAAGTACCCCTTCCCCTCCTGATAAGTACTCTTTTCATCTATGATGGGTGCCCATTTTCACCTTTGCTAACTGCCCTTTTATTTTGAATCGTGCCCCTTTTCCTTTCTAATAAGGGACCTATCCCCTTTTCATAAATGCCCCTTTTCACCTCTGATAAATCAATTTCTGATGGATGCCCCTTTTCCATCGACAAATGCCCATTTCCCATTCTCAAAAGTGCCCTATCTCATTTCTGGTGAGTGCCTCCTTTCAGGTGTAAGAAGTGCCCTGTTTGAACCTTTGATAATTACTCTTTGTACCTTGACACATGCTCCTTTTCTTTTCTAATAAGTGTCTTTATCCCTTTCGATATGTGTCCCCTTAACCTCTCATCATCAGGCACGTAGGCACGGGGGGGGGGGGGGGGGGGGGGGGGGGGCACATGCCCCCCTAACCTGCTCATCATTAGTCTTGCACCTAATTTAAAGCGACTAAGAGTAATTTCCCCTAAAGCTCGCTCACTCGCTCGCATTTATAGATATACAATTATATGCCCCCCTAACCTGCTCATCATTAGTCTTGCACCTAATTTAAAGCGACTAAGAGTAATTTCCCCTAAAGCTCGCTCACTCGCTCGCATTTATAGATATACAATTATATGTCACTTTAAAAAAAATGTTTTTTCAGTCTTCCGTGATGCTTATAACCCCATCAGGATTTGGTTTTTTCCTCTTTATAGGATGTAATTTTTCACTCTGCGACCTCCCAGATCTTACATTTTTTTGCTTTGCTCGCTCGCAAATGAATATTCAGACAAAAACACCCAGCCGAAAGTGTGATGCTTAAGCAATATCTTGTATGATATATAAAGAAAAACAAATATTGAAATTGTCCCTGATAATGGTATCACAATGAAAGGGTATATACCAATGTCTAAAAAATTGTATATTTTCGCTTTGAGATTTTGCTTTGTAGGTGCCCTTTTTGTTGGTGCTTTCCACTTTGTAAATAGCTCCGCCGCCCCTGCTTACGCATTAGCGCCAGCGTTAATTTCACGCTTTCGCGCACAGGGGATGTCTCTGTATGTGTGTGTGTGTGTAGGGGGGGGGGTTCCTCTCTAGCTCTGAAACTGATTTTTTTTTTTACCTGGATTCGTGCGATTCGGTTAATACTCTTAGAGGGAGTCTGAGGGGTGATGTGCCCCCCTCTGAAGCTGACATTTTTTGGATTTTTGAAACTGGATTCGTGCGTTTTGGTTAATACTTTTTTGGGGAGTCTGATTTGATTTCAAAACACCTGCAGTTCATGCGGGATGGGGTTGCAGCCTCTCTTTCCCGAAAATTTAAAAACTACCAATATGCATTTGTTATATCTTATCTCGGTATATTTTGGTGACAATTAATACTTTTCACAACATACATAAGCTCAAATTTCCGCTCACTCGCTTCGCTCACTGGCCAAATTATTAAACCAGGAAATAGATATTGGGGCAAGAGGCTTCAGCCCCCACTGATGGAAATGTCAAAAAAATTGCGCGCGAGCATAACTTGAAAACGGGGAATGTTGATATCAGACAAGAGATGTGATGTGAGCATGTCCCCTTTTCAAAATAATTGTGCCCGTTTGTAGGTACCAGTACACTATTAAAGTACAGTGCTTCTAATATGACCTTGTCAGTATTGGTAAGTTTAAATAACGGTCTGCACGAATTTCGAAATCCTGGATCTGCGCCTGTCATTGTCACATAAAATAAAGGTAGCGAAACTAGGTAGGTAAAGGAAGCGAAACTAGCGACGGGAAATGCCTGAAATAGGCTTTATGCTAAAGATGCTGCGCTATTCATAGTAACATGTACCATTTATAGACAAATAATTCATATTTTCAAATGCATAGTGAATATCCACTGCACACAGGTTACCTCACAACAGGATACCGGTAATGATCGAAACATTTCAAGTTTACTATCAGGCTCATTATGACTTAACCAAGTGCAGTGCATACCACTAATGCACGAGCTTCAAAATACAAATTATTTGTTTTATAAAACAGGTCAAAAGGTAAAGATGAGAAATAAGCCAATCAAATGTCAAGAATTGCACAGTCATGGGGGCTGCCACTTGATTTGAATGATATCACAGTCCCAGTATAAGCGCAGCCTAACAGTGTAATGCATGTCTCATTGTGCACATCAATGTCCTTGCAATATAAAACTGCATGCAAAATGATGCATTTCATTGCGTCTTTATTTTGTACATACCAGAGATACGCATGCATGCATGCCTGCAGCTTAGCTGTGCATCATCATCTCTTTACATGTAGGCGTGGTAGGAATTGTATTTAATCTTCTGGCCATGTGGTGTCTTTCGACCAATACATTCTAGGACCCTTAATCTTAATCTTTTCAATGAATGCCTGCGGCTGCTAGGCCTAATTAATGGTCCTTGCAGGGCAGCCCCTGGGCAGGTAGTTTGGTTTTGGGCATGTCTAAATATCTCTTGTATCCATAGTTTCTGTTCACACATTTTACATATTCTAAGCATTGAAATAGATTAAAGAGCTTCTATTCTTTTGCAGGGGCTCTTTCAGGGTTTTATATTCAAATACCTGGCAGTCTTTTTTTCCTTGGCATACAAAGGAAAGGAAAGCATTAATATGAAAAGCCAGGACTTGACCTGATAATTAAATGTAATGGTGCATGCAGGGCAGGTAGATTTGTTTTGGACATGTCTAAATGTCTGTTAAATTCATAAATTATGCAGAGCTGCCAAACATTACGTTTTTCCATAAAATTGAGGTATACCTGGATATATAAGTTTTATATTTCATCTAGTATACAAATGGCCTAGTCATGATGCATGCGCATGAGTTCATTATACGATCTATCCGCACTTGAGTTGAGGCTGTGTGTATCTATTGCACGAAGCCGTTAGGCTGAGTGCGATAGATACACACAGCATCAACGAGGGCGGATAGATCGTATAGTGAACGAATGAAAGCATGCATCATTTGTTATTTGATGTAAAAAGAATTCATTCAAGATTGTTTTATGACAGTATGGCTGACAAGTTTGTTCTTCATAAAATATTTAAACATTTAATTTATTTTTTTGTTTTTTTGTTGTTGCACATTCCGCACGTCAACCCAATGCCCTAAAATGCGGATCACTACTTCGATAGAGATTCATGAAGAGTATGAATTTACAAATAAAAAAATAAAAATTGAAAGGCGTAAATATTCTCAAAAAGAATGTAACGCAGATAATACAAAAAAAAACAACAACAAAAAACTACCTACTTGTAAATAAACTACCGTATAGGGCATAATATGGAAAAAAAACAGCATGAGGAATGAACATTTATGCATTTGAAGTGTTGGTTGTAAGTCTCGCTTGAATGAACTCCTGTTTTTTGAAATGATGGTTCCATGATGCCCAAGGTTGGCAGCTCTGTTTACACATTCCAAGCATTGAAATAGATTATATAATGGTACTTTATTCTTTTGCAGGGGCTCTATTTAGAGTTTCACTTTTAAATGATCTTTTTTTTCCCTTGACTATTAGAGAGAAGTTTGAGTTCTTGGAAGAGGTGAACAATTATTTGTGAGCATCATCATTGTTATTATGCAAGGGTGGAAGAACATCAGATAAAACATGTTCCCTGAAAAGTGTGGCTCTTCAAATGCTTTCATATTCTAAATATATGGCACGTTACATCGTAAAAATCGGGACAGATTTTTATGCCACATGCTCGTTTAGTCCCATATACATCCTTCTGTGTACAGTGCTTGTAACTTAACCTAGACTTGGCCAAATTTCTTATCATTTTGATGATTCCAGAACCTTGCAATACACACAAAAAATTATATGCTAGATGATAAACCTTTTCTGATCGATTCCACACCATTTCTTTCATAATGCAATCGCATGACCATAACTGGTCTTTATCTTTAACTTGTGGGGGAAAATTCACAATTGGTCGTCATTTGTCTCTCTAGGAGTCATTTTTATATAATTATTTTGTGACATGTTCAACATGTTGATATGATTTCATTTCAACTAGTATTTCTGAACAATTGTTTACAAGAGTTCACCATAATTACACAAAATTTCAGCTCTGGAAAGCTCTTTAAAAATTCTTTAAAACTCTGGAAATCTCTAAAAGAGCTGTGGTAAGAATAACTTTTTGAGAATTTAAAAACTTTGATTAAAGGAAAGTACCATTGTCATAATCAAGTGAGAAAGTCAAGAAGTCGAGAAAACCCAAGAAAATTCAGAGACACTGATCAAAAGGTTTGAGGTAAATGAAATAAAATAGTTTGAATGATTTGAAGCAGGCTCATGGGGGCAAATTGGCAACTCTGTCATGAGGTTGTGATGTCATAATGTCCCTAATCACCAATTGCTATGTATAATTTTGATATCCTAAATTTCTCAATTTCCCCATGAATCAGATTTCTTTGGGCCTTTGCCCTTTGTCCATGTCATATTTCTTAGGCATACTCATTGACGGGCATCCTAATGTACCTTGTATTCATTTCTTAACCAGTTGATCAAGGGTATCTCTGCTTCATTCATAAGACCATAACACACAATTGTTTGATATCTTCAGGGATAAATGTTAATAATTCATCGCATATGTCTGTGTGCATGTACTAAAAGTCAAATATTGTCCTGTCCACAGCTTGACCTGCAGAAGCCGCTGAGTGACCAAGGCCCATTCTCGGTCATCTTTCACAAGTTGACCGATGTAGTTACACAGGCAGCAAAGGGAGACAACAAAGCAAGATGTATGATAGATAATTTAGAGGTAAGCATAGAATTGTCAGCAGTGTGGACTGTATTTTGTTAGAATTGGAAAGATATTTTGACTTATACAGTAGGCTTGCGGGTGCACCATGTGAGAGAGAGAGAGAGAGAGAGAGAGGATTGAGGAGTGCTGAAAAAGGACTTTTGGTAATCTTTCTTGGGGGTGTGTAGTCCTGAAACGGACTGTTTGTGTAGTCTTGAAAAAGACCGATGGTTATCTTTCTTAGCTTATAGTTCTAAGGAGAACTATAGCGCTTGGAGAGGATGAGTGGCGGGAGTGGCTCGATGTTTCGAACAGGTTGACTATCCGTCGTCAGCAGTGGAGAATAGCTGGCGTGCGTGAGCTTAAGTCACCGGGTTGCGGACGTCGGGGGAAAAATACATGACCGTGTGGGCTTTAACTTGTAATGCACACATGATTGACAGCTTCCATCTTTAAACAAATGGATGCCCTGTGAAATATGAACCATTTTAAAAGTTATTTTTTTAAAGATACTTTAGAGGATTCTAGATTCAATGAGGTACTGGTATGACATATGAGGGCAAGTACTGAAAAGAAAAATGCCCAACAAACAAACAGGTTTGTTTACTCTCACTATGAACATGACTGACAAAGAAAGCGGACAAAATGTACAGTTCCTCAGATAGACAAAGGAACATCCCTTCACTGCTATTATGAAAAAATGTGTAGAACAGGTGTCACATGCATATTCACCTTTTTACATAACAGCAGTGAAGGGATGTTCTTTTGTCTACCTGAGGAACTGTATAGTTTGTCCGCTTTCTTTGTTCGTGATGTTCATAGTGTCTTTAGCACAGTGGGGGTCACATTAATATAAAGGATTCATTGAGGTATGACATACCAGAGCCTTGTCTGTATAAAATTATCAACCACAGCCTTTCAACTGGCATACTGAGGCAATGCAGATAATGTCCATGTTTGAAATTGGCACCTATAGACAAAATGATGTCCTGTGTGCCAGTTGCTGAAAGGAGTCGGAAGTCACAATTGGTTATTGTAGTGTGGTCAATCAAGGGACCAGAAAAGTAGAAAGAAATCAGGATGATGTTTCAGTTTAATTATTTTAGAAAGAAAAAATGCAGACTTCTAACACCTGTATTGCTTAAAGATAAAGTTGAGTTCTTGTCGGGCGATTGCATTGTAAAAGAAACGTTGTGGAATCGATCAGAAAAGGTTGATCATCTACAGGTTGTAGCATATACATTGTAATTATTGGTGTGTACTGCAAGGTTCTGTAATCATTAAAATGATAAGAAATTTGGCCAAGTCTTGGTACAGTTATATGCACTGTACACCGAAAGATGTATATGGGACTACAAGAACATGTGGCATAAAAGTCTGTCCCGATTTTTATGATGATACATGCCATATTTAGAATATTAAAGATAAAGACCAGTTATGGTCATGCGATTGCATTGTGAAAGAAACGGTGTGAAATCGATCAGAAAAGGTTGATCATCTAGCATAGATGTACTGCAAGGTTCTGGAATCATCAAAATGATAAGAAATTTGGCCCAGTCTTCATAAAGTTACAAGCACTGTACACATAAAGATGTATATGGAACTAAGCACACATGCGTTTTTATCTCTCACATGATGATAGATAAACTAATTTACCAAATATATCAATTAGTATGCGGTTTCCCGGCAAATTTTTTATCATGTATTATTCAAAACATATTCTTTCACAAGATTGGTAATAAGAGCTTCCATTTCATTTTTTGAAATTTGGGCGTTTCCAATACTGGAAAGGCATTTGAAGAGCCATGCTTTTCAGGCAACATTTGTTATCTGATGTTCTTCCACACTTGCATAATACAATGATAACACCCACAAATCTTTGTTCACCTCTTCCCAGAACTCAACCTTCTCTTTAAAGATAAATACAAACTAATCTTTACAAAATACTTGAAGATTCGATGAGGTATGATATACATGTAAGAGGGCAAGTACTGAAAAATGTAAGAAAAAAAAAACAGATTAAAAAAAACTCTTTAGCACAATGCGGGTCACACTATAGAATTCAATGAGGTACGACATACAAGAGCCTTGTCAGCATAAAATTGTGAACCACAGCCTTTAAGATTGCATACTGAGGCAATGCAGATACTGTTGTTTGGAATTGGCACCTAGACCAAGTGATGTCCTGTGTGCCAGTTGCTGAAAAGAGTAAAAAATCGCAATTGGTTGTTGTAGTGTAGTCAAGGACGTTATTAACGGATCAATAATTAAATATAGTTTCAAATCCTCTAGAGTAAAATATAAATTCTTGCTCTGTGTTATAAGAATCTATGGATTTTATATTTATAAAGAACATCTTTTAGTATGATTCTTCCTAATGTTTGTGACTTTGTGTACATGAACATATGTTTGTTTAGCAATTTATAATGGCAGGGATTATTTCTTAAAGGGAGTGTAGCTTGGCAAATACTGGTTTAATAATAGTGCTGTAACATCACGGATATCTCCAATTCCGTTTAACCGCCAGTCAAAACCGGACGGTTTTCGGTTAAACGATTTAAAAAAATAAATAAATAAATAAATAAAAAAAATTTAAAAAAAAAAACGATTTTTTTTTTTTTTTTTTTTTTTTTTTTTTTTTTTTTTTTTTTTTTTTTTTACCGACTCTGTCGGCAACTTTCATTTAACTGCGAGGTGCATTTAAAGGGGCCGATTTGTGCTTGTGAACTTGTCACAAATAATAGTAACAATGTTGTTTTTAGAAGAATGTGTAAGATCATTAATATAAATTAAAAACAGTAGAGGACCTAGGACAGAACCTTGTGTAAAAGTTGGATGAATTATTATTATAAACTACATATTGAGAGGATGAGATCTATTACAAAGATTACTTTCAAACCAAGATGACAGACAAATTGGAGTGTTGTTCTAGTTTTAGAGTGGTGAGTCAACACACAGATTACTGAGCTGGGAGACATTGCCAGGCATAGTGCCAGGTGGAGGGGCATAAATCGAAACTTTAAAAAAAAAAAAAAAAAAAAAAAAAATTATAAAAAAAAAAAAAAAAAAAAAAAAAAATCGGGAAAACGAAACGAAAATGAAAACGGAATCCGCCATGGGCGGTCGGATACCGGACGGTTAAACGTTTGACTACAGCACTATTTAATAACGCCATCTAATTCTTCCTTTGGACAACTGCACGTAAATGAATGGACTTGATTAACGGTAGTCAGCGACTTAATCTCTACATGGTCAGTGTTTGCGAAACAGACCGAAGTTCTCCTCACGCTTCGGTTTCGCATATGTTGCACGGCACGTGATTGCTGCGGTCGCGTCGTCCGTAGTCTTATTTTACCCGATTGGCCCCGAGTCAGGCCTCGGGGGAAAGACACGTAGTCTCGTCAGGCTACGCTCCCTTTAAGCAAGGCAGATTGTCTCAAAATTTATTGGTACACACTGACTTTGCATTGTTACAATCCCAATGTTGTTGTGTGACTCAGTCGTGTTGACATTCATGTTGTAACTAGGGAAACTGACCGAACTTGGTCCGTAGTCTTACTCAGTCAATGTCTGTATGTACCTGTAGGGCTGAGTTGCAAAGACACTACTGATTGGATTAAAGTAAAATTTCTTTCTTTCTTTTTTTAGAGGCTCTTTTCCCCAAAGGGTCAGTCATCGCTGAGATATATGCATTTAATAAAATTGTTAGCAATGAAAAATTTGTATTTGATTAATCTAGTAAAGTATATATATATTTATTTGATTACAACATATGTAGAATTGTGGTAGTCATTAAAGAGTGTGGTTTGAAGATGGGTTCTGGAAAGAAGGTTTAAGTTTAATAGTGCACTGTACATGTACACTACTTGTAGGCCTAATTTTGTCTAAATGTATTTCCCCTAATCAAGGAGATAACTCCTTGCCTTAAAGCTCTTTTGTACTGTTTGCAGAAGTCAGTGTTAAATGACATCCTCTTTCACTTCTTTATACGATTGAAGTGAATGTTTGCCATCAAATTTTGTTGTACTCTCAACACTTTAGAGAGGCTTCAAGCAAAAAATTTCTTGAACAAATATAGGATGGTGGGAATGCTCCAAGCATTGATGTGGTTATTTATTATCATAGAGTTAGCAGGCACAAACCTTTGTCAATCATAGCATGTTTAATACTCTGCGTTGCTGAACTGTTAGACTATGCTGAGTGCACAGTCTGCGGCACCCCTAATAGGCCCTGTAGTATTATACCTGTTCCTGACACAAGGTCTTAAATTTGACACAGCCAGAGATTGACAGCTCTTCTACTTGTAGGTTCAGCTCAAGCCTTTTTTTTTTTTTTTTTTTAGTTTCGATTTATGGTGCTATGCCTGGCAATTTCTCCCAGCTCAGTAATCAGTGTGTTGACTCAACACTCGGAAACTACAACAACACTAAAATTTGTCTGTCATCTTGGTTTGAAAGTAATCTTTTTAATAGATCTCAATATGTAGTTTATAATAATAATTCCTCAATTTTTTTTATATAACAAATGGTGTACCACAAGGTTCTATCCGAAGACCTAGGTACTTTATTGTTTTTAATTTACATTAATGATCTTACACATTCTTCTAAAAACGACATTGTGACTATTATTTGTGACAAGTTTACAAGCACAAATCAGCGCCTTTAACTGCATCTCGATGTTAAATGAAGGTCCTTCCCCGCGTGGGTTTTCGGCAACAAAACAACAACAAAAAAAAACAAAAAAATATCTATATTTTTTTTTTTTCCCCTCCCCAAATTAGGGGTGCGCCTTATACGCGGAGATTTACGGTACATACATGTTCATGTAGAGATGTGATGTAGACTGAAAAGAGAAAGCCTGTAGAGTCTGTATGTACAGTCTAGTAACTATGAGTGATCATTTTTCTTGTTCTTATTTACTACCACCATGTATGCACTTGCTGCTGGTGAACAGGAATGTTCATCAGATACGGAGGGGGGGGGGGGGGGGGGGGGGGGGGGTACGTGTTGGACAAGGGTAGGCCCCATGAAGACAGTAGCAATTGAAGCGATCATGAATGGACATTGCACAAGTGCCAACTACATTGTATTGAGTGACAGATGGTTGTTGATGTGGCCTTTGATTCATAACTGATTGAAGACTGAACATAAATGTCAGTCATTATTAAAGCTAAGATAGTAAGAGACACAGTATCGTACTTTCTATAAATTTAAAGAGATTGTGTTAAATTATTGAGAAATATGAAAGTTTGAATCCATAGCTCTTCACATACATGTGTATGTGTACTTCACTTCTGGTACATACCTGAAAAGCCCCTATATTTAAAAACAGTCTGAACATTTTGTGAATTAATGTAATGTTTTTATGCATGAAATGAATACAGGATGATACATGCCATTAGAAAATAGAAACTGAAGAAATAGCATTGATGATAACCATTAGAATAAGGAGAAAATGGATTAATGAAAACCATGCCGAATTGGGATAAAATGTTGTGTATTTAAACTACAAATATTGTGTTGTAAAATGTATGAATGTATACAGTTTGGATGTGAAATTTCAAAATTTCTCCTTAATTCTGAGTTTAATTGGAGGAGCTGCTAACCACATAATGTTTACAGCTGATATGAACATAGTGCAGGGAATCAGTGATATACTCAGTGATAGTTTGTAATGAAGGGGAAAGGTGTAATTTTTATAATTGTTGATTAAAATCAATCGATTTAGTCAAATCTATGTTCATGACTGAGGCATTGCAAGCTTATAAGTCTCTTTAATCCCTTGTGGCCAGCTACAATTTATGAAGGTAAATGAATCAGCTACACGTAGTTGCTATCTAATATCTATACTACATGCACTTTACATCAAGGAGGTATAACAGCTGGAATTACAGCTAAGAGTTTATCTTTGAAGTACAATGTACTGTAGGTTCAAACTTCAAAGCTGTCACAACGAGCAGGCAGTTGTACATATGCTATGCTACATGTATGCTACGTTATACATGAGTAAGGGCGTGTTTATGCTTCACTTTTTCTGGCCAGAATCAGGCATCTGTTACGCGATTAGTTTAAAAACATGGTTGCGTCCATGCTCACTTTTGTAGAATCACCGAAAAAACGGCGATCACGATCGCCGATCGTAAACTCACAAAAAGATGTGTTTACAATTTGTAAACGCGTTTAAATGGGGTCAACGCACTGACCTCTAGTGGATCTACGCATGGACCATGATCTACATAGCATGCGCATTTCAAGGTTGCGAATCCAGCTGGAAGACCAATTAAGGCCACCCATGGAGAATTGCCTGGAGGAGCCAGAGAAGTGAGCATGAACAGTACACCGTGGAACTGCGATTACGATGAGCGTTTACGATGAGCGTTACAAATCGCTCATTCTACCTTCAAAATCAAGCATAAACACGCCCTAAGTCTAATACCCCTTTCATAGCGGTCTGATATTCATCGGATGCATCCGGGCGCATCCAATGAAACGGCCACTATGAATGGTACAGAGGAGAAAAGGCTGATAGAGTACTTGGCCAAAGAAAAGAAGAGAAATCTAGAGGCGATTAAATTCTCTTTCTATCGGTGTGACTCCGATGAACAGCCACTGTGAATGGGTTTGAAGAAAACACTCATGAAAATGGTCAAAGGTTGTTATCTTGTTCTGAATAAAGCTAGTGTACGCGCGGAACCCGGCTATAGCTAGCTAGCTGCCCACTGCACTGCGCTGTCTGTCAAAAAAAAAAGCTAACAAGCGCTTGCACATTAATTCTTCACTTCCTGCCGGGGCTCGCCATAGCGAGTGAATTTCAGCGGCAGTATGAAAGGGACATTAGGGAAAGCGGCAGTTTCAACTTTGTTTACATAAGACAAATTCTATCAGTATTTTCATTGGTGCTCCGATAGAAGCACTATGAAAGGGGTATAACTATCTTGTGCAATTATCAAGTACCGGTATTGTTAAATTGTTTATTTTGGAATTTGAATATGAAAGTTGTAAAGGTATCAATTTATTTGATGTTTTGTCTGATTCAAGCTCCTGTAGAGCTATCAGCTTGATACAGTCATTAGATGTGCTGAAATTGTGTATGTAGTCGGAACATGTAACTAATGGACTTTAATACCTGCATATGAAGTAAAATTGTTATTAATGTAATAAGTGTCAGGAGGAGAGACCAGAGATTACCACACTGATTCAGTTTGTTTTTGTCTCGCCTGCGTAGCAAAAAGCGAGACATAGGCGCCGCTTTTCCGGTGACGGCGACGGCGTCAACATCAAAAACTTAACCTAAGGTTAAGTTTTTGAATTTTTGGTATAATTTTTAAAGTATAAGTTCTTAGTCAATTAAACTTTGACTATAGGGTAATCAAGTATCCCCAATCATGTGAGTAGAATTTCAGGTCACTAAGTTAAGGTCAAAGGCCATTTAAGGTCAACAAACTTAGACTTTGTTGTGGCATCAACATTAAGATTTTCAAAATGCTTCTTCTTCGTTATTTTTCAACCGATTTTGATTCTGATTGTTTCATATGATAGGGCTAGGAGGGAATTTAAAATTTCTACACAGAATCGGGAAATTCATTATCTATGCTAATTTATGCAAATTTATTCGAAATCACAAAAAAGGCTTCTTCTCCTTCATTTCTCGACCGATTTTGATTTGGTTTGCTTTATATCGTAGAGCTAACTTTGGTACACTAAACTTCTACACAGAATTTTGAAATTGTTCTCCATTAATTAATTATGGTAATTTATGCAAATTTATTCCAAAAATAACAAAAATTGCTTCTTTTCCCTCATTTCTTGACCGATTTTGCCTTATCTGGTATCTGGCATCAAATTTCTATTTTTTGACCAGTTCAAAAGTGTACCACATAAAATTTACGATATTTGTTGTTGTGGGATGCGGATGAGCGCTACGTCATTGACGTTCTGGTTTATCATATTGAATTGCGTTATGCAGGCGAGACCGCCGAGAGCGTTTCCCTTGTTTATCCTCTCAGGTACAGGGAATGCCAAATGTTTAAAGATGATAATGTAGTGTGGCAAATGTAGTGTGTAAACACAATGTATCCAATATTTGCATTCATAACTATAATTCTTGATTCTTTGCAGACATACATCAAACTCAATCCCGATGTGGTGGTCTTAGATCCTCTAAGTGCAGTCAAGAACCTGATGGATCGCAACATCAGCTACCAAGTCCTTCTAGATTCCCTCCAAAGTAACCATGGTAATTATAACAATGCTCAAATAAGGGAGCCCAGGAGGAAAGTATACCGGCCAAACAATTTTGGTAGAAAATGTACCGCTAATAGCCAAATTATAAACAGTGATATAGTTTTTTAGTAAATATGGCTAAAAGTCTTGGCATGGGCATATGTAGTCACATGATATGTGCAAATGTGAGGGTGTTTTCGGTGACCGTGATGTCTAGCCAGTTTTTTTTTTTTTTTTTTAATGAAAATCAAATCATCTGCTACAGTACCTGATAAACAATTTTGGATTAATTTATTTCAGCCACTTTCTCCCGCAGAACAGCACATTTTTTTAAATTCAATCACTGGAACTCAAGATATAGAATGCTGTTTCTTTTCTTCTTCTGTTCATGTTGCTTTCATATATATGGCAAACATGGACCTTTTCTTGAAATCATAGAATAGTAAAAGCTTGATTTTATTAGCATTTCATGATTAAATTAGCCAACCATGCATGTTGAAGAACATGAAGTTACCTCCCCATCTCTCCCCCACCACCCCCCCCCCCCACCACCCCTCTCTCTCTCTCTCTTTCTCTCTCTTCATCCCCCTCCCAGCCACCATTTTTATATTTCAATACTCACTGTCAGGTCTTTGCTTGCATACTCCATTTTTAATGCTGTATCAAATCTACTTATCTGTTCTTAGATATTCACAGAAAAGTTAAAGTACCCAACTTTGTAGAGATCCACACAACCAAAGAGACTGAGATTATGCAGCTTCTACGCAAGGCTCAAGTGGGATTTCCTTTAGGTAAGCCATCAAATTGAGGGAAAGTAATGAATATCATTTACATATATATGGTGTATGTCTGTTTGACAATATGGTCAGCATGTTGTAGGGCCTTGAGTGACTTATTTTGTCAGGAAGTGCCATATGAAAACCAACATTATTATTATTATTACTATTATTGTTTTTTATTATTTATATTATTGTTATTTTATAAATGTAATGCTTCCTGGGAGAAATTTCAATAGTTTGAACATATTTGGCTTACACCCAGTAAATAAGATCGATTGATTGATCTGTAATTGAAAAACAAGTCAGAAAAAATCTGGGAACCAGCTCTCCTGATTCATTCTGACTTATTAATATTCATTAGTCCGCCATAGGACAATAACTTTTATAAATGTAATGCTTCCTGGGAGAAATTTCAATAGTTTGAACATATTTGTAGCAGGTTCAAATGGCAGGTTCAAATCCCGCTGGTTCCAAGATTTTTTCTGACTTGTTTTTCAATTACAGATCGATCAATCGATCTTATTTACTGGGTGTAAGCCACAAATATGTTCAAACTATTATTGTTATTGTTTATTTGTTTATTAGATTATATTAAAAAAAAAGATTAAAATAAAGAAAACATAAATAGAAGAGTTCATCCACAAAGTGCTTTTAGAGTTTCAGGTACATAAAATATACCATTGGGCATTTTGAGTAATAAGAAATTATTTTATAAAGGGATAATAAGAAACAGTTTGAAAAAAAATATTGAGTTACAGATGACTTGTATTTAATACTATTTACTAAAGTCCTATGATCAATACTGCATCAGTTGAAATGTTAATTCTGTTTGTGCTTATTTGCTAACTGATGACTAAGTATCTTGCAGTTCAGTTGTTTATTCAGCTCATGTTTATCAGCAATCTAGCATGGCTTTTCCAGCATAGATCTCCAATCCAAATATGTCTGTATAGACCATCAATGTGTTAGACAGCAAATACCTCTCAAGATTTTAGGCTGGTACGCGACAAAACCATATGTGTATGAAATATAATTCAGTGGTTGTATTGTGCACCCGTAAAAGATAGGAATAACTGTAAATATACATTTCTAACTTTGCAGGGTCTTTATGTTGAATGGTATGGTAAGGATCTATTAATAACTGTGCCCATTGTATTGTCTTTTGTACAGTATGTAAGCCTTCCCAAGCCCACGGATCTCTCATTTCACACAAGGTAATTACCCAATTTATTAGAGAAATGATTTGATATAAGGCTTTGTAACTCATTATGGTCAGAAAAGGAGGACAATTCATTATGCATGATCTTTTCTCTACTCATTTTTCTTTAATGGTTCAAACTTGAAACTCACATTTTATATTTCAAATGAATTTGAATGATTTTAATAAAAGAGAATGAATACATCTTCAGGCTCAATTAGAGCCTTTTGACTTGCACTGTGCACTCGGCAATCAACGATACTTGAAGAAGAAGAAGAAGAAGAAGATGGGAGATATGATGAACCAGTATCAAAAGATGATTATCAATGTCTTTGAAAGCTATTTAAAACATTGTGTTGGTGTGATATATTATCCTTCTTGTTTTACCTTGCGTTTTGCTAATTGATTCTTCAAGTGCAATCAATAATAAGGAAATGAAATTAGATCCTGTTTGTATTTTGTCTCATGTATGTAGCAGAAGCTTGCCAATATTACACATGAGACTTAATTTGTTTATAGATATGTCTATCTTACTCACCACTCACAAATATGTCTCTATCACTCAATGTTTATTTCTTTTCTCATTTTCTTATCTCTTGTTCTTATTGTTTTTCTTCTTCTTCTTCTTCTTCCCTTTTTACTCTTCTTCTTCTTCTTTTTGTCCTTTTCCTTCTTCTCCTTTTTCTTCTTCTGCTTCTTCTTCTTCTTCCTCCTTCTTTTATTCCTCCTTCTTTTATTCCTCTGTTTTATAGATGTCTTTAATATTCAATGAAGCTGGGTTAAAGGACATCAAACCACCTTGTGTAGCTCAAACATTCATCAATCACAATGCCTTACTCCATAAGGTTTTTATCATTGGAGATCAGTACTTTGTAGTGAAGCGACCGTCAGTGAAAAACTTCACATTAGGAGGTAAGTGATCGTCTCCATGGAAATGTGTAATATGCATTGATCCATGCTAGGCCAAGTTTAGTGACTTGGTCCTACATTAGCACTACTACATGATTCTCCTAATAACCTCTCATAACTTGATTGACCCCACCCCCCCCCCCCCACACACACACACATTCGTGATCATCCCCAGTTCAACCCATACAAACTTCACCCCCTCCCCTTCCAAGATCCCCCATGCTTTTTCATGGATTCCCCCAGTTTGATATTTATATTGAAACCAATGTGTTGCCATGACAAACCATTGCAGTCAGTCTGAAGTTCTTATGTACCGTCAGTCAGTCAGTTCTTTCCAGTATCTGAGTTGGTCCAATGCCCTGTGTGTATGTATATGTAGGGGATAATGAGTTAATATTCACATTTGTTGAGAATACCCTGCACAATGTTCGATTCCTTTTAATTCGTTTTCCCCTTCACTGCAGGCTCAGGCCAGAGCACAATATTCTTTGACAGCCATGATGTATCCAAATTCAACTCAACATCATTCCTGAATGAGGTATGTTATCAAGCTCTTCCAATCTCTATTATTCAAGAGATCAGCCCTGAAAGAAATGGGATCCAGATTTGCATATATGTTAGGTAGTTGAAGTAGAAGTGTAATACATGTCAATTTAGAAATAATAATAATGCTATCCTTGGAATGAACTGTTTTGTATAACCGCATGCTAATAAGTTTGCTTTCAAAACATGTACTCAGCGTCAGTCCTGTTTAGAATTCTGGATGTTTTCTAAAGTACGTCATGAAAGAACTATGACCTTCATGATGCTGTTTGTGAAGTATTACAACATCTTCTTGACTTTCCTACAGGAATTCCAATTTTGATAAATTCATAAAAGTTGTGTTGTAGTGTAAGAAGTATACTGGAATCCTGGAAGTGTACTGTTAAGAAACAAACCTTTGTTCGGTAAACCCTGCTACCTTTATAAAGTCTTAATCAGGCACTTTACTCCCTCTCTTGGTAGCTTGATGAGACCGATGCTGCTCATGTCATGTTAGAGCCCTGCTCAGCAGTACTCAAATCTCTGGCAGACTGTTTACACAATGGCCTCCAGATGTCTCTGATTGGTGCAGACGTCATTGTAGAGAATGATACAGGCCTTCACTATGTTATTGATGTTAATGCATTCCCAGGTAAGAACACTTAGGGCGCGTTCATGCTTGATTTTGAAGGCAGAATGAGCGATTTGTAACGCTCATCGTAAACACTCATCGTAATCGCAGTTCCACGGTGCACTGTTCATGCTCACTTCTCCAGGCAATTCTCCTTGGGTGGCCTTCAGCTGGATTCGCAAACCTGTGTGCGCATGCTACGTAGACCCACTAGAGGTCAGTGCGTTGACCCCATTTAAACGCGTTTACAAATTGTAAACGCATCTTTTTGTGAGTTTACAATCGGCGATCGTGATCGCCGTTTTTCCGGTGATTCTACAAAAGTGAGCATGAACGCAATCGTGTTTTAAACTAAACGCGTAACAGATGCCTGATTCTGGCCGTCAAAATCAAGCATGAACGCGCCCTTAGACGGAAGAAGAAAAAAAATCATGATTTTGATGTGCAGAATATTCATTGCAATAGTCGGTACATAGCTATCCGAAAGAATGTCAAATGAAAATTTTGGAAATTTGCCAGATAAATAAGATGATTGAAACATGGTACGCACGAGTGTTTTGATACTAGCTCTAAAGTCTCTCTTGATCAGCTCTTAAGATATGAATAGACATATATTCATGTTTATTGAAATAGACAATCATGCAATTATAGAATGAAACAGGTGAAGATTAATTAAACACCAATGAAATGATTGCATGCCTTTGGAACAATCAGCAATGTGTATTTTATAACTTATCATACATTCACAATGTTTCCTCACATATTTAGATTACGAGTGTGCATCTTTGAAATTTTGTTTATCCTTATTTTATATGAAGTAATTTTGTTTGTTACACCATTTAAGTATTCTCTGCTTGCAAGTTAAATGATAGGAAAGAAATGAAATGAAAGAGATTAAATTACTCATGGAGTACCCGCAAGCCTACTGTATATCTACATCACCATGCAAGCCGACACTTACAAGCAGCATCTAAATTACTCTTGTTTTTGTTTTTTCCTTCTTCCAGGCTACGACGGTGTGCCGGACTTCATGCGGGTTTTGTTCAACTACATCGAGAGATTGATAGATTGTCCAAAGACAAGGGAACACCATCCATTCATTCCTAGAGACACCAAAGCTAACCAAGATAGTGTGCATTTAACTAATGGACTCACACCGATACTCCAAGACTCGAGAGACTCGAGAGAAGAAGTGCCAGTCAAAGGAAACTGTTCCTTTGAACAAACTGTCAGCAAAACTGTGAAGAGACCACTCAATGATGTTGTTGAGAATGGTGTGGACTCTGCATGTAAGAAATCATCATCTGTTGTTGTCAACGGCTGTGCCCAAGGGGCAAATGGAGAATGAAGGCCGACTGTTCGATGCTTGAAGGATCAAGTTGGTGCTGTCGTCTAAACAAATTTTTCACTCAACCAGGAAACAGTATCAGAGACTGCCCTCCTCTCTTCTTGTGACAGAAGAAACAAGACAACAAAGTCGTTTCTTTGCAAACATCTCACTCAGGCACTTTCAGAAGTGGATATGCCTCCAGATCATGCCATTCTGTTTATTTTTGTATACTTTTTCTTCTTCTTATAATCTGAAATACAGGCATTGTTCACAGAGCCAAGGACATAGTACAATTTACTTTGGATTGGTGATCTAACATGTAGCAAGTCTTAGTACATTTTCTGAAGCCTGCTATATGAGACCTGTGTCCATACCAAAGTCAAACTCTACTCCAAATGCAAATATTGGTCATATTACTAAGCAGGCTTTCACCAGGGGATTTATTTATTGGATCGAATTTTTAGGCTGATTTTCTCTTCTTTTTTTTCATTTTGAAATCACTCTACATTTTATGCCATCATTGTTTTTTATTTTCTTTAATATTTTCATACGACAATAAAGCCTTAATGTTTTGTTTTAGAGTGAGTTGGTTTGGGTTCTTTTCCTGTCTTTTTTGTTGTTAGGCAACCAATTTGTCCTGAAGAATGTCATGATGAAATCAACACATCTCTGTCCTTTGTTAAGTATATTGAAGGATATTTTGTAATCAAATTTATTATTATGGCTAAATAAGTTGTGGATATTTTGGACAATAATGGCATAGGTGAACATATCGAAAACATGTTTAGAGGGGGGAGGGGGGGAGAGGTGTTCAATCTCTGAGGGAATAGTTATGTGGTATGTGAGATTGTAAAGTATCTCTTCCAGAGAAATGTGTGCTGTTCCATGCCACACATTTTGAGATGCTACAAAAGGTGTTTGCAAAATAAATTATTCCTAGAGACATGAGCGGAAGGCAAGCATTTATGTTTACCTTCATAGGGGTGATAACACAATGCATCAGTAGTCAAAGAGGTATATGTGATTTCAAAACACATTTCATTTTGGTGCAGAGATAAAAACAAAAAAAGTATCCAAGCTAGGAGGCTCCCCCTCCCATCACCCATCCCCCTCCCCCATCTCCCCCTCCCCCACCCATCCTCCCTCCCCACCCATCCTCAAGGTCACCAGGAAGTATTGATTAACATAACAGGGCCCATGTCTTGAAGCCAAATTTCAAATTAGATTAAATCAAATCAAACTTTTAAACAGTAGCAAATTGATGCAGTTTTTAAAATATGCAAGGGAATTTCTGGGAAGAACATCATTCAACGTGTTGATATTCAGTTATTAATCAAATTATTAGCAAATGGTCTTTGATGGTATTACTAACTTCTGTGATAATGTTTAGTTTGTTTCTATTGTGCTTTGAACAAAGTTTGGTTTAAACGAATATGTATGTGTCAATGCCAGTTTATCTGGCCCAAAGGCAAATGAACCTAAAAAACATGCAATAACCTAGTGTCCATTATTTTGTTAAAACTCTTGGCTTCCAATTTGTTGTGAATGCTTTAATAATTTAATTATTTGTTTTGTATGGTTTAATTTTATGGTTGTCAATAATGTAATGTCTTCAAGACCAGTCATGAAACTGCCCAATGCAAGAAATGTATTAATGTTGGCAGAGTTCTCTACCTTTGCAGCTTTTCATATCAAGATGTATGAATGTTGTCTGGTATGGTTTATGAGAAGCTCACTCTCCAGTGAGAGTGGAAGTTTCCTAATGTTATGTAAGGACTGCTCATTAAAGGAAATAGTTGAATCAGTTTTAGGCAATGATCCAAAACCTTTCCAGATTTGTAGTGTGCATGGTGCTTAAGAATGTGGAAAGTGTGACCATGGGTCATGAATGTGATATCATTCATTAAATGGAATAGAAAAAAAATACTGAACATGCAGTTTTCTTGAAAAATGCTGGAGCTCATTCCAAAGTGATCTTTCCTGGAGTTATGTTGAACACTCAGAATGAAGAGATTCAAGATATTTTGTTACATCTTGGACTGAGGACTTCAGTTCTTTTCAGATAGGATCTAAACATTTGCAGTTAATGATAGATAGTCTTGACTTTTCTGTCTGGTGGTAAGGGATTGTTTCTCCCTAATGAACTTTCAGTTGTAATGTTCAATTTATTTATGTTTGTTTTTTGTCATCTTTGAAGAGGCTCTGGCTGTTGAGTGGCACATGTGAATGTGCTTTATCAAGTCAGGTGTAAATATATCTACCCCTACCAGTGGCTTTCATTTTTCATGGTGTAAACATATTTTGAGAAAAGCATGATTTCAATTTCTTTTTATAACATTTTGTCTGAATTCTGAAGTGTAAAAGAAGAGGGAAAATTATGTGCAATTTTTTACATTTTGATGTATAAACACATATGTACATGTAGACCTGTGATGAATTATTTTTTGCTATCTAAATTTATCCTCTGTACAAGATGATCGCAGGATACAATAAAATACATGTTATCAAGCTATCAACCCAAACTATATGTTAATTCATTGGCTTCTTTAGTAATAGGTATTTTCCATTATTTCCTGATGTGACTTTAAACGAGATTTATGATGTATTTCTGTTTCAGCCTTTCCCATGCAATTTGAAAGATAATGAACAAATTAAGAATATGCATGGTCTAATTAATGTCAGTTTTTGTGATCTTATTCTTAGATTAAAATCATTCATTTCTTTCATATTTGATTGTACTGATCTCAAGTGCCTTGATAAAGAAACATATTTCCTTGATATTTTGCACATTTCTTTTTACATTTCAATTACCAAACTTGACAAAAGAATATTTTCTTGGGCATTACTTTACTTTCTTATCCTTTCATGAGCAAAGAAGTTACGTTAAACATGATCCCATGGAACTGTAATTCCACAGATTATTGCATGTTTCAATTCTCTATATTTCTTTTTTTATGATATTTTAGTAAAACTACATTGATTTTCTGTCGACTTCTTTTGCATTGAAATGGATTTCTTTTATTTTTTCAGTTTATTAAAATAAATTGTACCCTATTTTGATATTCTTCATGCGTCCAGAGGCTGTGACGGTTTGTTACCTACATTTTAAGTCACAATTATTTTTTTTCAAGTTCAGTAATGCAATATTTTTCTATTGTGTTCCTATTCATGACTGCAGTGAATTTGACCCATACAGACTGGTTCAGAGCGGCAAGGATATGATACTCCAATTTATTTCAATGATTTTTGAAAGTGGTTTGATGGTCTTTTTTTTATACATTGATTTATCCTCTTTAGTGAATTTCCTTTTTTTCAATTGCAAAATCAATGCAATGTACTATTAATGTAACCCACTTTGCATTTGTGTGTATAGGATGATGTCAATTTGTCCTTTTGATTATATGGATTAATGACATTTGTTGGGTATATGTGGTGTGACTAAAAAGAGATGGGGATGAATTGAATTTAAAAAAAAATCTATCCCAAAGTTGGTATATAACAGAAGAAACTGCAAACTATGATCCTGAATGCTTCATGTACTGGGGTTGGAGTAATTATTAAGAGCACCAATTCCTGAAATTTCTCCCACGCTTAATATTCAATTATTTAATTATTATTTTAAGTGAAGAATTATTGAGCTCGTATCTTCTGGATAAAAAACAGATTTTCATCGTCCAGCATATGTTTATGTTAGTAGGATCATACATGTAAAATGCTTTAATAGTAGAAGTGAGGTTAACACAAATATAGAGGCTGAAGAGTAGACCAAAGCTTTACACTACACATTTTAGTATGTTTCCCTCGTATGATGTTATGATGTAAACAAGTATTCCAGTCTTCTTGAGTAATGATGGCCAGTGTTGTCTGTTACAAATTCATTCAAAGGTGAAACCCAGACTTTTCTCCCTTTTGTAAATGCTTTGCTATGCCAGACACTAGCTTTATTTTTTTCTGAATTTAACATGATGTAGCTGCCTATGTGGATAGATTATTAATTGATGTTGTCAATTATTTGTAGTTCCAGGAAAACATTGTTATGCAAAACTCTACAAAGTTGGAGAAAAAAAAAGAATATCGACTTATGTTTGTTGGCCGAGTGAGATTACTCTTATTCAAATCATTTCAGCACATAAATTCTTACAGTGATTGCATGAAGTGTAACCGATGCCTTCATACTCTTCAAGGCATTTTTATCTGAAACTTTGAAGAAAAAAATATTTTCAGAATGTACAATTTTTTTTCAAAATTCAGGAAAAACAAAATTAGTATCCATGGCAATTCATAGGCAATATTTATAAAAGGTCTGGACTTCACTGTAAAACGTTGAACTCAAACTGAGTATATTTCAAGGAATAGCTCAGACAAGTTTGCATGAAGATTGAATACATTTATGAATATTGAACTATGTGACATGCTTTTAAAATATGGTAAGTTGTTGGTGAGAGACTAATGGTTATGCGTCTGTATTATTTTGTATCCGTATGTATGTATTTGTATGTGAATACTCAAAATTATTATAAAATAACATATTTGTATAACAATATATTTGATCAAGATTTGGTTACTGATTTTCTTGTGATTTATATGCAATAAATTATAACATTTTATTTCATTCTGTATTTGTATGAAGTTTTGATGTGTGATCGTGTAAGAGATACAGGAAAATCTAACATTTAATAGACAAGTAGGCCTACTCTAAAAGAAAGCAGAAAAATCAGAGAAGCAGACTGGTGAAAGTTTGAAGGAAATTGAACAAAAATAAGAGAGTTATGAATGTTTAAAGTTGCAATCACGATACGTATGGGCACTTCAAATTGGCTGAATTGGTAATGTCGCTCTTCCAGTTCAAATCTTGACGTAGAGCCAGACAACTTCCCTATTTGTTTCCGGACACAAAGTGACTAAAATGTTAATTTTTCCTAATGTAAAGGTCATGAGGGTCTTTCCTTTTTAGAGGACCTATAGTAATATGCTATCCATAATACGATTTTCATCGTTCAACCTTTTATAACTCTTCTTATTGGTCTGATTTTATCTCAAACTCTTGCCAGTTTATCTGATTTTATCTGCTTTCATACAAATGATCTTATTAAAAGGTTGGATAACTTGGATTGCTCTTAAGTATGTCGCCAATAAAGATAATTTAACAAACCTCCATTACAATAATAATGAAGCCAAACAATTTAAATGTAGTGATATATATTGAAATGATTACATACCGGTATACAAAATCTTTAATAGTCTTAGATTCCATAACTCATTTATGATACGGTAAATGAAAAACCTTACATCCACTTGCCAATGTGCATTAACTACCGTATATATAAAATTTAATAAGACAATAATTAAAACTGTAATAGCTTTATGCCTCAAAATAAACCCCAAACTTCTACCCACCTATGACATTGCACTACTTACTGATAACAAGTCATGCTGGAAACAATGGTCCAAATGTATAATAAATATGTCTCATCGTTATCATCTTCATTTAAAATAGAGGTCATAACAACATAAACAAAGAAGTAATCATTTACCGTAAACCCAGATCCATGACATAGTTTAATATAAAATGCAAGCTAGTGTACATGTCATTGGCAGGGTGCACAAGAAAAATACAAAGTATATACTACACTATATAATTCAAATTTGAGATAATTTTGTATGCTTTAAAGATTGATCTTGTACCCTTTGACCTTTAACCCAATCTTATATGCACACAGAACCCATATTTCCTCAAATATAAATAATGAATGACCCCCCCCCCCCCCCCAGGCAAAAAAAAGAAAAAAAAAACCTGTTTATGTCAAGAATTAAAATACAAAACGACTCTTCTCTAAGTCTTATTGGCTTTTGATTGGTTGAGAGCTTGTCACGTGACCAAAAATATTTCATCTCTGGCAAAGTATTATATGAAAGTACTATTGGGGAGTAATATTTGGGAGTAGAAAAAAAATTGTGATTTTTTTTTTTCTTCAAAAAAACAAAAAAAAACAAAATATATTTTAAATCTTTTTTGATAATTTTTTTTTTTTTAAATTCTAAATTTTATTTTATTTTTAAATTTTGTTTAAATTTTTTTTGAATAAATTTTTGATGCAGGATATAAAACAAATATACCATGCCTTCTATTCGAGTTACTGGTTAAAACTATGAGCCTCAGTGACTCCAAAAGTACCATTTGCTTTGGGGCTGCGCTCCTCAGCAAATAGTACTATTGGAGTCACCTCTTGCGCATAGTTTTAACCAGAACCTCTAAAGACAGTGTATATTTGTATACTATTCATGAAACAATGAAAATCACTTAAAATGACAATTGCTTGATCTGTCCAGGTGATCTGTCCAAGTAACCTGTCCAAAGTCAGGTTTAGTGACCCTATCCACTTCTCAAGCAATTTTCTTTCCAAGTGATTTGATCTAAATCTAGTAGCATTATTTCTCCACTTCCTTGTCCTCCAAAATCTGCAAAGACATCATCAAAGAACACTCACGAGGCCTCCTTCTGACCCTTTTCACTGTTACTGATCTTTCTACAGAAGCCACAAATCTTTATGGGTCCTAACCTATATTGTTGTCTCTTGACCTCTCCCTGGCCCAATTTTTTGCAAGGCATGTGTAGAAAATTCATGCAAGAAACCCTAGGTTCCCCCCACAAGCCCTCCCCCTTAAAAAATATATAGTATTCCAGAAGTGCTTCTGGTGGGATTTTTCAAATTTCCTCGTTTTTAGTCTCTGGAAAAGGAGAAAACTAGGGCACACTCGACACAAAACAGGCTTCAGACATCTGCCCCAGTTGGGTTCAAACACATGATTCTTCCGTTCAAAATGGCAGACACTCTGACAGATTGAGCCAACTCACAGTTTCCATATATCATGTACATGAAATGTCGATTAGGAATGACATTGCTATGCCAACCTCCTCATTCAGCTCATCCTAGTAAGGAACATAGACGGTCATGAATTATCTGGATGACTTTCCAATCACAGAGATGACTTGACTTCTAGTTCTCCTGTCATGATCGGAGCAGACGGCAAACTTCTTCAAACTGTTTCTTCGCTCTTCCAATCTCAGGTTCTCTATGGGTATATGTACATGCCAGAATCCCATGCGGTAAGTTCCCCATCAGCAATCCAATATGGCTGCCTGCTGAAGTTGCAATTAAGCTGTATATGAATATGAAAATACAATCAAATAATATTCAATATCTTTCACACATTATAGTTAACTGCTTTTTTTCAGATATGTTTAAGTCCATATCTAATTTGTCTTGGTCATACATTCATTATTCTTCTTACAATGGTACTCTTTGTAAAAGTTTTTTTGTTAAAATGTTTCTAAGACTTCTATCAAGATTAATTTGCACTGTAAATAAAATATACCAATAATATTTGCATGATTTACACATTCCATATGTACATATCAACTGTTCAGAGCCAGGTGGACATAAACTCACATCCTAATATACAGATTAATATCCTTCTGGCTCTCAAGTTCAAGTTCATTTATTTACACTCATCATTAAAAATACAGAATATACAATAGTCACATTTACAAATACAGAATAAACATACGTAAATATCATACATCCAATCAAAAAAATAACATAATGAGAGTGAAGGGATGAGCTAAAAAGGAGTATGGTCCTAATGCTAGCTAAAGTCCATCCCTCATATATGCAAATTAAATGTTGTACTATCTCAACTAATTATGTGACAGGCTTTTGCCCCAAACAATTCAGAGGTCACCCAGGTAGCATATGATCAGACCAATATTAAGTTCTACTTGATGAGTACCTGCAATTTGTTTGTTGATGCACCTGGAAAGAGAGTGACCCTTGACCTGTCACATAAACACTCAGTAGACTTGTCTTCTGTTTCCGTGAATCATTGAAGAGATGAAGGATCTGCTTCACATCACAAGTCTGTGCAAATAAACAGAGGAAACAGTTTCAAATGAAGATGACATCAATAATAAGTACATAAATCTTGAATTGTGAAATGAAAGTGGATTTTTAGAGAAAGTTGAGATGCATTGTTTTATCATGCAGTACAAGGGTTGTATGGACCAGCAAAATGTACAAAAACAAAAGCTAAAAATGTTCATAACTACTTGATATAAATAACACAGACAAACAAACATTTCAGCAAAGTACTGTTAGAATTACTTTGAATTTATGCAGATCCAGAGATCCAGGGATATCATATGTATTCATATACTACATGTATGAAGGACTACACACTGCTTTTTCTCACTAGGGCACCAGACTGACAGCTTTGAAGTATTTGTGCTTGAGGCCCCTTTTTAAATTCCGATAAATTTGTGGTTTGGGGCCATGTACACTGGTCACCTATCTCTGTAGAGTCCTGATAAAGGCTCCACTTGCATTGTTCATTTGAGATGTTCTAATATTCATTCCTGCACATGAAGTCCAATAGGAAATAAACAACAATAATAAGAATGTCTGTTTCTCAAGTGACTCACAGCCAGCTGATAAATGTCACAATTATAAAAATAATAATAAGAATAATAATCATGATAGAGGGTTCTTGTACAGTGCCAATATTTGTCAAACTTGACACTCCTGGCACTCCATAATGATTACCCCGGCTTTATCCATTATAAAATTCAAACAAACTCACTTTTTCTACTTCATCCTTCATTTTGGGGGTTATCATATTACATTTTAAGTTTACCTTCTCAAAATCTTTTAGCAGACCCATGGAATACAAGCAGACTCCTTGATGTGAGACTAGGCAAATACCAGTGACCGCACCTCCTTGCACCAATTTCTCTGCATGTAAAAAACAAATCAGAGCATTTGAATCACAGAATCACATGGATATTGGATATTAATCAATATCCTAACACACCCTTTCACGGTTACAAGAGCGAACAGCGCAGGCAGTGACGCAACAACACATGCGCATCTGAAAACATTGATGATGCAATGGTTACTCGTAAATTAAAATGCCTTAACCGTGAAAAGGTGTATTATCAGGCCTTACTATTCTTGTTTCAATCATGTCATGTTTTAATCTGTGGGTAGAACAAAAAAATACATAACAAATATACACAATTTAGTAATCAACATTCATATCAAATCAGTTAATGATTTTTTTGATGACATACTGAAAAAGTATACACTGGAGAGTGGAGATAAAACATATGATTTGTTTATCAAACATAGGGACTAGTGCTGTAACATCACGGATATCTCCAATTCCGTTTAACCGCCAGTCAAAACCGGACGGTTTTTGGTTAAACGATTTAAAAAAAAATTTTTTTTTTTTTTTTTTTTTTTTTTAAATCGTTTTTTTAAATTTTTTAAATTTTTTTATTTTTACTTTCATTTAACTGCGAGGTGCATTTAAAGGGGCCGATTTGTGCTTGTGAACTTGTCACAAATAATAGTAACAATGTTGTTTTTAGAAGAATGTGTAAGATCATTAATGTAAATTAAAAACAGTAGAGGACCTAGGACAGAACCTTGTGTAAAAGTTGGATGAATTATTATTATAAACTACATATTGAGATGATGAGATCTATTACAAAGATTACTTTCAAACCAAGATGACAGACAAATTGGAGTGTTGTTCTAGTTTTGGAGTGGTGAGTCAACACACAGATTACTGAGCTGGGAGACATTGCCAGGCATAGTGCCAGGTGGAGGGGCATAAATCGAAACTTTAAAAAAAATAAAAATTAAAATAAAAAATAAAAATTAAAAAAAAAAATAAATAAAATAAAAAAATCGGGAAAACGAAACCGTCCAATTGAAAACGGAATCCGCCATGGGCGGTCGGATACCGGACGGTTAAACGTTTGACTACAGCATTAATAGGGACAATACTATAGCCTTTACACTTGACACTCAACAAGTTACCGGTACTTAATAATTCAGAACTTAAACCTGAACTTGGAAAACCCATCTAACCATAGGGCATTGCCACTCATTACAAGGTTACATGAAATGCTGGGGGTCATTTGATGAAATCATGAAACTAACTCCATGACAGTCATATCTTTGTCTGCGACCTACAGAGATGTCAGGAAGTGGAAAACCTGTTTCATAAAACCATGATAAGCGACAAATTCATGATTTCAATACTATCGGCTAAAAATATAGTCTTTTTCACGATCCATCAGATTTTATCCGGAAATATCAAAGGAGATTATGAGGCTTAATTTCACTCAAACTGTTCAAAAAAGTAAAAATCTTAGAGACTGGTAGCACCAATGATACAAACATCAAATTTGCACTATAACCCATACCCAATCGAAATAGGACCTATTTCTATTTTTTTTTTAAAACAATGAAAACAAGATATTTAGGTCTCACATTTAAAAAATAGACCATGCCCATAGACTAACTTAAAGATGCCTTGAGATGGTGTTCTAAAATGATATGACAGGTTTGGAGTCGCAACAAGGAATTGTTGCGGAAATTGCCGCTCATCTTGGCAAAGACAGTTTTGTGAAACACTTAGTATATACAAGTTGAGCGACAGTGGGGAGATGACGTTGATCGTGTAATTATGACGGTTTTGAGATCTAGCCCCGTTTTAGCCACAGTATGGTTGAAAATCTGCGGCACTAGTAATTCATAAATAGAAAGGTCTAAATTAATGTAATTGATTTTGAATTTACTTACGTATGAAGATGATTTGATCAAGGGACTTTATGAACCCGCTATATACGGTATATGCCTGTATATATTGAGTTCAAATTATAATCCGGATCATCATTTTAAATATGAAATCAATTGATACATATTCATCATGATGTTGTTCAAGATGTCTATGTTATGCTCTGCGTTATAATTTGGTTTAGCCAGGAGTAGTCTTTTGAAAAGTGTTATATTGCATGTTTGTTTGTAAATTTAATAGTGATAGATTTTGTAACAAATAAAAATTGATACAAGAAAATTGGTACAAGAAATTTGCCCTAACCTAAGATAGCATATACGGTAGGCTATGGACTATTATTATTAATAAGTTAATATCATTTACAGAATAGAAATACAAGAACATGAGAAGTGATTTTATTCCACCCAATGTTGATGTAGAGAATCAACAAAATCTTCATTAACATGAAAGACACATTTTTATATGGCCCCAAGACAATGAATTCTCCTTTGTTGTGTATCTATAGGGCATTTTGATATGCAAGTATAGACCATGAAAAAGGTTTTAAGGAGGCGGTGTGGCGCATTCGGATCATCATGCCGTCATGCGCATGGGTTCGAGTCCCACCCTGATCAAACAAAAATACAAAAATACAATAAGGCAAAATATGATGGTCACCACATTGTGTGTAAGCGTGCCCACTGCCCTCTAGGCCTCTGCTCTCGATCATGTCGAGGCAGGCTATGATTCAGGGGAAAACACTCTGTTCCCCCGACTAGAATGTTAACTGGATCGAGGCCCCGAGGGTATAGATATATGATAGAGAGTCGCACCCTATTATATATGCCATACTTGCTTGTTATTACGCTATACTTCTCGAAAAGTGTAAGGTGAAAACCCAGTCATTATAGTGTGCCTGTATACAAAACTCTAATCTTTCTACAGATCTTCGTGATACTGATACTAGGCTGCATGCATCACTCCAGCAAAGCATAGTAGTCAATGCTAATCTAATGCATAGCATAGGCATAGCCCTTTGAACTCCCTGGCCCTGCTAATTAGAATAAAGAAGAAAATATATTATATGATCAAACCCATGCATGCGCCATTCAAGGCCAAGTAAGTGAGCTGCTTACCATTAACAAAGTCTTCCCAGTATCTTGATTGGTCCATCATTCTTGAAAGATATCTACCTTGGTTTTTCAACTTCTCTACTCCTTTCAGTTTACTTTTTACACTGACTGTCACTGCAGGTACTTGGAATTTGGAAGTGGAGCCACACGGGAAATTCCCTAGCTAGACGTACGTGTGCGGTGGATGCAGTGCGCGCGAATGGCGCGACGTTTCGTACAGTGCGCGCGCTCAATTTGTACCAGTTTCAAGATGGCTACCGTCGAGGGTGTGAACGCTTTCCTAGCTCAAAGACTAGAAAAAGCCAAGGAAAACCTAGAAGATGTGGAGCAAAACATTCGTAAACTCACCGGAGGAGATTCCACCGAAAGAAGGTAATTTGGAAGTTTATTTCAATGTGATTTCCGATGTTATGAATATAATTTGCACTGTTTGCACTTTGCAGTGATATGTGAACTGAAATGGGACAGCTTTGCAAGTTTATGTGTCACTGTGTGTTCATCATCAACCATGCTGGTCACATCGCCAGTTCCGCGAACGCGGACGTGGCCACCCCCAAGGCACCAGGCCTGCGGCTGAGCTAGGGCAACTGGCTAGGCTTCGGCTTTGACTTATCCCAGCAGAGATGAATGATGCAGCTGCCCTGCAGAATGCAAGTGTGAGCTAGATCTAACTAATAATTAGATATAATATCAATGTATTTGGTAACACTAACACTAGTCTAGTAGTAACAATTTATGAAGGGGTGACCCAAGTTCGCGGATATTTTTCTTTTCTTGCAGTTGCATATTTAAAAAAATCCAGATCAACATAGATCTATAATGATATATCATGTTCCATACGTCATAAGATTCGTAATTTATCATATAATCAGATTATATAACATTCCAAGGCTTTATTTACTTCAAATCAATGATAAGACGAGAATATCGGAAGCCTTACCACTACCGACGTCCGTCAAAAAGTGTGACCTAAGTTCGCGCATGATATTTACTGCCCTCTTGTGATGGGCTTTATATATGTAAACATTCCAAAAAGTTACGTAGTTTCAATCAGAAGCCGAACTTTATATTGAAACTTTGAAAAATATAATAATTTCTCTCTATCATTGAAATATTGCCCGATAAAAATACCCTTGTTAAATTTTGCAAATAAAAGACAATAGAGTAAAGGAGCCCGTAATCGGCCAGCTCCCGTTTTCGGCCGATTGGTTGGATACAAGGTAAAATCACTATAAAATACATCGCATAATAGCATAACACATATCCCACACATACCATACCATGCCAGTGTCACTGAAGAACCACATTTGCAATGGAAAATATATCCTAAAATATCACATTTTAGCGATGTAATCGCCGGTCCCGCTACCCAAATCTGAAAAATCGAGTATCTTACGCGTGTCTGTAAGAAATATGGGTACCATAAAATGAGCTTTATTTCAAGTATTTTTCAGATTTAAAGCCCGATTTTGTGCTAGTCGCAAGCTCAAAAGTATGTCATCGCATGTATTAAATCAATGCAGCCGCACACCGCGACGCACACACGATATCTCTATCTAATTCAGATTCCAACTTCCGATCACCGCTGTGCCCGTCTTCGGCCAGGCGAGCACCAGGGAGCTCCGGCGTGGGATACCTGCTCCGCCCGCTTGTGCTGTACATCAGCGCGGAAACGCACGGCGCGCGCGAGCGCTTCCTATTGACTTTGTACATGCGGCCGTAAACTGAAACGCTCGGCCGATAACGGGCTCCAAAACAGTGAAAATTGAAATGGATATTGTCATGGCAATTCGTGATTTTTTTCTGGGATTCTTTTTTTGTGTAAATAATAATAATATTTGCTTCATGATTTGAACAAGAAATGATAATAAATAGGAAGTAAAGAGTCCTAAAAATAGGATTTTGTCTTAAGTGGCCGAAAACGGGCTACTTTACTCTATTTTTCAATGTTTATGTGTTAATGTCAATGTAGTCCCTATCTGCATGTCATTTGTTTGTTTGAAAAAATTATCATGTGTCTCCATTTTATATGTCAGCCATACACGAGTTCTCGCTCTTTTCTCTCTTTGTCTCTCCTCTTTCCCCTTTTAAATTTGTATTCTTACGAACCATAGATTCATTGAAATTCACAAACACAGATACGGTGGAAGCAGGCGCGCAGGTTCCGTTTTTCGCGTAAGAAATTGGAATTTTATCATTATTTTTCGGAGTCGATCCCTCTAATAAACTGATTTTCATGTAAAAAAAAACACAATTTGTTATGATAAAAAGCGTGAAAAAGCTAGCTTATTCACATTTTTATGCCGCATTTTGACCTTTGGAGTTGTCGACGGTGCTCAAAGATTTCGTTGTCTCAGTCCCACACAGGCATCGCGTATCGTTCTCCTGTTATAAGCGCTTTTAGTGTTAGTACGCAAACTTTGGTCACGCGCGAACTTTGGTCACACCACCATACTTTGTCTTAAAAAATATATGGCGGTGTGACCAAAGTTCGCGCGTGACCAAAGTTCGCTTTCTCAAAAAATCGGTAAGATTTCGAAAATCTGATATCACCAATGGAAAGAGGGTCTTAAAATTACCCAGAAACAAAATTTTCTTTAGAATTGGTTGCGAAATTGTGAAAATATTGACAAAAGATCGGCAAATTTTGCAGTTATTTGCGTCCGTTCCGAAAAATTATCAACTTACCGATAAGGGTCTGGAAATCTTCATTTTGAGATCAGAAATTCTCAAAATTGTAAGTAAAGAGTGGTACGAACTGATTGTACGATATCTTGCCTTGCAAATTATGATATTACCTTATTTTTGATGGATCGCATTTTTTGATAAATCAACTGTAAACCACCGTGCGTGAAGTTAGGTCTCATTGTTTTTATGACTTTTTTAGATGCAGCGCGCGCGCACGATCAGACATCGAATTTTTAGATCGCGATATCTCCGAAATCCTTCGACGGTAATTTTTTCTAGTTGAACCAATCTGTAGTAAAAAACTTTGCCGTCCATTTGGTAATAATTGAAATAAACAAAGTTGTGTAGAATGTGAGAAATCATAGATCGAATATCACATTTTGTAATATGTTCTAAAATGTCCGCGAACTTTGGTCACTCCTTCATACAATCAATCGTTATGTTACTGAACTTGTCTTTAAAATTATAAAAAATGTTAATCTTAAATATAAGTTTAAATTTTAATTTTAACATTAAAGAGAAGAAGAAAACTAAGATTATGAAATGCAAGAGGCAGGTAAACAATACCTAATATGCGTCCGACATCACCCCTTCCTGCAACCAACCTTCCCGAACAGTAGCTTCGGAGTTCGCTAAACTGAGGACTATTTCTTCGCAGGAAAAGCACTTTAAAATTGGTCAAAAAATAAATATGAATTGTAAGATTTTGCTACCAGAGTGATTGCGATTTGCTTACCTTTCATGTGTTCTTGATGATAATTGGTAAAGGTGTGATTTACATGTACATGGCAAAAACGCTGACTTCTTACGAGAGTTCGCGATGTATAGAGAACTATAATAGCGATTACCTTATTTGCCGGCGATAAGGCCGCACCCCCTGATTTTGACATTAAAAAAAAACAAACTTTTGTTGAAGTCAGTTTTGATCTCTTGCTTACAAATGTTGATGTGACCATAATCACCACCTTAGACCGCTCGGCCATCCCACACTGATACTAGCCAATGCAGTTTTCTGTGATGTATACATTGGCGCATTGACGCATAGGCCGCACCCGACTTTTTGATATTTTCTCTTCCATAAATACTGCGGCCTAGTTTACGCCGGCAAATACGGTAGTGTAAAAAGGCATGCGCGCAGTCTCACTCAATTCAGTGAAGGGGTGATCAAAGTTAGCACAGATTTTAGAACATATTAGAAATTGTGATATTCGGTCCATGTTTTGTCATATTCACAAATTTATTTGTTTTAATTAATACCAAATGGACGGCAAAGTATTTACTATCAATTGGTTCAACTAGAATATTTATCGTCAAAGGATTTCAGAGATATCGCGATCTAAAATTTTTATGTCCGATCGTGCGTGCGCTCTGCATCTAAAAAAGTCATAAAACAGCGAGACCTAACTTCACGCACAGGGTTTACAGCTGATTTATAAAAAAATATGATCCATCAAAAATAAGGTAATTTCATAATTTGCAAGGCAAAATATCTTACAACCCGTCAGTACCACTTATTCCTTACAATTTTGAGGATATCTGCTCACAAAATGAAGATTTCCAGACCCTTATCGGTAAGTTAGTAATTGTTCGGAATGGACGCAAATGAGGCACAATTTTTTGTTAATATTTTCATAATTTCACACCCGATTCCAGAAAAAATCAGTCTATGGGTAATTTTATGTTCCTCTTTTCATTGGTGATATCAGATTTTCAAAATCTTACCAATTTTTTGAGATAACGAAGTTTGGTCAAACAGCCATACATACTATAGTATAAAGTACTTGTATTTCATGTTTTTTACATTATTGTTTAAATATCCTAAGATTTTTTTGTTTGTGTATGTAAAAATATGTATTTAATGCACTTCATACACAGGAATTGGCAATATGAAATTATGGCATATTTTATTAAACAATGCCACCTATTTGTTCCCCATCGACAGGGTGTCAGTTGGAGATTCAAGGAGGCTCATTGTTGGAGAGCAGAGAAGAATATCAGGTGATCAGAGGAGGGTGTCGGGTGATCAGAGGAGACTTGTAAGTGACCAAAGGAGACCTTTGAGTGACCAAAGGATTGAGAGGAGACTCTCAGGTGACCAGAGAAGGCTTTCAGCTGACCAGAGAGGCGTATCCGGTGACCAACGTAGAGTCTCCATGGATGCACCAGGAGCACGGGGTAGAGGCGGAGGATTGATCGTACAGAGGTAAGACGGATCTGCAATTTTCTGTTACTTAGATTCAAGGTATCAGTTAATATTCAAAATATCATATCAGCTAAAAGTGGGACGGAGGGTAAGTTTCAAAGAAAATGAACATGAGTAAAACACTCCAAAATGTAACTTGTAGATACTCAATAACCACAATATATATTTGTAAAAGGTTTTAAACATTTAAATATTTTTTTTTCCCACTCATTCAAAGTTAACACATGCCTACCCCCCCCCCCCTTAAAAACAAAAACAAAAATATTCATTGACTTGCCTTCAGTCTTTTAAAAAAATGTGCTAAAAAAATAGGTTCCACTAATATGAATGTTCAATGTATTTATTTTTTCACAGGCTTTCACTGATGGAGAGACTTGGGGCACCGCCTGCTAAGAGACCTAACCTGGGAAATCCATTTAGCAGGTTAGTCCTTGACTACCAATTGCCCTATATCTGGATAACCAATAATTATCTCATTCTCAAGTTATTGAAACAGCTTTTTGTCTTGACCTGGCAACATCAGGGTTTTTACTAGGGATTTTCTGCTAAATTGTTCCACATGATGGCCTGGGTAAACAAGATATATTATTATTATTCTGATCTAATACCAATCATTCCTAGTTTAAAGATAGAATATTAAGCCTTAGCTACTAAACACAGAAATGAGTTTCATATCTCAATCTTTTCTTATCCAGTAGATTAATGGACTCATGATAGAGATTGGTGATAACTCTCTACTTGTATATATATTTACCAGTAACTGCATTTAATTCTTGACAATGGGAATGATACGAACAGAAACTAAATAGAGCTTGCTAATATTGTTCTATAATCTTTATTTTCAGTTCTTTTCAGACTGAAAAATTGCTGGTACTCACCATATCTGTTAGGTTTCAAATCAAGTGTCAATTGAACCATATGATTAAGTGAAAATAGTAATTATGTGCAATGTAAGGACTGGATTAGGGCCAAATGTTTGATAAACTCTACTAGAATGTTTTCTAACACATTGAAACAAATACCGGTATATATACCTACCGTATTTGCCGGCGTAAAGGCTGTAGTATTTTTGGAAGAGAAAATATCAAAAAGTCAGGGTGCGGCCTTTGCGGCGAACGAGTTTAAAAAAATATTTAAAAAATCGCATGTCACAACCATGAAAGACAGCACGAATTTGTACATATGGGACAACAATGAAAGGTGATGGACATTTCTAGAATAACTGTCTAGAATAACACATTTCTTACCGACAATTATGTGTTATATTTTTTAAATGAAGGGGAAAGTTTTGTCAATCTCGTAATAAAATTCATAACTTACCAACCAAACTCTACTGGTAGATCTAGATTTAAGTTGCCATAGCTAAAGCAACCTCAATCCTCTCGACTCGCGTGAGCAAAGCTGTGGCGCAATACACAAGAGAAAGCTGCAAGGGAAAGCATCAAGATCGGGGTGACCGAGCGGTCTAAGGCGGTGGTTCAGGTCGAATCTACGTTTGTACGCAAGAGTTTGTATCCCGCCTCTGACAAATGTTTTTTTTTTTTTTTTTTTTAAATTTAAATGTCAAAATCGGGGGTGCGGCCTATGCAGCGCTGCGGCCTTATCGCCGGCAAATACTGTACTTTCTTTAAAGATATGCTAAAAATAATCTTTAATTACACCTTGTGTGATATGTTTGTATTTTCAGGCTAGGAGGACGAGTGGGACCAAGGAACCGAGCCCCCAGTGATGATGAGGAAGAGGACCTGGATCACAAGGTGAGAATCAAGACTAGATTATCTCTAGTCTAAGTAAATCTTTCATGTCCAAAGGGACATGGGGAAAATTGAGTATGGAAAGTTGTTGTACCTTTAATCTTTTCATTTTGTTCTTCATATCTTCATATTATATTTGCAGAATGAGATCATAATGTATTTACTTCAGTTAACCTTCTCTTTCTTTTTTAAATGATATAACTTTGAGTACACAAACCAATTGAGACAAGCCCATTGAAATATGCTACATAGTGGATTCCAGTAAAGTTCTATTATTATCTTGTTATAGTTTTTGTTATGTATCGTAAATACTTTTTTCTTTCTCTCTTTGACAGCCTCTTGTTCAATCCTCTGTGGTAACTACCCTCACAACATTGACACCCAAAACCCGTCAACAGACTATCAAAGAAGGACAGAAAGACAAGAAGAGTACTGATAGGTGAGTAGCCAGCCCGTGGGATTTCAAGAAAAGTGACTCGGTAACATTGCTTTAGATTCTGAAACAAAATCCTGGATTTAGCTCATGCTGCAATGATAATTATAAACCTTTAGGTCAGTCAGGAATCCCATGAATTTTACAAGCTGATGGCATGTCTGATAATCAAGATATTTATGATTAGAAATCAAAATGTCATTTTTCGTTTTCCTAAAGGTTTTTTAATAACACTACAGTCTATTGGGGAAAATGAGTATGGTAAAACCGGTCACTCAAAGACTTTTACTTTTTTTGAGGCACTTCATGATCATTTTGAAGCGCAATTTTTCTAAGGCTTTAATATTACACCATATCACAGACAATGATAACACGTAGGGCCATGCCTCTCAGATTTAACATTGTTAAACGATGCCTTTAAAGTCATTTGAGGGATAGGTTTGACTTACAATTTATACAAATATCTTCAAAGTGTACGTGTGTAGGAACCAAGGGCATATGAGTTCATATCAACCATCCAAGAAAGTCAAGTAAAATAGAATGGTGTGTGAATGAGACCATTGTATTTTACCTGCAGTTAAACAGATGTAACTGGAAACATCACAGATAGAAATATTGTCTTGAATTATGATAACAGCTCCTGTAGCTGTATCATTTTGAGTCTAGAAATCAACGATCTTGCTGTCAAGATAATTTACCGGTAATAGTAGTAGTATAGCAGTATCTTCATTGCTGTTGCTTTTCTTTGTTTTGTTTATAGGAACAAGCGCATGTTTGGTCACCTTTTAGGCACCCTGCAGAAGTTCAGAGATGAGAGTGATTCAAAGACAGACAAGGTTTGTATGTTTACAACTTATTTCCCCTCATGTAAAATATCACCATACAGTCTTATATAACTCACAGTCATTCCATGATATATAGTGATTCAGAATACTTTTTAAGCAGACCTCTTCTATGAAGATTAAAAGAACAATGATACAAAATTAAAACTTATTTCTAATCCACATTAAATTTGTGACATCCACCCAATCTTCTATATAAGGTGGTTAATAATGTTCAAATGAAGGCTACATCAGTATGTGTTTGTTCATTCAGTAGACTTTCAAAGGTCTAACGTAATATTATGTAGACATTGTATCTGCATAATGTAATTACATATTTGATTGTAATTTATGAGGAAGACTTTAGGTTGTGGGCTATGGCAATGGTTCCCTAAGGTGCTTTTATAGTTATATAATTTATTTGAGTTCATTTTTATATTTTATTCAAATAACTGAAAACAGACTCCCTTGCAAAGTCGCAGCTGACTCTGTCCTCGGGGCTCCACATTAACTCATTTTTACGTAGGTGTCGTAGGGTCTGTATGCAAGAGCCCCCTCTTTAAAAAAAAAATAGGGGGGGGGTTCAAAGTTACAGTTTTGTAAAGGCCTATGGGCCTACGGCGCCTGCTGGTGTCCAGCCTTTCTCGACAGTAATCAATGCACCACTGTTTTTGACAACCTTTGACATCATGTTTGACATTCCAGGACAAGCGCAGGAAGGAGATTGAGAAGAAACTGGATGAGAAAGCCGTAGAAGAGAAGAAAGCTGTGGCAGAAGAGAGGAAACTTTTAATGAGGGACCGGAAAGATAAGCAGGCAGAGCTCAATCGTCTAGAACAGCTCGTTGAACTCACACAGGAGGTACTTTATTAGATGGGAGAAATGCAGTTTCTTTTGCTTCTGTCAATCAATTCCTTCAAAATGTTAATATTTGACCATATTGAAGGGAATATTTTCACTGCTAATTTTATTTGTGGTTGATTTTATTTCAATTTCAGTAAGGTTATGTTTATCTAACCAAATCCACTTTATCTGCTGATGAATTGATTCTGAAGGGCCTTAAGATGGGAGTTTATTCAGTGGTTAGCTTGTGGGAAATCCTTCTGGTCTTATCAGGCAACATCCTTTATTTGACTGTTAAAATATAAATTTACATATACATGTATGTAATATAATACCAAAATATTGTATTCATTGACATTGTAACTTTGTTTATCCATAGCACAAGGAATGGGATGCTCACTCTGCCGTGCTAAGTAACTACATCCGCACCAGAGCCAAACCTTCCATCTTCTACAAGCCTGCCAAATGGACTCTGGGTACAGAGAAACTCTTCAAAGAGTCTAAGCAGATACTGAGTGGTGAGTCATCATCTTGATACTATATCTTTCATTACTTCTGGAGGTTTTCCAGGGTATTTCATTTGTGTGATTTGACCACTGATATCATTTGTCGTATTGAATAATATGAATAATCAATTTGAATTTGTGATTTGGTATAATTATAATTAATGAAGCCGTTGTGAGGGATCTAATTGGAGTGATGTGATGAAGCCAAACGAAAAAATAGTTTATTAGATCCGCCAAAAGATCAGCACTTACTTCTGTCATATAGTGTTAATTGTGTTTAACTATAACCATTTTATTCTTTTCTTCTCAGCTGCTGTAGAGAAGCGTAAAGCCGAGCTGGAGAAAGAGATAGCCGAGTTAGAAGGGAAGCCCACCAAAGAAGAGGAGAAGAAAGAAGAAGATGAAGACTCTAAGAAGGACAGGAGAAGGAGCGGAGAGGACAGAAGGAAGAGCGGTGAGGACAGAAGACGGAGCGTGGAGGAGAGAAGACGTCGCCATAGTAACCAAGATGAGGTAAAGGGTAAGAAGGATGATAGGGATAGCTCACATGTTAGGGAAGATCGTGAGAAGCATGGCAGTGATGAAAAGCGAAGAGACAGAAAAAGGTCTAGGCATGAAGATGACAAAGAAGCAAAAGTTTCCAAACCGAAAGACTCTGCTAAGATTGAAGAGGATCAGTCTTCTAAAGATAAAGAAGATGAATCCTTGAAAGAGAGAACTGCTGAAACAAACCCTGATCACGATGAAAAGAAGGAGAAAAGGAAGATGATGATGGTAAGATGGAAGGTAAGTATGAAGAAGAGGTGAAGATAGAGGAGGAAGAAGGAGGTGAGGTGAAAGAGAACGGTCAGGATAAGGAAGATGGGGGTAAACAAGGCAAGGAAGAAGAGTCACAGGTGGTAGCTGATGAAGAGTGGGGTAATGTTGGATGGGGGGATGATGGAGACAATGCCGAGAAATCAGCAACAACTGATGCAGTAGCAGGTCAAATGGATGAGGGACAGAATGATCAAGAACAATTGGACTATATTTATGATGACCTGTGAAGCATTTCTGTTGAAATTGGGAAGGAATATTTGTCACATACCATCACATTTTTGTTTTCAATGAAAAATACTTGATAGGTTTTAACATTGCATGATTTTTGTTTTAATGCATTGTCCAGGGAGTGAATAACCAAGGTCACAATATGATTAACAAGTAATGATAATGAATTCTATTTAAGAAATATGTTTTCAGCTTCCACAACTTATAAGCTTATGATTTGAAATCAGCTACTTTGAAAGATGAACTTTAAATTTAAAAGGAATGTCTGTAGATTAATTTCTTCAATATTTTTTAAGAGTAGCTCCTCCTTGACAGACTTTCTGATCTGATCTCCTCTATCTTCTCCTCTTCTCACGCAACAATCTTAAGTTTCCCTTCACATAAGGACAATGAGCATGCGTTTTCACTGTGCTTTAACACTTTGAATTGGGCGGATGCTTTTAGGGGGAAATAACAAATCATTACATACCTTCTTGATTTAGAAAGAGGTGGAGAGTAATTTAAAATGGGAATTTGGTTTGGGTTGCAATCCAGAGAGAGAGCGTGTGTGTAAGGAGGGGGGGGGGGGGGGGAGCAGGAGGGAAGGAACTGTCTTGTTAATTGTAGACCTGTCTGTGAAACCAGATTCTTTGGGAAATTCAATTATGCAATTCATTCACTTCACAGTATGATACTTGTAACGATTCTTCTCTACCTGCAAAATTCAATCAAGGTTTTCTGCACAAGAAAGTTTCTGATTTGACATTACCCCGTTTCCTATACGTTGGGGTAGTACGGTGTGTTACTGGTGGGTGAAATACATAATATAATCTTTATATCTTCAACCTACCAATATTCCTGGGAGAGAGATAGAGAGTGTGAGAGAGAGAGAGAGAGAGAGAGAGAGAGAGAGAAAGAGAGTTGAGAGAGATACAAATGAACAAAAAACAGGAGGGGGTGGGGGTGTGGTAAGCTTGTATGTCATTACTTTGGGAATTTTAGAAGTTTTGACATTATTTAATCGTAAGACTTGTATTGTACATTGTAAAAATGTTTTTCATTTATGAAAGAATTTGGATTGTTGATAAGGTGTATGTTATTAATGAAATATTAACTTGTTTTCAAGCAGGATGCAAATATGCCAACTGAAACATTGTATGCAAAATATTCTCAGAACATTAGTTGTGTAGTTGACTAGCCCTCTCGATTATCCCTGAATATAGTGTCTGTTTGACATTACCAAACTTTTATTTAGCTTCAAGGAAGCATCTAGTTAATAATCTCGCGAAAATTGGTGGGTCTTAAAGTGGCTGGAAGTGGCACTATTTTATGTCTTTTGTTTTTTACTGCCAAAAGCTTCCTCAAAAACAGGATGTAATCTGGTGCCTTCAATGAGGCAAGGATTTGTATTGTCAGATTATCTTTTGTCCGTTTATCTCTGGCTCTTGCTATTTGAGTGAGTGTATAATCTGTCAAATTGTGGGTGTATGAGTGTGATTGTGTGTATACTGCTTGTCAAGAAGTGGGGCATTTTGCACCATTTAGTAGGTGTGTGTGAATGTCAAGTGATATTTCTTCCATATATGGTCATTTTTTTAAGGATAGACTGGGCACATTGCCAGAGTATAGTCATGAATTATACAATTAAGAAAAAGAGAGAAAAGATTAACAAAAGCAAGACACAGTTTGTTCCAAGAATTTCGCACTGCACATATATATATACTTGTATTGAATGACCATTTTGTTATAATTACCAAAATATGTCTCCATTATATTTCATGGGTAGGTTTATCCTAGCCCTGTGTTTTCTATTCTAATTTTAAACCTGCAAATGAAAATATGTTTTCAATTTAAGAATACAAATTTGAGAGTGTTTGAAGAAAGCGATTTCTCAAGGGATGTTAAATTGGCACTCTCCACAAGCAAGATGTGTATTTCTTATTCATGTCATGCATATAGTGTTCTTTTGACTTTACTTTTGTTTGCTTCATATTTTAGTTTGATATGTTTTAAAAACTCAATTCTGCTATAAACTGGTCACAATTACAAACAATATTTCGACATTTTGTTTGTGTTTTTTATATTTTGTTTTAAATCTATTGTATTTTGATGAAAATGAAGAAGAGTAATTGTTTCATATCTCATTTTAATTTTATTTCCCTTTTAGGAGGGGGGGGGGGGGGGGTGAGTTGGGTCGAGGGATTCAAAAGTCAACGTCAGGATCATATACTTGTAGGTTGACAATTCTGTATGTAAGTAACAAAAATGATTTGCCCTCTTTTGTTATATTTACTATTTTCTCAATGTTATCAAGAATGGAAATATTGTATTACATCTTTGACATTTGAGAGCAAAATTTTTTCCTGTTATTAAATCTGGTCATAGGTCTCTATAAGAAAGGTTGATGAGCATACAATGAACTTTCATTAGTTGTTATTCAAAAGACTGTTTAATATAGCAGAAGCACTGTTTTGTTGTTCACTTTAATAAATACATGCATTTGTTTTGATTAGATCCATGATACAAACACAATTTTTCGAGATGTTAGTGTTAAACAAAACTATTTACCTGGGTACATGTATATATTTTTTTCTTCAGGGGGATGGGTAGGTAGGTTTTTTTTTCTTCTTCTTTTTGAATAATGAATAAAGCTTGCTTGAAGATACAACATTATGATTTACAGCCATTAGCTGATTTGTCCATATTAACAATAGGAAAACTTCAAAGTATAAATATTCCAAAATACTCTATATTTCACAATGAATCCATAATTCATGTAACAGTTGAATGATAAAGTCATGGAAAGCAATATTGTTAAAGATAGTTCTGCTTGTACTTCAGTCTTGTTGTACATAGCTAGGCAAGTTGTATCAATACTAATAAAGACTGGCATCTTAACAAACTTGAAAACTAATTTTGCCCCCCCCCCCTCCTTTTAATTTTTAGGGCAGCTGTTTTGTCCCATTTGATAAAAACAATTAAACAGTAGGTAGTTAATGAAAATGAATGTGTGCCATGTAATCTTGTATTATTAGTGGTAAGTTTATGTACATAATCTACATGTTTATACCATTTGTGTTTTGGGCCTCGTTGAATGAAAGTTACTTGTGATATTAGTTGTATTAGCTGAAGCTTTAATCAATTATCTGCCAAAGCCAACCACAGATGTTCTATTGTCGGTGAGCAAGAAATCGTAGGCTTCAGTTGCAACTTCGTTCAGTTGTAATTTTGATGAAATGAGGCTCGGAACCAGGGGCATCCGAACTCCATACTTTCTATGAATTTATTATTAAATCTTTTTTTCCTTCTAAATTGCTTGTAAATTTGTTGTGATCCACCCCTCCCAAGTCAAAATGGTCTAGTGATGCCCCTATCCGGATGTAATACTTGTACAGCGTATCTTGATATGTATAATAAATGATTATCTTTTATTTCCAGTTATAATCTATATTACTGTGTGTTTGAATTTATAATTGTAAATCGATTTCAAAGTTGAATGAAAGGCATGCAATGAAAACACTATATAAAATAATGGCAGAATAGAAAGACAGGGAGAGAGAGAGATAATTACATTTATAGAGCAGGGAGCTCCCACCTCCCTGTATCCGAGAGAGAGATTGAGAGACAGACAGACAGACAGACAGACATAATGTATAGAGGAGGTGGAAGAGGCAATGGAGGAAGAGGAGCTAGAAAATGGGGTAGGAAGGGAGAAGAGAATGATTCAATTTGCAAAAGAGTTCATAATTCGGAGGCATTAAATGAACACTTAAAACTTTATTAATGTCGTCATTCATATAATTTATTCTACAAAAGGCATTTTCTTGAAACATTCCATACTGTTCAACATAGTACTGACATGTATGACATTTATTATAGGCATGTGTTGATTAATTTTTGAGGCAAAACTGATCCACATGCAAACTGCAATTAAAAATAATTTTGTGCAAATGATGTGCAAAATATCTCTGAAGAAAGTAGGTCTGTTTCATTAGTGGACAACTGAATGGATTTATTAGACAGAAGATATTTTTCTCATGGAATCAAAGCTTACACTGAGTGCCCACAACTGCAAATAGATGATGTCTGCCATAGAGATTAAGGTAGAAACTATGTTATACCCAAGTAATGAGCATAGCAATGAGCTACCCTGACACAGTAACACAATCTGCTCTGTGTAAATGTGAGTTGTGCTTTTTGATCAAATATTATTTCCATGCAGCAAAATTCTGGTTAGTTGGTAGGTCTAAACAACCGAACTTTTGTGCCAGTTTGACTCGAAGCGGAACTCCAATACATTTACTACAAGAACTCGTGATCATCTTTGATCAAATCATATATAGCATATCTTGATATTGGCATTGTAACTTATCAAACTCCATTGATTTACATTAATGTTCTGATTTGTAAAAAGTGGTGGCATAATTGTTCGCAATCGTAGCTACCAACAATTAAAATTCCCAAAGCACATTAGCCACTGCAGTAAACATATTGCACCAAAAATCAGCCTACAGACAATCAAGTTATAACACATCACAAGGCATCACTGCAATCCCACATTAACGATAGCAGAAAAATACTGCAAATTCTAACTACTGACTTTGAAATGTCAAATTTCAGGCAAATATCTCTGGAAGACAATGTTGCATATAAGATAGGCAATTTACAAGTCTGCTGTTGCAGCCAGTTGCCAATAGGCTTACTTTCAGATCATCATTGTAAAGCTTTAATTAAATTATCTATCTTTAATGGTTTAAAACATTACCAAGTGAATCCTTTATTTTGGTCTATGGGAAACAAGAATATTTGCCCCGAACAAATATAATTGCCAAGAATTTCATGGCAAAATGACTCTCCTTACTGAATCAAAAGGATTACTAATGAAAACACATACTATTCAGCTGTGATTAAATTGTATATAAATACATTTTGAACATTTACAATAAATGGCAAATTTTATGCAAATTAATTTTGTCAAACATAGAAACCTCGCTAAAATTTTCTATGAGGGTGTTTCCTTCACCATCTCAAAGAAATAATTGAGTTGGACTGAGTTTGCATGTTATTTCAATTTTATATGGTACAGATATTCTGAAAAATTACTAAATCACAAAACATGTTCAGGTGTTTTTCTGCCCCCCCCCCCCTCCCCCATGATACATCATCGTTATAAGGCATCCAAAGGCTTGTCATCTCTCCTGTTCAACAGGATGACTTTCTCTGCTAAACCAGCTGCCAATCCTTCTTGATGAAAGACAAACTCTCCCTCAAGGGCGGGGTCATACTCTGTCAAGTTCATATTGCTTCTCGCTAGGACGTCGTACTGCCACGCCCCAAGAAGACGACTCTTACCCTGCCTAGCAAACAGGAAGACCAACGATGCTTTGCTGATGAGATGCGGGAGGATGGAGATCATGTCATCTGACCAAGGAGGAGGTAGGTAGGTGAGGTTAGATGAGGTGCTGTCACCATGACAACAAGGTGGAACATCAACATCGTCAGGCAGTATTATCACAAAACCTGAATGGGTTTTTGAAATGGAATGCAAGAGTATAAATTTGCTTTGAATAAATAAAACCATTGCTCAATGAATATTGTGCAAATTCTGAATTGATTTACAAGTACAGAACACAGAGTGGCTGTGAATGAGTAAAAACCCAGCACAATTTTAATACAAGGATGTTATAATACTTGGAACTAGAAATACATGGTATTGCACTTACATCATGAAATAGGATCTTACTGTAGATTATCATCAATGCTCTAATGTGCATTTCCGTTTATTAATGTCTGTCAGATCTTTGTTATTAAATACCAGATGATATATATGTGCTACACTACTCTTAAGTACCATGTTTAAATGTTCAAACTCTCAGAAATCAATTGAGATATTTGGTCTTTACCATGTCTGCAATTCCCCATATTGCTTTGGTCAAAGAACATATAAATTTCCATACTTCTTGAATGAATGTTTCCGACTCTCGTGGCCTGGGTGTCAGAAGGATATGGTACTTTTTCTTCAATAGGTTGGAAATCTTACCTGTGAGGACTGCCCAATGTGCAAAATGTCCCTTCCTTGTGGCCGGTTCATTGTTTGAGTCTTTATCATATCTGAACCAAATTTTGGTCAAGGCAAAATACATGTTGAATTGAATATTCCAGTACATTACACTTAAGCTTCTGTTCATGTATCTGATGTTTATTCTATAATCAATGCATACATTTCCCATCAGTTGTGAGTTTGGTTGTTTGGCATCATTTGGTACTAGAGGTTGAAATCATATTTGCAACTGTTGCATAATGTCAGATGAAAAATTCAGTTCAAAGTAATACAATAATCAGTTCTGTGAAACTGTTACATACAGAACTATTGTAACCCCTTGTTTGATTAAGCATGAACAGATTAACAGTGAGGTCTCATTTATGCATTTCATTTCTTGCATAAAGGATGATAATAGTTGACACTACTGGTATGAAAACAAAATTGTTATTTTGATTGATATGAATTCATTCACATTGGTGCCTTACAAACAGAACTAAACAAAAGTAGTTGAAAGCAAGATTAAGACCGCTCTTAGAAATTAGGCAGTGCTCCACACTAACTTTTATTTGTGGGGGTTGTGACTGGATTGATATGTTAGGGTCTGTATGCATGCCTTACTCATCCCCCCCATGTTGACAATTTGAGGCCCACTTGTATTGGACACCTGTTGGTGTCTAACCCTGACTCGGTTCTTGCAAAGGGTCTCTCTGACGAAGGTTATATGGTAGTTAAGTTTGGGTAAAAGGATACGGTACTAATACTGGTAATCCTCTTGCTAGATGACTTATCACATCCTTTCTATGAATCTGAAGACCATCAGAGAGCAGTCTTCCTGTCATGTTAAATTCTTCCTCTGCAAACTTCAAGGTATTTGATGCTGAAAACAGTAGAAGGTTAACCAATAATAAATCATATACCTATTCATTGGGGGAAAAATGCAGCCATTTACAGAGATCGATCTTGTTGTCTTTAATTAATATATATCTTGAATATCCAAAGTCCTTAGGAAGCACACATGAGAAATGCGCTAGATCTATACTAAAACAGCATATTATTATTGTACTTTCTGCGCTACATAGTGTTTTTCTGCGTATTCATTATCCCATATTTCTTACCTCAGATTTATTTAGTTTCTACGAGTTCTTTTTCATATCTCTGTCTTCTGTGAGATAAGAGGCAGATATAACAGTCTACGAGTTCCTTTAGGGCATTTTCTTTTTTCAATATTTAATTTTATTCAACTTTCAAAAAAACAATATTGAGAACTTGAATAAGGTAATAAATAAGAAATATACAAAGAGGAAGCAGAAAGACAGAGTCCTAGCTGATCCAAGATCAAGACATGTACTGGTATTTGAATATTTGATTCAATGCAGGATAAAAACACACGTTCTGTTATACGCAGCGGATCTTACCTGAAAACATTTCCCCCTGGAGTGTGTATCCTTTTTCTATGGCTGAACTCAAGACTACATTCAGACTTTTCTCTGCTGAATTCAGCATGTTGGCAGCCATACATAATGCTACTAGGCCACAGCTGCGTACAACAAGTTTAGAAATATAAAGAAATGGTAAAATATAAGAACTAAACATTTCTACCCACTACACCATATATATTAATAACTCTGCAACCCAAGGATATATGGATATGAAAATGAATTGAAGATATCTTTATAGAAATATGAATCAGATAGATATCTACATATCCTTGTCCATAGATCACATACCAATTGAAACAACATTTATGCTTAAAATAACCTTCAAAATCAAAGTTAAATATGAGGAATCTTCTTGGAACTTATCATTTCTAAATCGCACTAAAAAAATGAGCCGTATTATAGGTTAGGGCCTAAAGAGGAACCTTTGATACTGCCGCCAACTTACGTTGTACCTTGCTGACCCACATGCTTGATCTGTTGATTACAAGCTAGCCACCGAGTCCTTGCTTCATCTGTTGACTGCAGTCTCCTACAAAAGCAACGGAAGGAACCAATCAGGTCATATCCCTTTTACAAGACATCGTTAAAATGCAACTATCTTGAAAGTTGAAACTCTTGCATCATTTCACGACACTGAGAAACCACAAACTTGTACATGTACATTTGTTTCTTGAAATGATGCTCAGGTAATAAGAGTAAGAGTCATCATGCTTTGTAATTGATTTTTATATTAAAAATATCTTCTAAAATTCATTTATTAATTATCTATTATTCAATCATTTTTTTCCTTCATTTTTTTTTTTTTTTTTTTTTTGGGGGGGGGGGGGGTCTATGAATTCAAGAAGATATGATGCAGCAGGCTAAAATGCTCAAGAAAGATGCTTGTTCTTACCATGAAGGCAGCCTCTCAACAGTCTGTTTGACCTCGTCAGCAGAACTCTCAAAGTCTCTATGCATCTGCTTATCATCTAAATGGTTTACAGGTGGCGGAACAACACTTGAAGAAGGAGGAGGAGGAGGAGGCGGTGGAGGGGATGGGAAAGATGCCATCCCGCCTTATTCTAGACTTCTTTTGTTGATCCTTGGACCTACAATTTAAATCACAAATATACAGTAAGATGAATATAAGGATTAACTTGCAGTCAGCATTTACTACTTCATATTGTTAAGCAAACTGCCAAACATATCTTAACCATATCATCTTAGTTAGAAGACTTGAAGTACCCCCCCCCCCCCCAACAACAAAAAAGAAGATCTTTAAAAACCAAAATTGATGTGTGACAAAATGAAACAAATATGCCAGAAATGGGTGATACATATTACATGTTTTATTCTAAAACCCAACTGTACCTAAGTATTTGTTGAAGTAGATATACACACAAGCTTTTTCTAAAATGATAATGAGAACCAAAACAAAACGACACCGAATCGTACACCGCAACGTTTACATACCGCATCCACACCGATTCGCGACGTCATTCAATATACCAACACATTTCAACAACTCTGTGTACACTGCTATTCTGCGCACTCTGGAACTTGGAAGTTGCATATTTTTACAAGTTTAATTATTTTTCGCTTCATATTTCCCACAAACTAGGAAAGAACTAACCTTGAAACAAAAGATTGGAGGAAGCATTCCGGATCAATAATTTAGCATTTCAAGAAGTCAAGAACGTCAACGACAGACTATTAAGCTCAAAACTAGACGTCACTCGCGAGTCTGCTACTGTTAGTCTTGAAATAAAATGTGGGCGTGGCATATGCAATGGTGATGGATATGGCGCGGCCTTCGAAGCTATAGCTTCGTGCGCTGGCGGATGAGGCGTTGGGCACAACGGCCCTAATGACAGAAATAACCGTCTGGTATGGGGAATTAGTCTACAATAAAACTGACATTTGTTAACCTTCCCCATATTCATTGCCAAAAGTCAGCCTGATTTATCAATTTTACGAGAAATGAAGCGAACGAGGGGAAAAGGGACACTTAATTTGTTGTGGTATAATTTTTTTTTTTTTTTTTTTATCTTTGTTTTTTTATTTTTATTTCTGCGTTTTCAAAATATTGATAGTGATACATAATCACATACATAAATTTACAATTATTTCTGTATTATACATAATTACAAAGTTTTCAGTACATTAAGATGCATACAGACGCAAAAACGATTTTGATATAAAAATACAAAATAACAATTAGGGTTATATTCGGGCGCCGTGCTGCCCGAATCACGACGATATTCGGGCAACGAGGTGCTCATTTCATTATTATGGAGATATTCATGAACCTCGCTATCTGAAACCATACGGTTTCTAAATTTTGCGAGCGATCAAAGCGAGTGGGGGAAAAAACACTTTAATATCTCTGAAATGTTATTTCCTCATCAAAATAGCAGCATCTTAATTTAAATCCTCTCGCGGCACCCTCGTTGAAAAACGCTGTACTATAAAGGGTCAAAATATGAGGGGGCAGATTGACCAGGCCAGGAGCCTGGGATCACTACGCACATAGCTTACCCCTTTATATTCACTGTAAAGTGAAATGGCCACAAATAGACCTACATACCCGTATATTATCTTTTATCTTTCACTCTTATCTCAATTTCTTTTTCTTCTTTAATTTACCGTACTCTATATCGGATCACCCCAATCGTTTTTCGATAATCGTTGGGTTAATGCACCTCTTACAACAGATTTAATTCATTTGAGACTTAGGCATGTTCCCAAGTTAATGGTTCGAGCAAGCTACACTGTAATTTCCTATCTCACTTTCTTTTTTCTTTTCTTTTATCTCTCCCCTCGCTCTCACTTTATTTTTGCCATTCGTTTGGGGTGAGGTCACACGCCCCAACTTTTTCAAGTACCCCCAAATTACCCCTTTTTACGTAGGAAAAGATCCCCCTTTTACTTTGACAAGTGCCCCATTCTTCTTTGATAAAAAGCACCTTCCCCTTCTCACTTCTCATGAATAATAATACTATAGCGCCGTCTATCTTATTCTATTCCGAGGCGCATTAATTATTATTACTACTAGCTGCCATTATAGCGCTCCAGTATTTGAAGCAATAAATTCCTGCCAGGTACCATTTACCTCACCTGGGTCGAGTATAGAAAATGAAGGTTAATGCCTTGCCACAGTAGTGCCGTATCGGCGTCCGGGGATCGAAACACGACCTTTGAATTTCAAGTCAAGTGCTTAAACCACTCGACTACGACACTTTCATATCTGATATAATTATGTCCCAACTAAAACTTGATAGGAGCCCCTTTTTCTTTACAAAAAAGTTTTTCCTTTTGCACCTCTTTTGACTTTGAAACGTGCTCCTTTTCTTTTCAAATAAGTTTTATTTTCCCTTTTGATAATTCCCCTTTTCCTATTTACAAAACACGCTCGCTTACATCATTGATATAATAATGTTACTTATCAAAGGTCTTTTCCGTCTTCAAGGCTTTAACAACAAAAAATTGTATTGCCCTTTGCGACCGACCCCAAAATTTTAAAACCTACGGTCGGCTTTTAATTATTTTTTTGACCGTTTTTTAGAAGAAAAACAATTTTTTTTGTTTGTTTAAATGGGATATAACGCATACAATCATAATATTATTCCCAAATTCTCATTCTTTTCTGCCCTAGTTTCTAAATCTTGCTAGCGTAAGTAGGCCTATAGCCTATGATTCCGGTGTGTAGCAGAAGTGGTTGAAACTCGTGTGTGCAAGAAAACACAACTGTATTTATGTTTATTTATTCAGATATTGTTTCTTTATTTTAGTTTTCCAGCAAGTGTAAGTTAGTTTAACATTGAACAATTCAAATTAAAACATGCCGAGTTCAAACATTGAATATTGTTTAAAATTCTTGTCAGATTTGACTAATTTCAGACTAAAAAAACGGATAAAAACATACACTGAGAACAATCCCCAGAACTAGAATGAAGAGCATATATTCTATGCCAGGCCACTGCAAAGTATGATGCTAAATATGCAGTATCTTGGACCATAAATCATAATGTAAAGAGGGAGACAAAATATATTGAAAATCATCTTTGATAATGGGGGCATTTACTCATGTCTGAAAATCGTTTATTTTCGCTGTGAGTTCTTCCTTTGTAGGTGCCCTTATTTTCAGTAAGTGCCCTTGTTTGTTAGTGCCCACCCCACACACATATACTTTGGAAGACCCCCCCCCCCCCCCCCCCCCCCCCGCTAGTGTTCTTCAAAGTTTCATGCTGAGGGGAGCGATCGGAGAAAAGGAAAGATCCCTTGATTGAGCAGCGCATGCGCAGTTTCGACACGCGGTGATATTTGGCGTGACAAACGGACCTCTGACGCGACAAGATGAAAGGTAATACTTGTTCATTGCCAAAATATTGTTTATTGTATTTATTCCAAATAATCATATTGATCAAAATCTTACGTTCAAACTATAGATGTGTTAAGTGTAGATTGCGAAGAAAAATATTTCGTAAAAGTGTGTATAAATTGTAGCTGAATGAAGCATATTGTGAATGTGATATAGCTGCTCGACTCTATTTATAACGTGTGGTTGCGTGTATGTTGTGTACAAGCGGGATGGGAATAGCTGCCTGAGATTTGTGATTGTGGTACACCATGTACGGGGCCGGTGAGAAAATCAACAAGAGCCTCCTCAATTTATAGTTCTGTGCTGGCGTATTAATAATGCCGAGCAGGAGCCCTGTGTTTTTTTTTCAAGACAAGAATCTGTTTTTCATTTTGAGCCAAGGTAATTCATTTTACAGCAAATGTAAATAAAACTAAGAGAAATTGGTGTCCCAAATCAAATGCCAAATGAGACTGAGAGACTGTCTCCCAATTTAATACTGAATTAGGTTTTTTAGGTTACCAAAAATCTTGACAAAAGTCTCAGACATTTAATAATACAAAAAGAGACAGTCTTTACTGCTCCCCCCTCTCTTTTTTTTTTATTTTTTTAATTTTTTTTTTACCTTTGCTCCTTTTTTTTATTCTTCCCTTGTTTCCATTTCCCATTTTTCTATTCTTCCATTCCCCATTCTTCCATTCCCCATTTTTCTATTCTCTTGTTTCCTAAAATTCATTTTTTCTACTCTTCCTTCCCTTTCTCCTTTTTTTCTTCTTCCCCCTCTTCTTTTTCTTCTGTCTTCCCCCTCTTCTTTTTCTTCTGCCTTCCCCTTTTCTTTTTCTTCTGTCTTCCCCCTCTTCTTTTTCTTCTGCCTTCCCCCTCTTCTTTTTCTTCTGCCTTCCCCTCTTCTTTTTCTTCTGTCTTCCCCCTCTTCTTTTTCTTCTGTCTTCCCCCTCTTCTTTTCTTCTGTCTTCCCCCTCTTCTTTTTCTTCTGTCTTCCCCCTCTTCTTTTTCTTCTGTCTTCCCCCTCTTCTTTTTCTTCTGTCTTCCCCCTCTTCTTTTTCTTCTGTCTTCCCCCTCTTCTTTTTCTTCTGCCTTCCCCCTGGTTATGTAATATATATATATATATATATTATCTGTAAAGCACTTAGATAGGGCCTTCGGTCCTGAAAAGCGCTATATAAGAACTAGCTATTATTATTATTATTATTATTATTATTATTATTATGTAATATTTCATGGATATTTAGTGTCATGAGAAAGTGGTACCATTTACAAGTGAGATGCTGTTGTACAATACCTGCAGCTGCAGGTAGGAAAGGGATTAATAGTTTAAAATATAATCATAGTCTTAGTTTTGTTAACGGAGCTTAATTGTTGGGACTTGAAAGGAAAATGTTTTGTTGGGAAGGACATTGAGGTGTCACCAATTATTGTTTGTGTTACAACAGTACAACTTATTTAATGTTTAAAGGTTATATTGAACAATTTTCATAGCTTTTCTAAGAGTCTAGAGAACAAATTTCTGACAACAAAGTTCTGCTTATTTTTCATTATCTGGCAATGCATCCATAGTTAAAAAAAAACCTAACATCTCTAAATATGGCCATTTAATCTTACATGGAGTTATGCTGACCACTTTTTGCTAGATTCCATCTAAATTATGGCCACCTTTCTAACAAATTTATATTTTGCTGCTTTTTTGGGGTGGGGGTGCTGATTTCATTTCTTTCATGGCCTTTGTGATGACTTTTAATTGACTGCCTGGTAGACTTTTATTTTCTAACATTGTAGTTTTGTACAGTGGATCTAAATGGATCTAAAATTTCCAACATGGTTTAAATTCTTGTGCTCCTGATCTACATGTACTTATATCTCCTTTGAGTTTAAAGTTGATATGTTTACACACAAAAATTGACAATATAAATTGTTTAAATAATTTTTTAAAATAAAATGTGAACTATTTCCAACATATATGTGTAGGAATCATGATGTACTTTTGATAACAATCTCATTTCATGATATTATTAGACCAATTTTTAGCCGGCCGACTGTATGTGGGCAGCCTCAATCATAGCACGACCAAGGATGACGTTGAAAGAGAGTTCGGCAAATATGGTCACCTCGTTGATATCTGGATGGCGCGCAACCCTCCTGGATTCGCGTTTGTCGAGTTTGAAACGGCTGGACAAGCAGAAGCAGCACTGAAAGAGCTCAACGGTCGCACCTTCTTGGGTAATCGCATTATGGTGGAACCATCTCGTGCCCAGAATGGTCGTGGAGGTCGCGGTGGAGGAAGCGGTGGAGGAAGAGGTGGTGGCGGCGGTGGTGGAGGAGGAGGAGGAGGAAGATACGATAGCAGACGAGATGGTGACAGAGGGAGAACCGGGGGACCACCTAGATCCCCACGAGGCCAATATCGAGACTACCCTCCTAGCGATTATGGTCGCAGTAGCGATTTTAGTCGCGGTGGTGGCGGCGACTTTAGTCGTGGTGGAGACTTCGGCCGTGGTGGAGGTAGTAGTTACCGAGATGAAAGCAGAGGGTCCAGATATGGTGATTCCTACAGCAGCTACGCAGAGACAGCATATCGCAGCCGCTCACCGATTCGTCGCAGGTATCGATCGCTTAGTGGATGTGTCAAACTCTATGTTAAACATGAGCGAAAGGGGTCGATTTATGTAATACACTATGTCGCGTAACCCAAATGTATCTAACTGAAGGCTCTCGTCATAAAGAACAAATATTAAATTCCACTTATTAGATGATATTCTAATTTTTATCAAAGAAGTTTACAAATCAGGGTCCAATTTTTTTTCTTCTTCATACTTCATGACCTTTGTGGAGACAATAAATCTTGAATTGAATAATTCCAAATCTTTAAAGGTAAGGCATTAATCAATTCATCTTTGGTTTTGGAAATGATTTGGAATAAAAGATAAACTACTACTTCAAAGTTCACAGTAAATCGCAAAGTGCTTCGTTCTTCAGTAGCGCTGTGACATCAGTGCATCTTTCAGAGCGCGAGTTTATCCTTCAAAATTGTCACTTGTACACAGAATGGGGGTAAGGGTAATATAGACATCGCGATGGGCATAGTTTCTTCTGAAGAATTCTGTGTTCACAGTTACCTCGGATTCGCAGTATTATAGGAGATGTGGAAGCTATGTTGTTGCGATACATTTGAGTAAAGAGCGTATGGATACACGTAATCGCAATTACCAGAAAATCGACCCCTCTTTGCTGATCTTCAATAAGTCTCTTTTCTACTAGCGTAGCGTCTTCTCACTTGATACAATAATTTTGCAAAGAGCTTCAAGATTAATGTGATATAAGACATCCTCTTCAAAATAACACTACCTTCTTGAGATAGAAATGGTGTACATGTACGTGTACATTGCACTGACCAACTTCCATTTACCAGAACTTTTATTGTAACAAACCATACTATTATTCTCTTTCTTTTATGTTTTTAATGCATGTGCTTTGCAATGAGACATACTCTGCTGTCCTTACCCCAAAAAATTATGTTGCCGATGTTAACCTTTGTTTATAAAGCATTGTATCAGTTTTATGTCGAACAGCAAAAAGTAGGGAAGTACAGAGCATGTAATTCAATTGATTTGTTACAAATTAAAATCCTTCTGATTTTTTTTAATGCACAAAAAGACAAATGGAAAAGAAAGGTAGAAAGCATACAGCAAAAAAAAATTCTCTCCAAAATGTCCATAAATGAAAAGCCATTAATATGCAATATCGATGTTTCTGTTATCTACATGTACATGCATTTTGAATGGATACAAATTTAAATTTAAATAGATGCATATAGTGAGTATCAAACATTCTCTCTCCCTCTCTCTCGTCTTTCTGCATTTCAAAATTTTGGCAATTAAAAGCTAGTATTATTTAAAGAGAAATGTTATTTTTATTCAGTTATCTGTTAAATTTTAAAAAAATTCTGGTTCTGTTTGCATCTTTTATTTTATCCATTTTATTTCTTCCTAGTTTGTTGTCTTTCTCTTTCATCAGTGAATTTTGTCAAGATTTGGAAGTGCTCTACCCCTGCTAATATGTAGCTTGCACAGCAGTTGATTTTCTACGTATTCCTAGCATGTGGTCGCTATCGCAACTCGCAATTGTTAATCGCTACACCGAAAGTTTCGCAATAATCCAACATTAGCTTCTCTCAATCGCGAAGATTCCTCAGCTCTTTCATTGGAAAATTGAAAACGTTCGTAGCTTGATGCAGTATATTGATATCCAGTGAAGAGTGGTACGAGATTGCTCATTAATTTTCGTCTGAATCGCACACGCACAGTGGAATCTACGATAGATCGATGAGCGAGGGAAATTTTCGTTTAATTGACTTCATAATCGAACCACCCATTTTGTAGCAAATGTGTTTAATGAGGATTTATTATGCAACCACACTTTTTAATCCAATATAAATAATATTACTCTTTAATTACCTTGTGAATAAAATCACTGTGTGAGCGTTTCTTATGAATTTTTCCTGTTTTTGATGTTGTAGGAGTCCTGCTTTTGCTGCTCCCCCTCCTTCAAGAGGCCGTGATTATGGCGGGAGGGATTATGGTGGTGGGCGTGACATAGGCAGCAGAGATGCAGGTAGCCGTGACTATACCAGACGGGAACCAAGAAGAGACTACGAGAGGGAACCCAGAGACTATGCATCAGCTCCCTCTGCCAGGTAATTGTTTTTTGTGTGGGCTCTGTTTAAATAATAAATTCATAAATTTATATGAAAAGTGAAGATGCTTTTGCTCACCGATATATGGCTATTCATTGATGAGAAAGCCTTGGGAAAAATGATAAGTGATCTATGATTAGATTGTTTATAAAAAAATCACAAGGTGCTTGTGTTTATTCTATTGACTAATATTGTTTTAATGACAGGAAATACTATAGAAAACTGTAGACCAAGGAGATTGCCTAAGAGAAAATGTCTTCTATTTTTATTTTAAACCATTTACCATGTTGCATCCGGGAATGCTGTACCACCAAAATGATAAACTACGATATCCTTCTGGTAAATTATTGAACACCAATTACCACAAGTGCAAGAAAGTTGATACATTGTCTCGTACCATATATCAAAATTTTTGTTTTATTTTCCACTTCAGCAGCTACGGTGGTGGACGACCAGAGCGATCTCCATATGAAAACAGAGGATCTGACAGAGGCTATGAAAGAGGAGGCTTTGATCAAGGGGGTTATGATAGACCCAGCAGACGTTCTCCTCCTCCAAGACGCTAAATCCCTCCTTTCAAGATTTGTTGATTTGAAAATTAATATTTTCACAAATTCCATTAGCAGTCTAGAATGTGGCCAACTTCAGTCGAATTGGACACGATGCGATGCTGATTTTTGTTGTTTGATGTACATACATGATCATGGTGTTGATATTAGAGTTTTGTCATTGCCCTTTTTATGATTGGATCATTGTTATTGTATTGATTCCCAGTTCAGAATATTCTTGAGGAATTTGGAAGCAGAATTGCCAACATGCTTTGAGATAGTTGCATCTAACAAATGAATAATCGCTTTGAATTAATTGTATAGTGAATAGAAGATTAATATTCTTTACTGCAAATTAACTTTTAAATTCCTTAATATTTGAATACCCTTGTCAATTTTTTTATAGCTGTATTCAAGTATTGGTTGAATTTATTTTTAGGTGCTACGCATTAAATTTTGACACAACACAAATAACAAGGTGTTTCTTAAAACACGTTTCACTATTCAGTGAGGAAAAACATTGTTTACAGGTGAATAATCTGTCTAAAACTGTTTATAGAAATCTTAGTGGTCTCTTGGCACAGATAGATCTGTTAAAATTTGTCATTAATGAATTTATTATGAGATTACTAAATGTTTAAAAAAGTTGTTGATTTTCCCTGGTCCATGCTATGTTACAATCAATTTATTATAACTATTTGTGTTTGATACTCTTTTATTATTTGTTTCAATAAATCTAGGTTAAAAGATTACATCAATCCGATATGTAGTGCAGAGGATTAAATTGAGAATTTGTAATCTTTCTTTCCTCTAAGGATTTATAGAGTACACATGTACATGATAATTTCAAGTACGTCCACATCTTTCCCTAAATAATCTTTTACGATTAAACCTTGGCTCAACCAACACTAACAGCGGTATGATGTACATAGCCCCCTCCCCCCCCCCCACCCCCATTTTTGTTTTACTACTATGTTCCTCTTACCCCAATTATTGTTACTATTTTTTATATTTTGTTTATTGTTCGTGTAGAGCTTTGGTTAAATGAGCATACCTGTAAAAAGTACTGAATATATTCACTGTATTTTGTTATTGTTGTTCAAAGTGTCATGTGTTCTATTCAATTTGTAATTACTGCTGTCCAGACCAGAATGCAGGTTACATCATTTGTTATGTTTTGTGAGCACAGGGTAGAATCTCGAGAGTATCTAAAAAATGTCCAGGTATCATGTTCTGCATGTACAAATCACTGATCGATATGCATTTTAGGGTTAAGCTTGCGTTAATGTAGCACAATGGATAAGGTATGCGATCCAGCTAAACTATTTGTAGCATTATTACAATATCTCCTATTATTGCAAATCAATGCAGGCTTGGATCAAACTACAATACAGGGTCTGCCTTGCAAATTTGCAATTGGTTATTACTTCACGCTATGTGTTGTAAAGGGGCTTACCCTGTTTTTAGTCAGTCAATTTTCAGTTAAGAGGTGGATAATGTGCTTTGAAACCTGGCATGAGGATGCATTTAATTAATTATACCTGTCTCTTAACCCAGGTTGTCATTTAGGGATAATCATACCTAGTAGGATTTATTACCTTGTGCGCTCTTTGTGGTCATAACAGCTGAAGGAGTTGGAAGTTGTTGAATTGTCTACACGGGTCACGAGGTTATTGTTTAGTACTGTATTCGATATCCATTTTACATTGTTGCCATTCAATTCACAATTTTTTTCAATTGATACAGTCATGAGCGACATTTTAGATTTTTGATCTAATATTGTGTAATACTCCTGAATAATTTTGAGCAAGTGGAAAAAAAGAAAGGAGAGAAAACCTGACCCATTCACTTTATTTTTGTATACATTTACAAATTACGATTATATTTTGGTAGTTTGGGGATGATCTCGTCATCATCCTCCAGTATCATAATGTTTTGACTTTGTTGTGAAGTAAAATGTTTGATGAATGGGCGTGCTTTAAATTCTCTCTTTATTTCATAACTACTCTTTGTATTTCTCAATGAGACAGCAAATGCTATTTTCTTCTATTTTGTTTTATATAAAAGAAGCATTCATCCTCATATGGCACAAAAAGTAGGCATAAACCAATGCGCATGTAGTAAACAATCATGCAACCACTCTCTGTTGGGTTTTGCACATTATTCCAATCTGAAAAGTATTAAATGTGAGATATTTCAAATTTTTTCCAAGTGAGTTCTCAATTACTTTGCAGACATGTAGTACCATGCAGTATTTGATATGCAAGTTAAAATTATGAGTGTTATCCAGTATTTGTCAACATTTTTGTTTATCTGTAAATTGTTAACGCGAAAGAGGTACAGGCACACGAAAAGGGAAATTGATTCCTCCCATGTTTGTTGGTTTTATTGTCATCGCTTGTAAGTGACTTTTAAATATTAGCATCGACTATTTTTCTTGTGTCTTTTTATAATAAAATTGTGAAAAAAAGAACATAAACAAAAAGAGGAAGTGTTATTTATGATGTCAATAATTACAATGTGATGAATTAAAAAAGATAATAGAGTTAAGGTTTATAAAATTAACGTACAGGTAGTGAATATCTGATTGAAAGATAAGTGAGCAATGAGAATGAGATGAAGAGAATCTGATATTTTTGCATGAAAGTTCGAAGGGATAGAAGTAGAAGAGATGAAGAAACAGATTACTTTGGAGTTTGGCTGGATAGTTAGAAAAAAATGGTTAAAAGACATGATGAAAACATCAAGGATGGAAGACTGGAGATGAGAGAGAGCAGAGAGGGAGCATCTTAAATTATTTACGAAGTATCTTGTTTGAAATAAGGACACATATTGTTTGAACAAGAAAACTTCCTAAAAGCATTTTTATATTTATATCCACACTGAAGATTCAACAGTTCCAAATTTCTTACAAAACATATCAAGTAGCAAATAATTGACCCTATACAATTTTCTTTTCATTTCCGCTATGCTTAGGAAGAAGTAAATGTAACAACCATATAGAATTTGATGTTGGATAGCATGCTTCACTGGATATTATTAATCTTTCAAATCACAGAAGTAGGCCTAAGCCATGAAACAAATAAATTTATATAAAAGTTTTATGAAATACTTCTTTGATTTGATATATATATCACACTTAATGGGAAAACAATTTCTGTTTTAGTTGCAAGGTTTTCGTTATTATTAATGAGAATCAATGAGCTTTGTCCTATTTTTCATTTAAACATCTGAATTAAGGAAAGCATAAATGTTGCAATGAAAGTTTGATGGGAACTTAATATAAAATAATAGTATGAATGCACCCCCCCCCCCCAACACACACACACTTTCACAGACAAAAACACACAAGAAAAAAAAAAGAAGAACATTTTGAGATTTTACTGTGAGGGCCTTCAAAAATTGTCATATAGGTGGTAAGTTCTTGGCACACTCTTACTCTTAGATGGAAAAAAGTGTATTTTATTATTCTGTAATCAAAGGGAAGAATTTAAATCTTTTGTGTATTCATCTTGAACTCATGAAACATGTTTTTACTTTGGGGAAATGTTTCCATTTGGAGCAAAGCAAAATTGCTGCTTGGGTTGACTTTAATAGTGAAGAAATGTAAAAATACATTTAAAAACTCAAAGGAAAGCACATGAAATTATGATGAATTTTTAAACTTACATAGACTATTGATTAATATATTCATGGAGTGGAGTTTAGGACATCATGTACAGAGTTTCTGATATGTATTAATACTAAGAAAGACTTGTAAGAAAACTATCTTTACAGAGTTGAGGAAATTGGTCATCTCTTCTTTTTCCCGAAATGGCTGATCAAATATCTGATGTCAGTGTTTCTCTGTGTTCCAGTTCGAAATATGTGACACCTTTCCGCCTGAACTATAAACAGGTAAGTATTATGACCATGTAAAATACTTCGTAAACGTTTTATTTAGAGTTAGACTGTGTCGGACTCGACTGAGCTGTGTCTGCATCTGTGTCCATTCTTTGATGGAGCGGATCCCGAACCTCGACCTCTCCGGAGCTACAGCGATGTAGTTTGTTGGGTACCCGCCTGTTGCCTGCATGTTAGCAAGTACAGGTGGCGGGGGATTCACGGCCGAACTAGTGTAGATCTAGTGATAGATCATAAAGTAGATTTAGTTTTAGTCTTTTTTGGAATGTGATATTTCAGTAATAAATAATACCTCATATTCTAGAAAAACTCCTTTTAATGAATACTAGTAAATGGAAAGCAAAAATTATAGACAACAAAATACATTTTGATTATTATTAAATGTAGACGATTACCGGTATTCATCCTGTTCATCAGTAGTGAGTAGGGGCACTGGTCCGAGAATAAAGTCTAAAGACCATCCTCTCAAATGAGGATCGCGTCCACAAAAAATAAGGATCGTCCACATTTTCGTTGATGATTCTGAATTCCGTTGACAATACGTAAAATGGGTTCCACAATGATTTTCTTGGTGCATTTTATTTTTACATTGACTGTGTAAAGAGACTTTCCTGTTATGGATTCATGCATGAATTGTGAAGCGCCAGGAGTGTCAAGTCTGGCAGATAAGAGTGCTATACAACTTACAAGAATCTACTATTATTATTATTATTATTATGAACGTTCCTGCATTTCGCAAGTACATCATACATGTACTGTACATTACTAGTTCCTATCAGAACTATCTATACACATTGTTTAGCCAAATGATATTCAAAGGAAGGGGTAATATATGACACATATGTGTTGCTATTTTGGCAAAGAGAAAACGGTACATAAGTAGATAGTACTTCCTGTTAGTTCCTCATTGAAACTGATTTGATGGCTTGGGCTTCTGTTTGAATGCATGCTTTACCACCTTTAAACAAAGTCATGTTACATTTTTGTAATAATTTGATATTATTTCTGTTTTGCATGTAGGATGGTGTGGAAAAGACATGGGACTACATCAAAGGACATGACAGGTATGTAATCACATTGGAGTGTAACAAGGAAGGCTCACTTCCCTGGGATGTAATGTTTACTCTCAGCTTTATTTTTGCAAAAATACATTGGTTTGAGATAGCAATTAAACATGTAAATGCTTTCATAGTATCAAATAGAACATACTGTTAACTTTTCTACAATTTTTTAAGAAAATAATTCATGAAGTTTCTTACTTTCATGTTACAGTTTGATTTCCTCGTTTTGTACCATAATTATCCTCTTTTTGTACCATAATTATCCAATGGTACCAATCCAACAACTTTGATGTAGGCAAGAATAACAGCTAGTTATGCATTATCCTGTACTTTCTTGTTCTTTGTGTTCTTTTGCAGCATTGCTATTTTGTTATACAACAAGGACAGGGACGTATTTCCAGTGGTAAAACAATTCAGACCAGGTAAAGTTAGAATTTGTAATGTCAAGCTTAAAAAACAGTTGATCACCACAGATTAAATGTGTAGAAACATATTTATTAACCATGTATCATACAAGTGTTTCCATTGTATCTTTAACTTCGAATTTGTCTACATTTTCATCTGTGAGCTCCTTGTGTGGATACTTGTAACGATAATCTTTTTGAAATTTTAAAGTGATTTTTGTCATTTTGGGCTTCAGAATTCGCATGAGTTCGAGGCATTGTAATGGCAATGTTATATGTACTTATTTTAATTTCACTCACACTTTCAATGTACTAACTGATGGGATTTTACTTTTTTCTTTCCGTACCATTTAGCGGTGTATGCAGCCAAAATCAAGGCCTTCACTGATGGACAGAAAGTAGACACTGACAAGCATAAAGGAGAGGAGGGGATGACCCTTGAACTTTGTGCAGGGCTCATGGATAAAGACAAAGATGTTACAGAGATGGCTCAAGCAGAGGTCTTAGAAGAAACTGGTTACAAAGTTCCTCTGGAGAATCTCAAGAAAATAACTAGTTTTAGGTACGTTTTTATTTTTCTTTCTTTATCACTCAGGTGGCCTATGTTATGCAGTCTTTAACGGGTATGCCTTCTACCTTCTTTTATTTCTTCCATAAACCAAGTCCTAGAAATTCCAATTTCTGTCACTTCAATAACATAGGTATCAAATCAGAAGAGGACAAATACTGTACAAGCTGATTTCATCAATGTATCCACACAAAAAAACATTATTGTAGGTGTGAAACGTATAAGGAACTTGAAGACATCTCATATCTGTTGTGTTTTCAGTTTGGGTTGATAGAAATTAATAAGGGCTTCAATAGAATTAAAAAAGAGAAATTAGACAAGTCTTCCACTTTGGCGTCATTATAAAAAATGAACCCTGATCATAGTATGACCTCCAATTACTTCTTCCAATGTTTTGAATATATATATATCTCTATTTACAATTAAGTGATGCAACAATCTATGTTCTGCTTTCTAGATGTGGAGTAGGTACCGAAGGATCCCAACAGCACTTATTTTATGCTGAAGTTACTGATGAAATGAGAGTCAGCTGTGGGGGTGGTTTGGTGGAAGAGGGAGAAATGATTGAGGTCATTGAACTTAGTAACCAGGAGGCCTTGAAGTGCATAATGGATGAGACTATTACCAAACCAGTTGGAATGATGTTTGCATTCACATGGTTCTTTTTTATGAAAGACAAAGAGGAGACATTAGTTGCGAGAAAATGAATGAAAACGAAGATTGTTTCAATATACCGGTAAATACATTCTGTAATACGTGTTGGGTTCATTGTTCCTTATCAAGAAAGTAAATGTGACAGTAACTCAGCTCCACTGTCCCTTTGTCTCGCCTCTAAACTACATATTCCACTATGTGTACAGGATTCTTAGGGATAAAGGTGTCATCATTTTAAGAATTAGGGTGCTTTATAATTATTTAGGCTCATGAGATGCTCTTTTCCTGATATTTCTCATTTTTGAATGAAGCTTTGTAGTTGATGTGTGAAATAAATCATATTTCACATTCATGTACAGGAATGGAGTTGGTGTGAAGGGAACTTTGCAGACACTGTTTTATGCTGAAATTACCGATCAAATGAAAGTCGGTTCTGGTGGGGGATTATTGGATGAAGGCGAACAAATTGAGGTCATTGAACTCAGTAACCAGGAGGCCTTGAAGTGCATAATGGATGAGACTATTACCAAACCAGTTGGAATGATGTTTGCTTTCACATGGTTCTTTTTTATGAAAGACAAAGAGGAGACATTAGTTCTGAGAAAATGACCTGTGATAGTTTATTTCAATATGAATGATAATTCATCCTTCCTTCAATAAATGTGAAGGTAACTCAGCTCCACTGTTCCTTTGTCTCGTCTTTAAAGAACCGATTCACAGTATTAAAATTCCACTGTCAATGTTTATAGGATACTTAAGGATAAAGGTGTAATCAGTAGAATTAGGGAGCTTTAAAATTATTTAGGCTTATGAGATGCTCTATGTCTCTCATTACTCATTTTTTAAATGAAGCTTTGTAGTTGATGTGTGAAATAAATCATATTTCACATTCATGTACAGGAATGGAGTCGGTGTGAGGGGAACTTTGCAGACACAGTTTTATGCTGAAGTTACCGATCAAATGAAAGTCGGTTCTGGTGGGGGATTAGTGGATGAAGGCGAACAAATTGAGGTCGTTGAACTCAGTGGTCGAGATGCCTTGAAGTTCATTATGGACGAGACTATAACCAAACCAGTTTGGATGATGTTTGCTTTCACATGGTTCTTTTTTATGAAGGACAAAGAATAGGCTTTTATTACAGCTGAATCATCTGCAATAGAATCCATTTTCTGAAACATGAAAATAAATATGGTTAGTTATATTATTTTCTTTAATTAGAAAGTTTTAGTTGATAGGTGCCTTAATTATAAGCATTCTTGTGTACCGGTATGAAATGTTGACCATGGGAGGGGACCAAATGCAAAAAAAGTCTTATTCAGTTGCCATCACAGGTTGAAAAATGAATTGTGGTGATTTGTGAGATTTTAATTGATGGTGTCACGCGACCTGCACACCCCTTTCTAGCTCTGCCCATAACTGTGATTTAGGAATTGAAAATCATTAAGCCAAATGTGTGCATGCAGTTAGTGATTATGAGTTGCTGTTTAATGGGACATTGGTTTTCACATTCATTCACAGGAATGAAGTTGGCGTGAATGGAGCATTGATGACACTGTTTTATGCTGAAGTTACCGATCAAATGAAAATCAGTTCTGGTGGGGGATTATTGGACGAAGGCGAGCAGATTGAGTTCTTAGAACTTTCAGGCAAAGATGTGATGAGGCACATGATGGATGAAAATATTGCAAAGCCTGTCGCCATGATGTTTGCCTTTACTTGGTTTTTCTTCATGAAAGATAAAGAAGAGGTTCACACTTGATGAAGAATCATGTTATAAAACTTATATTATATATTTTATTTAAATTGGAATTGCACAATTGTCTTGAGGCTAAAACAGCGAAGAGTTTGGAAATTTTTTTTAAGAGGGAGCTGTTTCAATGTCATTTTACATTGATATAATGACCAAATTTTATAAGCGCTTCACTAAGTATTCCACCCATACATGTTATCCAAATATAACACATTGATGTTAGGAAGATATGTTAAGACGGACAAGGCAGACCAAATTAATGCAATTAAATGCCTTCATTATCAGTATACAGGGATTACATTATCTTATGATCAGTTTCTTTGGTCTCATGAAATCAGGGATGCCAGTTTTTCTGCTATGGTTAAATTTGAGGCCTAGATAACTTTCAATCATAGCCATTTTCCAGGTGTTTTCAGGCTCTATTTTGTACAGCATGTATAGATCTCCATGCCTACCGGTAGTCCTTTTGTTAAGCATAGTGGGTAAAACTATGTCATGTCTCGGGTGCAATTTTGTACTGTTAAATTAAAACATTAATTGTGGTGCAGTGCTGTACCACAGCGTAATAATGTTCGAATTTACATTTAGTATGCAGTTATATCAAAATGTAATTTTATTGCCAAGATTTAATATATAAATATATCATATGCATGTTATTTCATATATACAGCATATTTTATTCAATTTCAAGGGAGACTACAGTATTATAGAACAATGGTATCCCTTATTCATAGTGCTTAATGTACTCTCTACCAAGTTTTTTCAAGTTTCAGGATTTTAACAAGGTGCAATTTCAATACCAGTGAAGAGTAGAGCAATATCAGCAATTTAATTTCAAAGTAAAGAGGATTATTGGTAAATACAATGTAAATGGAATTCTGTTATGCTATGCTGCACCTTACTGAAGTTAAAATTTACTTAAAAATGATCTTGAAATGAAAATCGAGAGTAAAGATTTGTCTTTATTGGTATGAAGAAGATGTATATATTTTTAAAACATGTTGGCACATCAAGAACACATTTTTCCTTCTATTAAAACATGATGCTAAGAAGGAAGTGAATATATCGTTACAAAGTGTGTAAACTATGCAAGCATCATGTACATGTATCTCACATTCCTTCTTCTTCTACAATGCCATTGAAGCCAAGGGAATCAATGTATGTGTTTTGTTTTGTTAATGATAGAGAAGACACAATATAGTAGTGGAATCTTGTTATAAAGAAGAACATTGTAACATTCACCATTACAAGGTAATGTTGGCAGTCCCACTTCTTTGTATTTTATTTATCTCAATAATACAAGAAAAATTCATTGCTTCTAAGTAGTTTGTTATAACAAGGTTTAACACTACCAGTATTCAGAATCAGAGCTCAAATGCATTAGGGCCAAGGAATATCCCCCCCCCCCCAGGCTATTAAATGCAGCAGTTTTAGTAGCCTCCAATTTTGTTCTTATGCATGAATTAAGGACTAAATTTTGTTGAGTTTTAAAAGACCCCCACACAGGAAAGAGATATTGCAAAAAATGCTGAGAATAATGTATTGTAGTACACAAATTTTGATATATTCCAATAACATTATATGTAAGAACTTCATAATTTATATACATTTGAATAAATCCAAATTGAAATCCATAGATAACTGTACACCTGTTCTTGTAGCTTTTTAAAAAAAAAATCGTTTTGGTGTGTTGAGAAGAAAAGTGTGATAATGTTCATCTGTTGTGGCATGTACATATACAGTGGAACCTCATTGTAAGGAACTCTGATACAACAAACTCTCATCAATTTATCACAAAGTACTGGTAACTTTGAGGTCCTACTTGTACTTCTTTTTATTTTATTATTTTCAGCTGTGATAGACAAGGTTTTGCATCCACTCCAGACTGGTTTTCAAAGGTTCCTTGACTGTCGAGTCAATAACCATTAGCCGCCAAAGACCAGTTAGCCTGATGAAGTGTCCAAGAGTGGTCATGAAACATCCAAAGCTATCAAAAATATAGTAAGCCCAGTTGACTACTACCTGGATGAATAAGAACATTCATAACAATGATAGAAGATGATTTTTCCTGGTCCCAAGGAGATCATTATAACAAGGTTCCATTGTACCCAACTTTCGAAAAGAGAGAGAGAGAGAGAGAGAGAAACAACAAGTCAGACATTCCTTTTCATTTGAATTTTATTACAATATCATATCAAAATGTGAACACATTGCCAGAATCTTTTTATTGTAACAGGAATACTTACAGATAAAACTTAGAGAATCATAATAGAATATCAGGTAATTTGACAACTCAATCATTCATAGAAATGTACATTTTCTCATCCAATTTTATTGAAGCATATAGAAGAAATCTATTTTGACATGGTTTGCCAATCAATGAAAGAGCATAGCAAAATACATCAGAAAAGTGAGAAAACTTTGAATGCCAAACTTGTGAAGTCCTAAAGTAGATTTCATTAAACAAAAATCCAATGCAAGATCTACTTACTGAGATGCAGACTAAACCTTGCTCTTGCAGAGAATTTTGAATTTTTACCTCGGCACAAACACAAGTCAACATTTTCTTTTACTGACAACTTTCATAATTTACCTTTACAACCCTCTAAAGTGAACAGTAACATTGTTGAAGGTTGATGAAAAAATTGTGTAACTTTTGTAAGCAATGTTACCTATTATATTCCTTCTACTGTACTAACCCTCTAACATGCAGAAAATCCTGAAAAGAATTCTCAAACTACAAAGATATTTATAGTTTTCTTTGAAGACGTCAATGTGTATATAAACCCCCTCTATCTGAAATTCTCCCAACCAATTATTGAATTTTCCACAACCGTTTTCCATTAAAATAAGACATAAAACAGTGTTTTAAAAATCTTTCAACACTTAAATGTTTGAAATGGTGTATGGAGCAAATTCATTGCTTTGTGACGATTATCATTCAGCTAAAATTCTCCCAACCAATTATTGAATTTTCCACAACCGTTTTCCATTAAAATAAGACATAAAACAGTGTTTTAAAAATCTTTCAACACTTGAATGTTTGAAATGGTATATGGAGCAAATTCATTGCTTTGTGACGATTATCATTCAGCTAAAATTTTATTTTATTATGATAATATAGTTGGGAGAATTTAAGAATTGATCAGATTAGTTTTCCCTGATTTTTCCCTCAAACTTTCAGATTCTCTTTGATTGTACATCTAGCATTGAAGTCACTACCTTAGCACCATTTTCTCTCATCTGAACAATGTTACCGACTTACCAAGTCCTTTTTAATGAATGCTGGTGGTGCATATTGAAAGAAACTGCCCAAAATACTTTTCTGAATGGTGCATGTTGTAAACCTCAATAATCACATAAAAATGGGGTTCTTAACCATCAAATTTATAAGTAAAACAAAGAAGTTTTGAGGAATGCCACAAACATTGAAAAGTAAATGGAACATACATGAATACACATACACACGTGACATGAATAGTTTTAGATTCAAGTATGCTGTAGTATCATACTTTCAAGAGCAACCCATCTCATTTTACATGCCACAGTTATTAACTCTGCATAAGTCTAATCTATTGGTACCACAACGATAATTTTACTTATGTAAAGTTTGACTTAGGAAATGTAAATAACACATATTTTGCATAGTTTTTTTGGTCCAAAAAATTTACTCCACTTGTGCGTCTTCGAGTTATGCAGGGTTGTTCTATGATGTTCTTTCACATGAGTTTGTAATACACGACAGTGTTCCTAACAACAAATTTGTTCAACCTTCACCAGAATATATTGGAATACAAAGTACTTATATGGAAGTTTCATACAGCCTAGGCTCTCATTTCTTCTTTTTTGATTCAGTGGGAGTTGGCGAGACTTCATCTTCTTCAAATACAAAGTAATATCCCTGAAGCATCATGACGATAGAGACACCTGGAATTGAAGAAAATAAAAGCCATAAATTTTAATTACATACTAATTTTAATTTGGATTTCATTCTTCCAAGTTCCAATACAAATTATACTGATGTTTATATTTCCCTTGCTATACAGCATAATGGCACTAACTATTGTTGTTATTATAATTTTAGCAATGTTCTGTTGGTAACAATAGTATTAAAACAATAGTATTAAAAGCTGTGATTGAACTTTTGAAAATAAGATAAAATCAGTCCATAAGGTGATAGGAAGTATGATTTCATGCAGCGCGAAAACGATCTTGAATATCTTTGACATAAATTAATAGGCTTAAAATAAAAACTTGTTGTATTGCCCTTTGGGTGCCAAAACATGGGTCGGTCGGTCGGAAAAGTTTTTTTTTTTTTTTTTTTTATACTTTTTTTTGTTGCCCTCTTTGGGCCGATATTTTTCAGATTAAATTTTTTTTTTGTCTTCTTTATTCTGCCCTTTTTTGGCTGATATTTCTCAGGTTTTAATGCTTTAATACATGTGTTTCAACCTCATCATTCCATTGATATTTTTCTCACCTTATAATCATCCATGGTTTGCACGAGTGAGAAGTTTGGAATAATTTGATTTTATGCATTTATATCCCATTTAAACAAACAAAATGCATATTTTGTATTCATTAATTTAAAAAAAATCTAAAAAACAGTTTAAAAAAAGAAACTTTTTTAAAATACTGACTGTAGTTTTTCAGATTTTTGGGTCGGTCGCAAAGGGCAATACAACAAGTTTTTATTTTAGGCCTTATGAAACTATCATATAATTTTATTTTTTTAAATCAGTCCCAACTACAATATATTCTCAATGTCTGTATATTATACACAGTGAGTGGCACTTTCTTCAGTATTCACAATGCCCATATCAAACTGCAAGATGAAGGACGATTAGAGGTGTGCCGGCATACCTGATATTACCAGAGGAGATACAACACCAAAGCTAAGCTCAACTGTCTGAAAGAGGAGATACTCCGTAGCAAAATGGAGGAATGCCAGAATGAATGAGAAGAGAGTCAAGTCATACACCCTAAAGAGAAAGAGAGAGAGAGAGAGAGAAAGATATTATATGGATCATCTTAGATATTCATTACTCCGTCACTCATCAATTTTCAGTGAATAGAAATCTAAGCAAAGTCATTCATCACAAATAGAGATTGGGATCACATAACTGATTTTTTTTTCATTGCTTATGAGATTTTGTCTTGTTCTCATTGTTAAAATAGCATTACATTTTTTGTATTTATAAAAATGCACAAAAACAAGAATTCCAAGATTTCATGGGACAAAAGATGCAGACACAACATCATTTATACACCATGAACAAGTAAAATAATGTGTTAACCCTATGTTAACTGGGGGGGGGGGGGTCAATTTGACCCCCCCCCCTCCCCCCTGTAGAAATTTCGTGACTTCTCCGAAAATGCGGCAGATATAAAATTTTCCTTTCATGACTTTTTCTTTTAAAACAATTTTTTCGAAAATCGGACGTATAGTTACAAAGTCACGTGACCTTTTGTCTTTGCATGTCAGCCCGAATCGCTCACTTTTGTGATTTGTGTACAAAACATATGGAAATGTCAATTTTCCTAAAATGAGATAAAACATTGGTTATTTAGTCTTGTTTAAAGTTTAGGTGCAGGGTTGTTTGATTTAAATCATGTCGATTTAAATCATGATTTAAATCACGATTTAAATCACTTGATTTTTTTCAAAAAAATCACTGATTTAAATCAACTTTTATGAAAAAAATTAGTTTTCTCTATTTTCTCTTCTTCTTAACAGATACTTTCAATGTAATCATTTTCATTTCTGTTCCACATGCTTTAGAGATACTTTAAAAGAATGATACACCCTCATGGAGTCTGATTTAACACCACTGTTTTATTTTCAAATTGTAAAACAAGCAAAACTGATGAAAACAACAAGTTTCTAACGAAGTAATGATAAATAACTCTCTGTATGTACACCAAACTGTTAAATCTTCAATAAAATAATATATAAAATCTACAAAGGTGCTCAAAGTCCACAACTTGGATACTTTTACAAAACAGCTGAACTACTTGTATGTACCTCCTTCTTGTTACTATTAATACCCATTCTTTCAATTACTTAAGTTGAAGGCATATGTGTACATTTGATAAGAATTACATGTATATTTGCATGCTTGTGTATTTTCTTATCAATACCCATACATTCAATTACACAATTTCAAAGTACACATGTATACTTAATAAGTAAGAATTTAAAAATGGGAAAGTTGCTGGGCAAGTGTTACTGTATGCAGCAATACAACTGCTGTGCTTGCTTGTTCATGTAATAGTTTGAAAAAACAGCACATCAATGATGTGGTGGACAGTGGTGCTTATCCTGCATCTTGCAACGAAATTTATTGAAGTTTTATTTGGAACTGAGGTTACACTGTAATGAAAACATAAAATGTGTATTTTGTTACAAGCATATCAGGAAGTGCCTATTGCAAATCTGGTTAAATATTACATTCAAATTAGATGTTAACGTACAGACTGATATAAAAATTTCAAGAGTTTAAATGTATACATAATACATAACATTACTTGGGCTTCCATAAAATGTCCCTCTCTATAATGCAAATAAATAAAAAATAAATAAAAAAAATTACCTGTATATAAGTGGATTATTGTGTCAAATAGTACAATACACAATGTTCAAAAGACTACTTGAACACTATTATTGGTGTAAAACAGTTTAAATATAGTCTAAAACTTGTTAAGTGTGACCATTATTTTTCGTTGGAAAAAAATCAAAAAAATCTGATTTAAATCATAAAAATCCGATTTAAATCAAAAAAATCAACAACCCTGTTTAGGTGTTTGTTTTGGGGTCAAAATAGTTGAATTGTAGTTATAAATGAAATAAAACAACAAAAACAATAAAATACATAAGTTAAAAAAACAATGAAATACATAAGAAATTATCAAAACAAGATATATCATAAGAAATAACCTGGCTCTTCAATTTTTTTGTGTTGTTTTATTATTCCAAATGGTCTAACAAATATATGTAGTGAAAAGAATGCTTAAAAGAGAATAATGTATGATATATGGGCGAAAATGTGAATTGTATGACCTTATTTGCATAAATTACCATAAATATGCAAATTAGTGAATTTTTCAAAAAATTGAAATTACCATAGAATTCTTTACACTTCACTTGACATGTATGCAAATTTTCGTGGCAATCGGCAGTAAAACGGCCGGGATCTTAGGGGGGTGGGGGGGGGGGTCAAATTGACCACCCCCCCCCCCCCCCCCCAGTAAAAACCTGGTCTGAAATAGCCCAATTAAATAGGGATAAATAAGTGGTTATTACATTTATTTAAATGTTAATGCAAATCTTAGAATAGTAGTTTATAAAACTCACGCTCTATTCCTGATGTCATAAGAACACATCATTCTTACTGCACCTGCAAGTAATGTCCAAGTTCCAAATAATCTTCCCAAAACAGCATTCACTGAAAATGGAAACATTTATCATACATTAAAATATTATTTTCATGTCTGTAGTGATTCTGCAAACTTGCTGTGCTTGGAAAAGAGAAATAACTCGGTTCTGGTAATTGATTGCAGCATTACAAATTTGAAATAAACACTTACCAGATTATTTGATGACCTGGCTATGTTTTGACAAGTTGATCATTTTTCTCCTCCTTATTGGGAAGGAGCAGATGTCTTTCTTTTGCCTAGAATATAGATATGTTGTTATGGTACAATTGAACTTAAACTACAGTTTGATATTACATACAGCATACTAGGGTATTTCCCCACAACCAGCCTCTAAGCTATTGAAATGAATATTCAGTAAAGCTGTTAATATTGATAAATTTGTTTTCCATAACTGTGGGGATTTAGGAATCCTATAAAAACAAACATTTATGTCGTGCCCTTAATAGATTCATTATGAACCGTACTTCTCAATGGTACCAGTATTGACATAACCAAGTGAAAACAAATCAATTTTAATTTTTGTGATTTTAATAGAACCCCCCCCCCCTCTCTCTCTCTCTCTCTCTCTCCCTCCTATGATGGATAAATGATGAATAAGAGCATCACAATGCTCAAATTGATCAATCTAACTTAGTACTTACCCATCTCCTGAGCCTGTGTGTACATCCGTGTTGCAAGAAAGGAGCTTTCCATGAAGGCTTGCATAGCAGTACCTACAGCCATGAACCCCACCAAGAAGATCCAAAACCTTAGCACCTTTGTGAACGCGTTGGCCATGGTGACAAACTGGTCTTACAAAAACATTCAAAGATAGAACAAGAAATCCTTTTATCTGAATTAGGAATCCATAATAACTTTTTTTGCTTTTCACAGGGTATCCATACAGAAATCTTTAGGGCTCATGTGAATTGGACTCTTTTTTAATATCATAATTTGGGGCCCATCTGCACCAGGCCCATTAGTGTCAAGCCCATTAGTGTCAAGCCCCATCTTAAAATCTGCAAGAAATGAGTAGGTCAATACACACAGAGGAACAATTTGATGGGAATTAACTCCACACAACATTTCCCCTGTTGTTGTTTTTCCTCAATCTGTTTAGGCATGTATTTAGGATTTATGATTTTTTTTCTCCCCCTAATTGCTTTTGAGTCAGTTATACTTTGATAGAAGTGTATCAATCAAGTAAAAAGGCCTAAGAAAAAAAACTGGTATTCAAAAAGAAGCAAGATTAATATTCACTGATGAAGACTTTTCAAAGATTGCATGCAACAAAAATGTGCTCTTAAAAATATACAATTATATGCCGATGCGGCTGTAAGCAAAGTTTGGTTGCGTTTATCTAGCAAATTTTTGGCTAGAATCAGGTTTCTCAAACGTCTTTCAGGCAAATTTAGAAGTAGATAAACGCAAAGCCTTTTTCAAACGTCTTTAGATATGGGCATATCTAAAGACGCAAAAAGGTGCGTTTTGAATGTGACATACAGCCAGAATCACGTTTCTGAGAGATCGATAAACGCAAAGCTGTTTTGAACCTCACATACAAATATATGACCACCCAGGTGTTGTGTACAAGCATACGTGTGAAGTTGACCTCCGAGAAACTGTCTGCTTCCCGGGTCAAAACAGCTGGGCAGACACAAGGCCTTTATTTTGAATCGTGAAGGGTAGATAAACGCGACATCCCGCAAATCACGATCGTATAGTGGGGTACGATAGTGGGGTTCGATAGTGGGGTACGATATGTACATATCTAGTGGCAAGCCTAGATAAACGCGCTCTTTGACAGTAGACTTACAATTTGAATTTTAAAATTATTCTTTGTAACATCTGTAAGTTGAAAAAATGTATTTTACTGCTATTTAGGTGTCATCAATTGTCACTAAAGTACCGATTTTGAGTGAAATCAGTCGAGTTTTGTACAGTGGTGTTTGAAATGTTGAGAATCAAAAGCACAGCTTTTACTACACAGCCAGGATAGTGATGCTCCTATGTGTGCCCAATAACCACTTTACAGTATAACATTGAATCACTTCATTTTTCCATAATTGATGCTTCATTAGGGGTCTACTTTAGTACTTAGGCCTAGACTAGATCTAGATCTAGAGTCTAGTCTATTTATTCAACTATTTTGTATTTTACAACATGCTTTCAGTTTCATGGATATTATTTATTTATTTATTCATTCATTTTTGCCCTTTTTTTAGTATATATAAATATCTATGATACTCATCTACTATTCAATCATCAGTTACTAACGCTTTTATTCATTATGTATTGATTGAAATTCACTCACTCCCTGCACTCACTCACTCACTCATTCATTCATTAATCAATTCAGCATAGGGCCTAACAATACATGAAGATAAGTGCACAGGACTGCCAGTCAGCTCAGTCATTCCTAACTTGATAATTTAATTGATATTTAGTCATAATAGGTCACGCATATAATCATACAGCCCATAAATTTGCTCCATAAAGGAGGCTTAAGTAAAAGTTAGGAATGTCATTATTTCGAAACTACCTTTTTTAATCCGAAAAGCTCAGTCCTGATCAATCTTGCAGGCCGGAATATCGAGATGAAGGTGTGCGCGTCATGCAAAAGACATCACGCGGGCGCGGCGCGCTACGCATTAGGCTTGTTGTAGCCAGCGCTGGTAATAATCCAGGGACCTCCTTAACCTTCCGCTCAATATTGACTCTTGTCACTTTGTAACCTCCGGCCACATTAATTTTTTGAAACTTGAGGCCATTATTTATTTTAAAAAATAAAAAAATAACAATAATAATAATTGTAATAAAAAGATAGTCTGATCCTCAGGAACACTTGGCATGTCCTTGTTTTGCTTATTGGCCTGAATGAAATTTCTGCTATTTCACGGATCGTCATTCAGTTCCTTCCAAATTGTCAGAGAAGTCGGATTTATTCAATTCGCAGGAAGATAATACTGAGATTTTTTTGTTGTCAATGATCCATCGTTCCCCTCATTATTCCAACAACAAAAAGGCTTTCATCGAAAGGGTGCGGTGCGGTGCGGCGCGGTGTTGTGTGCTCAACGCACCCATTCGATAAAAGAGGGGGGGGGGGGGGCTTTTCTCGAAAGGGTGCGTTGAGAGCGGAGTACCGTTTTAACACACCCTTTCGATAAAAGCGGGGGGGGGGGGCTTTTCTCGAAAGGGTGCGTCGACTAGTCTTTCGCATCAGTCGTTTAAAATGAGGATCTGGGACAGTAGGTAATAGTTGTATATCGAAAATGTATTAAATAAAATGGAATGGTTGTTGTTGTTGTTTTAGTTTTAAGGGCGTGTGTCATTCAATTATGAATATTTACGCCGTCTTGATTACAGAGTGGTCTCTTTCGTTATTACTATGTTGATGGGGGAGACAGAGAGAAGGAAAAAAGGGAAAGGGAAAGGGAAGATAAAAGGAAAGAAAGAAGAATAAGAAGAAAAGAGGGAAACTGGGGGGCGAAGGGCTCTTGCCTCCTCCTCACCCCCCCCCCCCCCCGCCAAAAAAATAAATAAGAGAGAGAGAGAGAGAAGGGAAAGGGAAAGGGAAGAAAATATAAAAGGAAAGAAAGAAGAGGAAGAAGGAAAGAGGGAAACGGGGGAAGGGCAAAAGGCTCTTACCCCCTTCCCCCCCCCCCCGCCAAAAAAATAAATAAGAGAGAGAGAAGGGAAAGGGAAAGAAAGAATAGGAATAAGAAGGAAAGAGAGAAACGGGGGAAGGGCGAAGGGCTCTTGCCTCCTTCCCCCCACCCCCGCCAAAAATAAATAAGAGAGAGAGAGAAAGAAAATATAAAAGGAAAGAAAGAAGAGGAATAAGAAGGAAAGAGGGAAACGTGGGAAGGGCGAAGGGCTCTTGCCTCCTCCCTCCCCACCCGGCGCCAAAAAAAAAAAAATAAGAGAGAGAGAGAGAGAGAAGGGAGAGGGAAAGAGAAGATAAAAGGAAAGAAAGAAGAGAAAGTAGAAGGAAACGGGGGCGAAGGGCTCTTGCCTCCCCCCGCCAAAAAATAAATAAGAGAGAGAGAGAGAGAGAAGGGAAAGGGAAAGAGAAGATAAAAGGAAAGAAAGAAGAGAAAGTAGAAGGAAACGGGGCGAAGGGCTCTTGCCTCCCCCCGCCAAAAAAATAAATAAGAGAGAGAGAGAGAGAGAGAAGGGAAAGGGAAAGAGAAGATAAAAGGAAAGAAAGAAGAGGAAGAAGAAGAAAAGAGGGAAACGGGGGCGAAGGGCTGTTGCCTCGCCCCCCCCCCCCGCCAAAAAATAAATAAGAGAGAGAGAGAGAGGGAAAGGGAAAGAAGAGATAAAAGGAAAGAAAGAAGAGGAAGAAGAAAAGAGGGAAACGGGGGCAAAGGGCTCTTGCCTCCTTTTTTTTTCTTTCTTTTCCTTTCTTTCCTATTCTCCCTCTTTTTCGTTTTTCCCTTCCCACGTTTCCCTCTTTCCTTCTTATTCCTCTTGTACATTAAATAATTATTATTTTATACCTTATTTGTGACACAGGGGTCACGTATTGGCGTGGGGTCAAGGGGGGGAGCCCCCGGAAGCTCAGGGGTTTTGGGCAATAAATAACGGTCAGATGAGCATATTTTTATATATTTTGTGACACTGGCAGGACACAAATTCTTCTTCCTCTTCTTTCTTTCCTTTTATCTTCTCTTTCCCTTTCCTTCTCTCTCTCTCTCTCTTATTTTTTTTTGGCGGGGGGGGGGGGGGAGGGAGGAGGCAAGAGCCCTTCGCCCCCGTTTCCCTCTTTTCTTATTCTTTTTCCTCTTCTTTCTTTCCGTTTAGATTTTCTTTCCCTCTCCCTTCTTTCTCTCTCTCTCTCTTATTTATTTTCTTGGCGGGAGGGGGGTGGGGAGGGAGGAGGCAAGAGCCCTTCGCCCTTCCCACGTTTCCCTCTTTCCTTCTTATTCCTCTTCTTTCTTTCCCTTTCCCTTCTCTCTCTCTTATTTATTTTTTTTGGCGGGGGGGGGGGGTAAGAGCCTTTCGCCCTTCCCCCGTTTCCCTCTTTCCTTCTTCCTCTTCTTTCTTTCCTTTTATATTTTCTTTCCCTTTCCCTTTCCCTTCTCTCTCTCTCTTATTTATTTTTTTGGCGGGGGGGGAGGGGGGTGAGGAGGAGGCAAGAGCCCTTTACCCCCCCCCCGTTTACCTCTTTTCTTCTAATTCTTCTTTCTATCCTTTTATCTTCCCTTTCTCTTTCCCTTTTTTCCTTCTCTCTGTCTCCCCCGTCAACATAGTAATAACGAAAGAGACCACTCTGTAATCAAGACGGCGTAAATATTCATAATTGAATGACACACGCCCTTAAAACTAAAACAACAACAACAACCATTCCATTTTATTTAATACATTTTCGATATACTTAAATTGGCAACTATTACCTTCTGTCCCAGATCCTCATTTTAAACGACTGATGCGAAAGACTAGTCGACGCACCCTTTCGAGCAAAGCCCCCCCCCCCCTCCCCGCTTTTATCGAAAGGGTGTGTTAAAACGGAACTCCGCTCTCAACGCACCCTTTCGAGAAAAGCCCCCCCCCCCCCCCTCTTTTATCGAATGGGTGCGTTGAGCACACCACACCGCGCCGCACCGCACCGCACCCTTTCGATGAAAGCCCAACAAAAAAGGGCACCTCAAAATAAATTTCATTATTGTTCACCGTGGATTGATTTGTAACGACTGTCAGATTTATTTTTAATTGGATTTGGAACCCATCCTATAGATGTTTTACTTGCTTCTTATAACAAAAAAAATGAGCCTAGCTCCCTAGCGGTATTACGGCACTTTTTAAAACGGATATATTATCTAATGATTGCCACATACGTAAAGTCTTTATGATACGGTCCCATCATGAAGAATGCAGTGTGAAAATTTTCTTTAAATTATTGTCAAACAATTTCCCATAGTATCTAAATGAAAAGCAAAATATAATGTAGGGCCGCACAGTGGCGGATACAGCCCCCCCCCCCCCCCCCCGGCCGGCACGATTTTCAAATTTCAGCAAACTAAATTTCACATTGATTTCAAATTTGGGCCCCCCTAAGAAATGTTTTGCACATTTCTTATAAGTTGGGCGGGCCGGGGGCAGCCCTGTCACTACCAGTCCTGCATTTTCTCAACCACCCTATACCCCTTAAAGGCATAGCCAGTGTACGCGTCTTAACTCCACACACATTTTTCAAAACAACTTCATTAATACCGAAATTGCAATGAATTAATACAAACCCTCCCGATCCATGCAGGCCTGCTTCATTCTTTCCAACTCAAAACAGAAGATAAATCATAGGCCTATGGCCGATTATTAAAAATGTTCAACATAATAATCCCCCCCCCCCCACCGATATATATTTATAAATACAATACAATGCAAACAAAATCTGGAAACAATACTAATTAATGTGAAAAATCGTTATAGTCGTTTTATTTTAAAAATGAAATTATGTAGAGAATGTACCTTCGTTCTGAGAGGAAACAATTTTTTGTTCATGAAAAGAAGGGAAAAAAGAAGTGAGAGTCCTAGAATCTAAGGCCTGAAAGAAATTTATTCTCCCGTTATATTTCTCCCCTTCCCAGCAGAAAACCTACACCACCACACACGCACTCGATCCCCTCCTATGACATGGAAAAGGCAGCATATATCTAACCATGGAGTGCCTCGACGTCCAAAGCAATGTCCCATTCTATGCTCCTTTCCGTTCTGCTAGCTTTCTTTCTACTCATTTATATTCCAATATCAGTTATCTTGAGGAGTACGTGTGATCATGGGTGTCGATCCCGGGGGGGATGGGGGGGGGGGATATATCCCCCCCCCCAATATTTCAGGTGGGGGGATGGCCTGTACAATCACCCCCCCCCCCCCCCATAATTCACCATCAACAAAAAAAAAAGAAAAATTAAGGATGAGAGCCCGATGAGAGAGTTAATGGTTATTACTCGCAAGATGACCATCAATATACACATTTTGCTATCTCATTTTCATAAAACATACATAATATACGAATTCAATTTGTTCAATCAACAGCATCATAGAAATGCAGTGCGCCAAATGCAAAGACGCAGCGTCAAAAAGCAACGAGCTAAATGTTAAGCGCGAATCGCAAAAATAGCAATCTGCAATGCACATCAGACAATCCTGGACAGTGTAAACATAAATGAACTCTGTGACGATTTCGTGATGAGATCGGAGACGAGGAGAAAGATTTTCGGACATTACTATGACTTATAAAATAGTTCTCTAGTTGTTATGTTGTTTCCGTTCACCCTTTTTAAAATTCACGTCATTGTATCTTTATTTTTGTTTTTTTCACTCATTTTATTTCCTGATATTTCCTAAAAGATTTTTCATTTTTGGAGAAAGATTATTATGTCACAACTTATTTGTAACACAAATTATTTTCAGTGGGGAAACTGAATTCAGACAAGGATTGATATAGAGAACAGTACAACGAATCGTCTTCTTTCTCTAATAATTCAGTGAAAAGGGCAAAGCTGTTAGGGGGCAACTGAATTCAGACGTGGATTAAGCGTAATAATCAAATGAAACGTCAAAGTACACGATACAACGAAGCGTCTTCTTTTACGAATAATTTAATGAAACGTGAAAGCTTCCGCGCTAAGCGCGGAATGGGCGAAAATGAATACAGACAAGGATTAAGAGAAATAATTTATTGAAACGTTAAAGCTTCCGCGCTTCTCGCGGTAGGGGGGAAACTGAGTTCATGAAGGACACGATACAACAAATTGTCTTCTTTCACTAATGTGAAAGCTTCCGCGCTTCGCGCAGGAATGGGCGAAAATGAATTCAAAAAAGGATTAAGAGTCGAGAATGGTACACAGGATCGTCTTCTTCCTTTAATCATTTAATGAAACATCAGAGCTTCCGCGCTACGCGCGGGGAAGGGGGAATTTGATTCAAACATTAAGGATTAAGAGTCGAGAATGGTACATCGAATCGTCTTCTTTTTTTAATAATCTGATGAAACGTCAGAGCTTCCGCGCTATGTGCGAAGGAAGGGGAACTTGATCAAGCAAGGATTATGAGTTGAGAATGGTACATTGAATCGTCTTCTGTCTTTAATAATCTAATGAAACGTCAGAGCTTCCGCGCTACGCGCGGAGGAAGGGGAAGTTGATTCAAACAAGGATTAAGAGTCGAAAACGGTCCAACGAATCGTCTTCTTTCTCTAGTAATTTAATGAAACGTCAAAGCTTCCGCGCTTCGCGGGGGGGGGGGGGGGACTCCCCCTCCCTGCACGCAACCCCCTAGGGACCGCGCTTCGCGTGCTCACTACCGCCCCCTAAAATGAAATCCTGGCTACGCGCTTGGGAAGGGTGCAACTTGCCACACGCTTCTACCTATTGATCGCTTTGATCCATTGCCGAAAATATTAGGGCACCTATCATCCCCCCAACCACGGATACAAATCGACACCCTTGCGTGTGATGTCTTTTTACTGGATGTCTTTTTAATGTTGCTGTTACAAACATATATTTTATCAAAATAGTGATGTGGTTCAACAATTATTGTTGAACCACATCACTATTTATTATGTTTGTAACGGCAACATTATTGTTCTTCACCCACTGTTGACCCTTCTTTATCCAAGATGGACCCCTTTCCAGTCTATGTTCGTCCCGATGTTCGTAATGTCTAACAAATTCAAAAAGTGCCACAATCTTCCAAAAGTTTTTTTTTTTAACATAAACATATTATGTTCATAATGTTTCCTTCACTTTCTGACGAAAGGGGCATAACTGATTTACGGAATTCTGATACTTAGTTGTATAAACTAATTATGAAGTGCTTTGTATTGGAATTATCTGAGTCTGCTTTTTAAGGTTGACCTCCTGGGCCTGGGTCTTAAAAATATTGTTTGAATATCTTTTTCTGAGGCACCATTACAAAATTCTAATTTTCGCACCGCGTATATTGTTCTGTTTTTATTTTCCACAAAGTAAATCATATTTTATTTCAGAACACAAAAAGAATATAGAATCTTCCATCATATTCAATTCGGCGTATACGCTAATCATTTCTAGTTAAAATAGAAGATGAAGAAATGATGAAACTAAAGATGAAGGAAAATGTTTTATCTTATTAAATCCCAATTTATCTAAAGCCATTCTTTTATACCCTTGACAACATTTTAGATTTCCTTCAATGTCAAAAATATGATGTACTTTGTGATATTTCTTGGAAATAATTTTTCGTCGTATAATGTTTGTCCATTTACCCGAATTGATTCAATATTATGAATGATTCCCTCTGTTAATCTCTTTTATCAACAGAGCTTTTTTTTTAGTACCATCCCAACCCTCAATCAAATCTAAATAGAAAGCTGGTAGTGGTATAATTGAATGCCATACCATGGAGTAACTCATGGCCATACTAAGAACAGTATAGTCTAATTTTTGAGTCAAATATTTCCTTTTACACTTCATCGTTGATTTCCCTTTTTGTTTATAGGCCTAGTCATTTCATCCATATAATCCTCTGTACGTACACGAATGAATACAATAGCTTGCAGTGGCGTATAGCAAAAGAGATCGATAACTAATGGGCACTTCTCAGATTTTAATAGGGCAATTATCAGAGGTATATAAAGGGGCAGGTATCAGAGTTGGTATAAGAGGCACTTTACTGAGAATGTGGAACGGGTATGTAATTGAAATTTTTAAAAAGGGGCGCTTATCATGAAGTAAAGGGGGCACCTTTTCTATGAGGCCGGGCACGTTAGTGTTTTTTGCCTGACTATAAATTTGAGAATTTGTCATTTTCCAACAAATGCATAAAAAAGTATAATTTACACCCCCCAAAAATGAGAAAAACCCGGAAAATCCTGTCACCCACCCCCCCCCCCCCGCCCCCATCTGTACGCCAGTGGTAGTTTGAAAGACTTCAAGAAGTTGCAGCGGTGATCGCATACCGTGTACGTTCTAAACTAGTACTCGTTGCATGCAATGAGCGTAACGCATGCGCACTTTCAGCCACGTGGTGTAATGCAACATGGCGACTTCAAGAAACAGGTGCTGTGCTTTTTCGGTTTCCGACGGCTATTTTGCCACTTCTAGTGCAGATGGCAGACTTTCAATATGGGATTCCAAGACAGGAGAGGTTAAGCAACATTATACCCCGAGTTCTCATCTATCGTCGTCTTGTACTTGCTTGGCATGGCAGCGAAAATCACGTCGAAGCGAGGTAAAGTTGAAGAAAGAAGTGGTCGTTGAAACAGGGGAATGTACGGTTTACTTGTATAAGGCCTCGCCTTACTAGCGGGGGCCCGGCCCCTTGGCGCACGCACGGCGTGCAGTACGTTAAATGAAAATGAGTTTAGAGATAATTAATGACAAACTAATCTTTACTTGGGTTTCCATTCACATAATTAAATACCATATAGGTCTATTTCGATTAAAAAAAACAAAAAACACTAGCGTAGCTCGTAGCTGTGTTTATTGAATAATTTGAAGTTACCGATAATCATGTGGCATGATTTTAAAGTGAAGACAGAAATCAGAATGACAAGACAAGTCTATCAGACAAACAGTTATTGAGGGTGTGTCCACAAGGACTTTCTGCTGAACATGATGACTAAATCATCCAGATCCAAACTTCAGACTGGGCTGCTGAGACAGTCTCTACGAACGATGTCCAGTAAGGGCGCTGTTCCGAGAATGAGGATTGTCCGCACAAACGAGGATATCCTCGTAAATGTGAATAAATCTTCACGCATTGAGCACTGTACATTTAGAGCGTGGTGGCGAGAGACTCCCTCCAAATGCAATGGCAATGGCAATGGCAATGGCAATGGCAATGCCAATACGTATAACCCACTGACATGTCATGCTTTAAACAGGTGACGCACTTCACACATAACTGACGCACACATTGCATTGGTACACACATAAAATAGAAATATCAACCAACATTCAGTACAAATTTCTAGTTTGTACGTTAAATATGACGAAAATGAGAATTTTTCAAACTTCTCTGATACTGAGAGTAGGTCTAAGACTAACTCCGGGAAGCTCCAACACCGGCGCGCAGCGTCGGAGCTTCGTTCAAACTGTTGTGGTGGCTTCGAAAAAAAAAAATGGGGCGACGTTATCGTTAAAATCTGCAAAGGGAGTACTTACAATTTTTACATTATAGGGTGCACGATTTCTCAGGGCATAACAATGATCACTTGAATTCATAATTTGAAGAAGTCTTCGATGGGAAAAAAGGGTTTTTCAGAGCACTACCCAAACGACTATTCTATGTTGCAGCGTCGATTCAAAATGGCGAAGAGACTGTACGCATGCTCGGCAGAGCCGCAGAAAGTATGAATATTCATGCTATCGAGTGCCGATCGCTCGAAATCGCTGAATATGCACAAGGTTGAGAAGGACTCTGTTTGTTCGAGTCGTGCATATTCAGCAATTTCGAGCGATCGGCACTCGATAGCATGAATATTCATACTTTCTGCGGCTCTGCCGAGCATGCGTACAGTCTCTTCGCCATTTTGAATCGACGCTGCAACATGGAATAGTCGTTTGGGTAGTGCTCTGAAAAACCCTTTTTTCCCATCGAAGACTTCTTCAAATTATGAATTCAAGTGATCATTGTTATGCCCTGAGAAGTCGTGCACCCTATGATGTAAAAATTGTAAGTACTCCCTTTGCAGATTTTAACGATAACGTCGCCCCATTTTTTTTTTTCGAAGCCACCACGACAGTTTGACCGAAGCTCCGACGCTGCGCGCCGGTGTTGGAGCTTCCCGGAGTTAGTCTAAGACTGGTGTGATCATGGTGATGTGGCTGATTGAAACTTGCGAAGATTGAATTACATTATCAAATGTAGAATCAAATCTCAAGACTTTAATCCTACTCCTAGAATTTAGTAATTTACTTGTGTATGTAAAAGTCATAATGACGATAATGTGAATTCATTTTTAGAACGGTCCTGTCGGCTTGGGTAAGTATGCCTTTGGTTTGAACTCTGGTTCTAAATCTCAAAAACGATGATGGAAATAATGGCAAAATGTTTTAAGACAAATTTATACAGCAGCTTATGTCATTTGAGGTGCAAAGCAAGAATCTGAAATGTTAATCACATGTTTGTTCTTTTCTTTTCTCTAGGAAAATCAAAAGAAAAAGAAAAGAAAATCTGCCCGAGTAGAAGTTGAATCAACCGATACAGAAGTTCTCTCTCCCACCAATCTTCTTGCTTTAGGAACAGTAGCTGGAAGTGTTCTCCTCTACAGTGTCCTGAAAGGGGACTTGCATTCTAAACTGGTATGTTGAAGAATTCATTCTACAGAGTAATACTGAAGCATAGCTGCACAGAGCTTTTGAAATTTAAATGACATAGCCAGCAAGTTGAATCAAATTCTGCAGCATAATTCTTGCTCTCATATATATTGTGTAAAGATGTGATAAAGTTGAATCTGTAATGGTTCAAGTTTGCCAATCTCACGATATAAAAGACAATGTTCTGTTGTTAAGTTTATTGACTGAGTATTATATATCTTCCTTATCTACTTAACTATTTCCAATAGAGACATCTTTTTTTCACAATCTTTCTCCTTCACATCTTTAAAAAAAGAAGAAGTTTGTTTTAACATGCAACTCGTATAGACTTCACTGAATCTATTGCTTCTTTGCTTGTTCTGTGAGTGGTTTAACTCTTTACTGGCTTTGATCGACCAATGGTACAAACATGGGACTGCCACCATCTACTTTTGTCACACATATGTACATGTAGCATGTATTCTGAAACATGGTGGCAGTCCAAGCGTTTTGATTCATGGCAAATGAAACGCCAAATTATAACCATAGATCTGTTTTCTCCTTAGGATGGAGGTCATGATGACACAGTCAATGATGTGTGTTGGCATCCCAGTGATAATACTCTGTACAGCTGCTCTGAAGACAGGCACATAGTGGAATGGGACATCACAAACAGGACTGTTCGAAGGTAACAAAACTAGTGAACAAGTCAGGGCAAGGGATTTACACATTTTGAGTTCACATTTAACCCTGAAAACGATCATCGGATCGGCCACCGATACCGATCCGATCAGGGGTGATCGGGGAATAATTTCCGATCGCCGATCAATTAAAATGATCGGAAAAAAATCGGCAATTTTTTTTTTTTTATGCCTCCGCCACCGAAGGTGGTGCCGGAGGCATCATGTTTTCGGGTTGTCCGTCCGTACGTCCGTCCCGTTTGACCGTTATCACAATATCTCAAGAACCATTTAAGATTTAAACTTAAGACTCGGGAATAGTATTTATCACCATAGGAAGACGATCTGATTAGATTTTGGAGTACGTAGGTCAAAGGTCACAGAGGTCAACTTATGAAATTCCTTGTATTGAGTTTGTTAGCGCGATATCTCAAGAACCATTTGAGATTTAAACTTCAAACTTAAGGATAGTATGTATCACCATAGGAAGACGATCTGATTAGATTTTGGAGCACGTATGTCAAAGGTCAAGGGTCACAGAGGTCAACTTATGAAATTCCATACATTGAGATTGTTATCATGATATCTCAAGAACCACTGGAGATTTAAACTTCAAACTTAGTGATAGTGTGTATCACTATAGGAAAACAATCTGATTACATTTTGGAGCACGTAGGTCAAAGGTCAAGGGTCATAGAGGTCAACTTATGAAATTCCATACATTGAGATTGTTATGATATCTCAAGAACTACTGGAGATGTAAAAACTTCAAACTTAAGGATAGTATGTATCACCATAGGAAGACGATCTGATTAGATTTTGGAGCACGTAGGTCAAAGGTCAAGGGTCACAGAGGTCATCTTATGAAATTTCATACATTGAGATTGTTATCATAATATCTCAAGAACCACTGGAGATTTAAACTTCAAAATTAATGATAGTGTGTATCACCATAGGAAGACAATCTGATTAGATTTTGGAGCACGTAGGTCAAAGGTCAAGGGTCACAGAGGTCAACTTATGAAATTCCATACATTGAGATCGTTATCGCGATATCTCAAGAACCACTGGAGAATTTTCACTTCAAACTTAATGATAGTATGTATCACTATATCATAATATCTCAAGAACCACTGGAGATTTAAACTTCAAACTTAATGATAGTGTGTATCACCATAGGAAGACAATCTGATTAGATTTTGGAGCACGTAGGTCAAAGGTCAAGGGTCACAGAGGTCAACTTATGAAATTCCATACATTGAGATTGTTATCATGATATCTCAAGAACCACTGGAGATTTAAACTCTAAACTTGTTTAAATTGCTCTATGGCGGAGGCATCATTTTCGACTGCGCGCAGTCAAAATTCCATCTCGTTTTTTTTTTTTTTTAATGACGAAAATTTTCAAGTTTTTGGCTATCAAATGCTCCAAAAAAGTTCATGTCATTTGGAGTTGTTGTAGACCATGTTTGTTGATATTTAGTGCCTTTTCATGACTTTGAAATTAATAATATTGGTCTAAGAGCAGAGGCAAAACATGCGGCCGATCAAAGGTGCGAGGGTGTCGCTCCGATCTTCCGATCCGATCAGAGCCCCAACTTACAGGGTTATTCACATTTACTTAGTTTGAGCCACCCAAAAACCAAATAAGTCTAATCAGTGGCAAGTCTATTTTTCAAATTGTACAATTATATATGTGTTTGTAGTGATTTTTTTTATTTAAAGAGAATGACATTGTTTGTCTTTGATTGGTTGCTTAATCTATGATGAGAACCCATGCACCACGCATATTATCTGTGAATGATAAAAACATTTCTACCACATGAACCACTGAGATTTATGCAACCTTCAAAGGCACTTCAGGATTATTAATTGATTGATGAATGGTGAGCGATTTGCTTCCTGATCATACTTCATCTTGATTTAATTAAATTCTATTACTGTTTATTCATAAAAATATAAAAACACAACTTATATTGTACAAATCATTTTGAGTTAAAAGCAGCATCCCAAAATGCATTATTTAGATTTTACTCTAGCCGAGTGTTTTGCTTTGCTCTTTTTTTTTTAATTGCCTGATCTGTATTTCTTGATTTGTTTTGTGTGTAGTAAGTGGAAAGGAGACAAGACGTCTGTATATTCCATTTGCATTTGTCCGGGAGGAAGTACTTTGCTTAGTGCAGGCAGAACTATTCAACTCTGGAATCTTCAAACCAAAGCTGTCTTAAAAGTAAGTTAACTGACCTAGTAAATCCATAATTGATTTAAAGATTGTGATCATTTGTAAAAGAAGGAGTATTTACTTTTTGTGGTGCATTATTGTCAAATATTGACAATATTGTGGATACATTACTTGGGCATGTATCAGGCCTATTTCATTTAGCTGATCTGGTCATTTAATAATTACATGTATATATGCCTTATATGAGGTTACAACATGTATGGGTCTCACAACATTATTAATATGACATGCCCTTCACTTTTCTCTCCCCAGAAATTCACTGGCCATGCCAGTCCAGTTACGAGACTAAGGGTGGTGCCCACATTATCTCCAGGGTCAAAGGAAGATGATCCTCTGGATTCTGTCGAAGGACTTTATTTCATGTCTTCAGCTGCTAGTGATAGAATTGTAAATGTCTGGTGAGTATAACACCTTGTTTTGATTGGTGTCTACTGGGTTGGTGTGACTTGAGGGTTCACAGGGTTCCAAGTGTGAGCTAGGTGCTCCCATCCTTAGCCCCCTCCCCCGACCCAACCCAACCCAGCCCAACCCAACCCAACCCAACCCAGCCCAACCCAACACAACCCAATCTAAAGTCAGCGTTTGTAAGGTACAAGTGAAGTTAAAAAGGTCCTCCATTTTCTCAGATTTGTATACTTTGAAACCAGTAAGAGACCCATCCACTTTATTACATTATTACTTCTTGGGGCACAGTCACTTGTAGAAATGCAGTTCCACTCAGATTTTTTTTACCCCGTTGTATTTTAAATATTTAATTATTAACTAAACTTGAATGTGTATTCTTTTATTTGGTTGCTAGTCTATGATGAGAACCCATGCACCACGCATATTACCTGTGAATGATAAAACATTTCTACCACATGAACCTCTGAGATTCATGCAACCATCAACGGTAATTCAAAAGAAATCATTGAGTGCCTCACCATCAACATCGAAATGTTTCAAAGAGATATTTGATAAATTTGTTTTCTTTCAGGCAAGTGAAGTCGGGTAGTAAGGACAAGGCTTCTCTTGCCTCGTTTGCTGTTCCAGATGAGCCTAGTGATTTTGATGTCTGCATTTCCTCAGATTCGGTAATGCAACATCTTTTTACGAGAGTTGATGAGAGTTGATGATGAGTATTAAGGAAAAAGGATTTGATGCTGGCAGAACTGTCTGTCACTTGTCAATTGATTGAAGACATTACAACTAATAGCATTCATTATGAATTTAGTGATATTGTTAGATCATTGAGTGGCTGCTATTTACTATAGTTTTGCAACACTCGTACAACCTTCATCCTTCATGGACTACCTGGTTGAATGATTTTTATGTGGCCATTCAGGCTGTAAAAGAACTGTTCATTATTTTTCATTTTAATCATTTCTATCTTTCTGATATATTGAATTGTTATATCATTTTAATCAATCCAGTGTTATATTACTTACTCCAGCTCAACAGTACTTACTTGCCTGTTTTCTTTTAAGTAGAATTCTTACATGTACATCTAAATTGGTTGCTAATCTATGATGAGAACCCATGCACCACGCATATTATCTGTGAATGATAAAACATTTCTACCACATGAACCTCTGAGATTTGTGCAACCATCAAAGGTAATTAAAAAGAAATTATTGAGTGCCTCACCGTCAACATAGAAATGTTTCAAAGAGATATTTGATAAATTTGTTTTCTCTCAGGCAAGTCTAGTTGGGTAGTAAGGACAAGGAGGCCAAATTTCTGTGTTTTTAACTTGGACACTAAATTTTTGTTAATCTTGGAATATTTTCTTTGTTTTCTTGTAGGAGGTATACACTTCTGTAGTTTGTCTGTCAGGACAAGTCCACATATTCCAGACAGTGCTCAATGGGTAAGTTACACAAACTAGGGAAATAACCATGTAGTTGACAGTCTCCCTTTTACTAAATGCAAATAAAGGAACACAAAATATAATTGTCTACCAATTCTTTAACTTGATAATCTTTCTTTGCTTATGTTACATTTCATCTTCAAATAACGGTCTGATATAATGTGATATAAGCGTGCAAATTTATATTTCACCATGGACTCTTGTTTTAAGACAAGTGTATGGCATAATGGAAATTACATTCCTTATTATGCAGGAGGGTGAGGAAACCGTTCCAAGCAAGACATGTGGTCAATGTGACAACAGAGGGTAGCAAACTGTCTCCTGCTAGGCCTATTCCAATCCTGACATCACAGCTGCAGTTGGCTGAAGGTCAGCCGCAACTCAAGATAGCCTACGGTGTCAACCTCAAGCCAGCATTTGAATCAATGGTAAGTAAAGTGGTGTTTCAGCTTCTAAGTATTTGTGGAAAATAAACTCTGAAATGACGATGATGATAATGATGGTATAATCTTTCTTAAATATTTTGAAATATTATAGTATTTTGTCCAACCCATCTGGATTATTTTTTGTTGATTTTAGTAAATTAATTTTAATTGATTGGTTGCTAATCTATGATGAGAACCCATGCACCACGCATATAACCTGTTGATGATAAAACATGTCTACCACAGATTCACTGAGATTTTATGCAACCCTAATTTAATTAGTGATTGATTGTATTTATAGTAAACAAACAAATTGCATGTTTAATGTTTGAAATGTACAGGTAATTAACCTAAGCATGGTCCAAAACTGTGATTGATAAGTTAATGATAGAAATTTTTACTACCTCTTTGCATTCTATTACAGAGCTTAGAATCACAAGAGAAGGAGATCTGTTTAATACGAGATGATCACTTGCATGCGGATAGGAGAACAGATGAAGCTGGTGACAGAGTGAGTATTACAATAAATGATGGATCTAAGTCTTTGAGAAGTAGAGCAGAATTTCCTTTGTGGGCCCTTGTTCAATTACTAACATCAAGACCACATTCAAAAATGCATGTCTTTGTATTTGTAAATTGTTGTTTGAATTAAATCCATGAAGAGAACACATGCATTATGCATATAACCTGGGAATGAAAGCATGATAAGGAATTATGGCCCTGTACAGTTTATTTGTATTTGTTGTGAATTCTTTATTCCATTTTTTTGTTTAAAGAGTATGTAATTGTTTTTCTTTGATTGGTTGCTAATCTATGATGAGAACCCATGCACCACGCATATTATCTGTGAATGATAAAAACATTTCTACCACATGAACCACTGAGATTTATGCAACCAGCCGAGGCAGTTCAGAATTATTGATCGACAGATGAATGGTGAACAAATTGTTTCCTGATCATTACTTCAATTCAACTCTGTTTATCTAATGAATATCTTGACTGAGATTTTATAATTTGTGGGAGAAGTGAAGATGAAAACCTTTCACGTTTTATTTATTGCACATTGTATTTCTGGGAATCTGTTTTCTAGATTTAAAATGATTAATTTTTAACCTCAGAGTCTTATGTCTCAGGTACAAAGTAGCCGGAGTCGTTATTTGAATATTAATTGATGACAGAGCAAATATACATTTACTTGATATGAACAGGTGAAGAGACCATTAACATCAGGTGATGTGACAGTGTTGGGTCCAAACAACATGGCACCCGGCAGACCAATTCAAGGACTTGATGAACCATCTAAATCAGCAAGGAAGAAGGCCAAAAGGAAATCTCTTAGAACAGAGGTAATTGTGTGCAATAATGTTTACAGTATTTTGAAAATTCATACTTTGTTATAAAGGGAGTAAAAAAAAGAAAAGACATTCAGCTGAGTAGGGAAGACAGACTGAAGTGTAGTGCTCATTTCTATTTGAAACCATAAATGATGGTGTAGTTTCTACTAATTCTTTGCATTCATTCGTATTTGTAATGGTCCGTATGTTTGCCTGAACATTTGTACAAACCTCTTGGAATTTCTACTAGGGGTTCTGCATTCTATTGGGTGTGTGAGAGTCCTTGTCAAGCATTTAGTCAAGTTGCAATTATTCATGGACATTCAGTTTCCCATGTCAGAGAATTTTACCTTGGTATTTCTTGTTATTTATTCCTTAATGATTTATCTCCCTATCCAGCTGAGTATGGAAGACAGATTGAATGCCCTGAGTATCGCCCAGGCAAGACCTGACATTGACAAGAGCCAGCCTCCACGAGCTGATGTCATGGTTACATTACTATCACAGGGACTTCAGAGTCAAGATAGAGAACTACTAGATGTAAGACTAAAACCTCTTCTATAAAGTCTCAGTTTATATGAAATAAGTGTTGAGTGTGCTTAAACTTTTTTTGAGGGGGGGGGGGGGGGGGGGGGGGGGGGGGAATGGGTAGTGAATTTTAATATTTATCTGTTTTGTATTTAATTGTTATGAGTATCCCCAAATCATTTTAAAGCTGGCAGCTAATATCAAATACTTAGTGCATTTGGCTATTTTGTAACTTGTCTTGACAATACATTAATTAGTTTTTATGAGGAAGTTGGTATTATATGCTAATGAACTTGTCAATTTATCTATTTGTTTGTCAGCATTTTATCTTTTCAAATTTGTATCCACTCAATAGGAAAATACTTTAGTTTAGCATTGTTCAGACATTGTTACATTGGGATATCCTCCGTCAGATACATACCTGCGATTGTACTTGTGTACAAAATGACAGCCGTGTAACAAACGGAGGTAGAATAAACCCCAAGAATCCTCTCCACCTGTCACAGCCTGCCCCCACGCTGATGACAGACTATATTGGGTTCTACAGAGTCTCTTTATATCTTTGCTAAATTAGTATACAAATATACACTGTCTTGAGAGGTTCTGGTTAAGACTGTGCAAGAGGTGACTCCAGTAGTACTATTAGAGTCACCAAGGCCCATAGTTTTAACTATTACGTTGAAAAGAAGACATGGTATATTTGTTTTCTATCCTGCATCAAAAATTTATCTTGAAAGAAAAGAAGAAAATGTGAAAATGACATTTTTTAAATAAAAAAGAATTAAAAATGAAATACAAAATTTAAATTGAAAAAAAAAATTCAAAACAAGTTTCAACTCCCAAATAGTTTTCTCATATAGTAATTTTTCAGAGCAACCTTAAAATAACAGAATTATTTCTGGTCATGTGACAAGCTCTCAATTGATCAAAAAACAATATTTTTTTGATGCAGGATATAATATACAAATAATGAATGGTTATGAGTTCAATAGTGCGAATATTTTCATGAGTTGAAAGATTAACATTCTATTCAACGAGGCGTCAGCCGAGTTGAATAGAATTAACGTTAATCTTTCAACGAATGAAAATATTCGCACCATTGAACAAATGAAAAACATTCATTATTTGTTTTATACAACATCGAAGAAGATCTAATAGAACGTTAATCAACAAATTATGCTTTACTCCTTATATTAAAGATAAATTAAAGTTGGAGTCAAGCCTTCTCGATTACATTCAGATTGCCTTCGCGTCAGATACACGCAGGGATACGCGCGCGCACGGCTGAGAGGTACGCAGTCTGCATATAACCAAAAATGCACGGCGCATATAACCAAAAATGCACGACCGTGCAATATAACATCTATTGAATATCATGTGACCAACAATCCTCCAATCAAATGACAAGGATCCACGTAGGTGTTGTATAATAGCCATTATAGCTTCACAGAGTACTTCACTTGCTGAGAGTCAGAAAGGCATTGCCTCCTCTTTGCAATGTGATATGAGTTAGGTTCCCTTCTGGCTTTCAGCTATTTATTTGTTGAAATATTGTTTATTTTACCCTGCCTTTTTGTACTGTGGTTTGCTTCTTCTAGACGTCTGTCTGTTTCTTTCTTTTGTATTGTTTATATTGTTGGCTCTATTTTACTCATTTTTGGGGCTATAATCTATAATTTTATCTGTAGTTAAAGTCATACAATCTTCTATTCCACATTTCTTCTCTGCAGAGAGTTCTGAAGCAGGACAGAGCGAAGGTAGTAACCAACACCATCAAGAGACTCCCAATACCTCTCATTGTACCTCTCGTTCAAGAACTAGCCCGACGAATGAACACTGCACCACAAAGGTATGGCACCGCTCGTCTGCTTGCGAATTCTTTGTTTACATTTTGTTGTTGTAAAGAGTATGTCATTGTTTTTCTTTGATTGGTTGCTAATCTATGATGAGAACCCATGCACCACGCATATTATCTGTGAATGATAAAAACATTTCTACCACATGAACCACTGAGATTTATGCAACCATCAAAGGCATCAAGTATGTTTTAGAAATTTATTTCCAGAATGTCTCACATTAAGTGTAGGATTCCAAAATGCACATCTGATCTCGACAGTTTTCTAGCTGATGATCATACTTTTAGTGTCTTGAGAGAAATCATTTGGAACAAAACTGCACACTTACCTTTATTTTTCCAGAAGTCTTTGTCTAGGGGTCCGAAACAAAATTTGGTATGTGTACCAGGCCCCGGGTTATATTTGACATTTTGGGGACTCGTGTTAGTGTTCAGCCTAAGTTACTGAATGTAAAAAGCTGACTTTTCTAAATCGCATAACTTGATATGTTCTTATCTGTTTTCTCACAGTGGGTTGGTGATTGCCCATTGGACGAAGGAAGTGTTACGAGAGAGGGCGTCCTACCTCATGACCTGTCCTGAGCTGATGCTGAGATTAAGTCACATCTATGAGACCATCAACACAAGGACGAGCAACGGTGGCAAACTTAGTAGGCTGCATGGCAAATTGGATCTAATGTTGGCTCAGGTAAATACAGGATTTTAATCGGGATTTTTGTGATTATTTTAAATTCTTGTGTATTGATGATGAACCAAAGATGAGGAGCAGGTGGATTATGTTAATTTGCTGTAATGGAAAAGGTAGATTGGCATTATATCTTTACTCTGACATTTTCTTTTCTTTTTAGAATTCGAGAGAGATTAATTAACTACAGTTATGGTCTATTCTTATTTTGAATTTCAAGTTGCAAAGCAGAAGCAAAGCAAATAACATTTAGAAACAATTATCTTTGATTGTGTGGTATGTACCTTAAATTTGCTGACACCTTACAGAATTGAATGGGTTCATTTATTGTAAAAACACATACGCACAGCTGGAAAGTTGAAACTTTAATTTACAAAGGAATGCTTGAATATGAAAATTACGATGGTCTCATGTACCCTAGCATTGAAATAAACTTGCATCCTGTATAACTTTTATTATTGCTTTTGTTAAATAATTGTGTTATTGTATAAAGATTCATGTGTTCGTTTTTAACACCAGATTTCATCACAAGATGACACAGTGGAGGCCAGCCATACAGACCAGGCACTTATGCTCTATGAAGATGGTAAGTTTCTGAATTACAGGATTGAAAATATTTAGCCTATGATTTCAGGATTGATATTGTTATTGATTAGTAATGATATATTGGTTTTTGTATAGTTTCATTGGTTTCATATTTAGAACGGATGGTGTTAGTTTGAAGCTGCAATGTTTCATTCATTCCTTTTTGGTTCAGAGTTTTTCATATCTATGCACTGTTTGGATTGCTGAAAGACTTTTACAGACAATGTTGAAAGGGAAATTATTTTGAGATATTTTGTTGTTTATCTTTAATTGGTTGCTAATCTATGATGAGAACCCATGCACCACGCATATTATCTGTGAATGATAAAACATTTCTACCACATGAACCTCTGAGATTTATGCAACCACCCAAGACAATTTAGGATTATTGAGTGATTGATGAATGGTGAACAATTTGCTTCCTGATCATTACTTCAATACTATTTATCTAATGAAAAACTTAAAATGTACAAATCGTTATGAGTTAAAAGCAGCTCCCCAAGTATCTTTACATGATAGTTGTGAGGGGAAAAAAAAATTCACCAACCTTGAATCTTTTATACAATAGTGATGCACTTTTAATAAGAATAGAGCAATTTAAAAGATTAAAAAGTTGTAGACTACAGTTTGAATCTGTAATATAACATGAATTCCTGTTTGGTTCAGAATTGTTCATATCCATGCACTCTTTGGATTACTGAAGGACTTTTTGCAGATAAAGTTGAAAGGGAAATTATTTTGAGATAAGTAATAAATTGATAGGATATTCATGCTTCCGTGGACAAAAATTTAATTTTTGATGTGTTAAATTTTTGTAGTGCAGGTAAATCTCATCTGTTTTGATGACATGATTCAAAACTTCCACGTATTTCTTGTTTTCAGAATCTTCAGACGAGCTTGATCTGATGGAGGACGGACTTGCCATTCACTCAGAATCAGAGGTGAGATATTACAGTTATTTCAATATTCATATTTTAAACCTGTTCTTCTTTTTATCAGTGTAATAAGGAATTTTGATATCCATTTGCTTGTCCTCACTTTCAGGAAAGATGTGAGGTTCCACTTAAAAATTATTTCAGTGTGTTTTATTTTTATCAGTAATCTTTGGAAGGAACTTCTCACAGAAATGATGTTTGATATTTGCTGGAGGAAGTTATATTTTACGGAGGTAGAACATATTCATGATTTGATATTGAAAAAAAAAAGAAAAGAAAGATATCTAACACTTTTCCTTTCTCCTTCTTTTTCCAGGGTGAATGGGATGAGCGCTCTGAGTCATCAGACATGGAGGCACAAGAAGAAGATCAGGCAGACAGTAATGATTCAGATAGCGAAGATGAGGAAGAGGAGGAGGATGAAGAGGAAGATGACGACGATGAAACCTGAAAGTGCTTCGCCTCCCGTTAAAAGCGTGAATTTATATTAGCATCAGAACAAAAATATACAAAATATGTGACTACTCTAATCCAAGATCAGTCATGAGATTTTGTCTCTTTGCCAATCAATGCATTGTAACATACATATGTCAGCATCATAGCACCATTTGGACATACCTGGTTCCTCTAGCATTCAAGCTTTTGTGTTCAACATTGCAGCCTTACCGACTCGTAAGGATGTAATTTGAATGCTACACCCACCATCAGTACTCTGATCTGTATACATTGTGAGTTGGGCTCGTTCACATAATAAGGGTTAAACCACAACTTGTTTGAAAAACGTGTAAATGAACAGCAATTGTAAAGTATGCATATTCACCTAGCTTTTTGTTAGAAGATACGAAAATGTGAAGCGTATTACACTCGCGTCATCATTATAGAAAAAGAAATGCTGCGGTCTACTGCATTGTATCTCAAAGTGGCTTTAGGGGGCAGACTGTCTATTTGTAAATCCTATAAGCTTTGGTACATGATGTGAGTCTCCCAAGGTTGGGGCTTGACTTGTAGCAGCGAGTTAGAAGAGTGGACACTATCTCAACATCATCATTATTTAATGAAATGCCAATACTTAAAGTATTTGCTTGGCAGATAATTGCTTATGTGTCTTATGTTTATATTATTTTTTTAAAAGAAATTTACTATGGTAAGAATGCTTGTGAGAAGAAAAAAAAAAGAATTATATCAGAAGCGATTTATGTCAAAGCCTGTTCTTTTTATAACAAATGACAGCAACATTCAAGAAGGGCTTTTTTCCTTACAAGTGAATCTAATTTAAAAGGTATCCCCCTTCTATTTCTATTGGGCACTTGGATGGTATATTTAATGTATATATATTTTTTCAGAGTTATATGACACAAAGTATTAATGTCTTCCTCTGGCCTTCTGCCAAATTTGTTGTATCTTTCAATTTCTGGTATTTCGCTACTTTCATTCTTATTTTTTCTGCCAAGTTTTTTTTTGTGGAAGTATTTTCATCCTCTTGTTCCAGTCAGCTTTTGTAGTCATCTCTGAAATCTCAATAGGTTGTGATCATTTACGCATTATAACGAAATGTGTATGTGATACAATGTTGCTTTCACCTACAGGCGTGATTGCTTGGTTTACAAGCATTGTACCTATTGTAACTTGTAATGTTAGATATCATTCCCTGGCTTTTAATTCTGGTAATAATGGAACGAGAGGTACTGTTGTATTTTTTTTTTAATGAGCATCACCCCCTACACATAATGGTCAATTATGCCCTCCCCACCTTATTACCAACTCTTCTCACAGTCCTTATTGGGTGCGGTGACCCCAAAATTACCATATACTAGGTTGTGCCACATTCCTCTCTAATGTGGGGCTCTTCTAAAACATTACCTATTCATTATTACCCCCTCCCCTAAAATTGCCAAATGAGTCTTGTAGGGGTCATGATCCCTAGGTTCCAGAAGATTTTATGCTGATATTGGACAGTAAATAGCACCTGTTAAACTTTTTTTTGTTCTCAGAAAGTGAAGAGGAATATGTTGGGAAGAAAGATGTCGTGAAATGAAAGGAAGGTTGATATTTAATCTATTGCTAGCTTGTGTTTTTTTTTGGAGAGGCATGGTGATTTGATACATTTATATAGGATGCAACATTGAGTTCAAGCAGTTTTATTTTGTATAAATTTCTGCACTATTCCTTTTTGTCATTTTCTTCATGAAAAGAAAAAAATGATTTTTTTTTTCTTAACTCAATGTGCCAAAATCAATGAAGTGGATACATATGTACTTTGATGTTTGTATTTGGGTTAAAATCTGAGAGGTGCCTAGTCTACAGTCAAGTTGAGCCCCAAATCAGCAGGTTCTGTCATGATTAAGGGTTCGCAAATATGTGTTCAAGGAACTTGTACAGAAGTACATTATACCTAAAAAATCAGATGATGCAACTTTTATTCTTTTTTTCACAGGATAAATATTCAGGATGTTGTTTTAAGCTATCAAATAACCTTGATCAATTCTAAATAAAATGTGGGAGAGTAGGGAAATAATAGGTAGTTCTAATTTAACATCTACTTTTCTTTTGAAAGCTACAAATCATGTTACAAATGTATGCCCAAAGTTTTGTTTACTACGAGTATGGTTCAAGAGTCGTACTTAAATCAATTCATGTCATGCTGATTATGTAGGTTATCACCACTTGAATGAAGAGAGACTTTCCATTATGAATAAATTTTTGTATAAATGACAGACAGTGATATCAGTTCATGCATTCTCATTCATATGTCTCCATAGGCCTATTGGTGTGTGTATGTAGAGCCCTCCGTTTCTCCCTCTCTGTCTGTCCTCTCTCTCCGTCTCTCTCCGCTTCTCTCTCTCTCTCTCCCTCTCCATCTTTCTCTCTTTGTCTCTCTCCACGTCTCCCTCTGTCTCTCTCCACATCTCCCTCTGTCTCTGTCTCCCCATCTCTCCCTGTCTGTCTCCCTCTGTCTGTTTTACATTATGTATTTATATTCATTTTGCATACTTTTCAGTTTTCATACTTGTAGAAATGCAAAAGTATTTTATCAAAGCAAACTTACAGATGTTTTTACTTTAAATTTCAAAAATCAGATGCTAGCTTCTGCCTCATTTCTTCCCCCTCACTCTCTCTCTCTCTCTCTTTCACTCACACTCCCCTCCGTCCCTCCCTCTATTTTTCTGTCCCTCTCTCTTCATCCATGGAATTTACCCCCTTTTCGTCTGTATTACTCTCTCTTTCTCCATCTTTCTTTGAATACTTCTCCCTCCTTCCTCTCTTCTATTATCTAGAAATTGAACAAGTCCTAAAACCGCATTAATTTTGGGCAATAACTTGTGCATTTAAAAAACGGGTTCAAAAGCACATAGACTTAATAAATTGATAGAAATAAAATTGGTAATAATGTTGATTATGGTGAGAAATATGGTGATGATGATGATGATGATGACGATGATGATAATAATGATAGTAATAACAAAATGATTATGATAAAAAGTACTTCTACTACTACACTGCTACTACTACTACTACTAATAATAATAACAATAGTAATGATATCAATAATATTGATGATAATAGTTATTTAAATTAATTAGAATTACACTACTAGTAGTACTGATATATTTCAACAGAGAAAATGTTGCTTTTCTGCACTTAAGAGACTGAATATAATGTTCATACCTTTTTGGTCGCGCACTAATAAATAAACACTGGCAGGCCAGAAATTCTCGCTTGTGATAAAGGCACAAATTAGTTGGCATTCATAAGTTGAATCATTTCTTTCATTAGCACCACCCACTGGCGTGGGTGGGGGGGGGGGGGCATGCAGTTCCCCCACCCACAACAACATTCAGACGAGGTTTATTTGTAATTCGATACCAGTGATTTACAAATCTTGCTGAAATGACATGATTTTCCGAGATTTTTTCTCACTTTTTTGTAAATAATACTTTTTTATGCGTGTGTTGGAAAATCCACACGCCAATTTATGCTCTTCAAAATACTTTAGTGCCCCCCCCCCCCCACTTTGAAAAACGTTCCGCGGGGCCTGCACGAACGAACATGTAAGAGTGGTGGTGATGCGGATTTTTTTTTCTTCTTCTGCCCCCGGCCCCCCCCCCCCCCCCCCGAAAAAAAAAATCGCCTTTGCTCACGAGGCTACTGGCACCGCCTCCAAGCTCCACCATTACTACCATTACCATCACCACCATCATCACAACTACCACCACCACTACTACCAGTACCACCAAACAGAGGGTACCGACATCCATATAGGCCCTAGCTAGCTATGCAGTGTGCTGCTGTCATGCTTGCTCGACAGTCGGATATCGCCTCGATCCTCGATTATCCGAGTGGTTGCCAAGCGACGGGCGCGGGTTGCATACACGGACATTTCGCTGCTACCCAACTCTGATCTCTCGCACTGTAATAGCCTATTGACATTCATGAAGCTGGTGTACAGTGCAGAAAAGCGAAATATATTTACCATGAAATGGCGATGGAATAGTCAATTTTCAAAGTAATTTTTTGATATTTCTAACGAAAGAAGAAACAAGATGCCTAAAAAGACAAAGAAAGGAGGAAAGGGAAAAGGCAAAGGAAAGGGGAAGAAAGGGTAAGTTTGTTATTACCTAAAAATGCACGTCATACGCGCCAGAAAGCAAGCTTTGCTGTGCCGAATTGAGTAATGACGGTCCCATATATTGAATTCTATGTCATTATCTGTGAAGGTTACTTGTGCACTGTGCACAACGGTTTGCGGCGCGCGCTAGCCAGTACTTTCGTATTCAATTTTTTTCTCTTCTTCTTCTTCTTCTTCTTCTTCTTCTTCTTCTTCGCTTTAAGTACAGGCCACTGTCGGGTGTATTCTCGTACTGATTGAAGGTGCTGTGCAGGTGTATATAGATCTATAGATCTAGAGTAAAGGAGCCGGTAAATCGAGTATCTTACGCGTGTCTGTAGTGTAAGAAATATGGGTACCATAAAATGAGCTTTATTTCAAGTATTTTTCAGATTTAGAGCCGATTTTGTGCTAGTCGCAAGCTCAAAAGTATCTCATCGCATGTATTAAATCAATGCAGCCGCACACCGCAACGCACACACGATATCTCTGTCTAATTCAGATTCCAATATCCGATCACGGCAGTACTAGTTTTCGGCCTGGCGAGCTCCGGGGAGCTCCTGCGTGGGATAGCTGCTCCGCCCGCTAGTGCTATAGATCAGTGCGGAAACGCACGGCGCGTGCGCGCGCTTCCTATTGACTTTGTACATGCGGCCGAAAACTGGTACGCTATGCCGAAAACTGACTCCGAAAATGAAATGAATATTGTCATGGCAATTCGTGATTTTTTTCTGGGATTCTTGTTTTGTTTAAATAATAATAATATTTGCTTCATGATTTGAACAAAAAATGATAATAAATAGGAAGTAAAGAGTCCTAAAAATAGGATTTTGTCTTAAGTGGCCGAAAACCGGCTCCTTTACCCTATAGATCTATTCAGAAAATAGTATCAATTCTTCAAAGTTCATAAGATTGAGTGAAATATCATGCACTCAATATCATAGTCTACAAATCATATAACCTGGGCAAAGGCATGGGGAAATCAAGTTTTTTGGCGGATAAAAAGGGAAATTAGTCTAATGGGATTAAAATATATAAAGCAATTGATAAATAGTGAAGAACATGACGTCACAAACTGATAACCAAATTGGCAATTTGTGTAGTGATTTCCATTGTTTCATAGTTTTTCATAGTTTTTCAAAAATTTATATTGCTTCCTTATTAGTTATTTGATTTAACTCAAATTTGTTCTGCTCTGTTTCTCTTGTTTTTCTGCATCTATTAAAAGCAAATTATTTTTGGAGTGGACTTACCGGTGGTCTTTAAGAACAATTTCAAATAGTATACAAATAACGCACGTCCCAGAGTGCAATAGCGGTGAATGCAGTACACGCGAGGTTTCTTTAGATTGGTGCCGCTCTGTGAACGAGCCGCTTGCGGCGAGTTTACTGTGCGCACCATCTAAAGAAACCGAGCGTACACTGCATTTACGTTTCGCACAACAGGGTCAAGTGCGTTATTTGTTTTATAAAATAGCGACACAAATAGCAACAAACGAAACTTTAGATCTTAAGTTAGAGTCTACGAGAGTTCGATCTAGATCTAGAGTTATGTTGGTTCTAGACTAAGACCTTGCAGGCTTACCAAAAAGTCAATGGGATTCATTGCCTTGATTAAAAATAAAATCCATACCGTGGGTCTAGAGACGAGTCTTCATTATAAAATCCAAAAGTCAAAACAGGCCTAAATCCAAGGCAAAAGTAAAATAAAAATTTTGCTTTTTAATAATACCCCGCTCTAGCTAGCTAGCTAGAGCTAAGCTACGCGTACGTTGCGCTGGGGATCATGGTGGAGCGTACAATATTAGCTACACGTAGCCTACAATAATTGCAATGCACTCGAGGGAGCGCGTACTACACGTACGCGCGCGCACTGGATCTCCATTGTCACATGTATTATAACTTTTTTTGCGCTTTTTCTGCACTCATTTCTGCAAAATCGTGCTTGCATCAAAAATTTGTCAATGTCATGTGACGCGTATTGACCAATCACGATGCTTAAAATACTAGAGCCATTTTATAATCTATATTCTTGTACAAAAACTTGGCATTCACTTGATAATGCAATATCTTAAATACAACCAAAATCCCTCACAGTCTGTCCAGAGAGATTCTACTTTGGAGTGAACAGCAAGCTGTCCACTCTTGACATCTCAGCAACCGTGCACCAGCCTTGCAACCAGAACACTTTTAAAAATGAAATGGCCGTGCTGGCATACATCATGCCTTGTTCAAGCTTGCTTAATACTCAACTAACATGGTATTGTATACAGGAGCACTTTACCATGAAAATGAGAAAGTACCTGTCATTTAAAGCCTTACATGTAGGTAGCTGCTGATCATGCCTGCAACCATCCTAGTAATTTATTCAGAACTCCCTGCCATAACAAGGACAAACATCTGAAAAGGAAAGCTATGCTCATTACTCTGACATTGCTACCTGTATAACAGACCTGTTTACTAATTTATTTCAATTTATGAATGTTACTCTCCCAAACACTTGTTTACCAACTATGTGATTCACCTGCTATGCATAAGGACATCTCTATAGATGGAATTCACTTTGCACATTAGTTGTTGCTATGTCAGACAAATCTCTGAAAAGCTTGTCAGTCGTTAAGAGTAACTTTTGTTATAAAAGTACCCATCAAATTAGTAAACATGTCTCTTTGATTAATAGATCTCCTACCTGTTAATTTTATTTTGGCTGGTACAATATACAATAACAATAACAAAGGACAAATAAATAAATTGTTTTGATGTCTTACATTTAAGTATTAGAACCTTATGTTCGTCTAGAATTTACAAAAATATAAATCATTAATTTAATGTTCACTATTCCTCACAGGAAAAAAGGATCTAAAGATGCCTCAAAGAAGTTCTCTGATGGAGCCCTGGCCCAAGCTAACACGAGACTATGGGAGTCCAGACTAGTAGCAACAGAGAATGCCAGGCAAGAGTTCCGTGAAGAGGCCAAGAGGCTGGCGCTGGAGAATGAATCGCTCCAGAAGAACATGCATGTCTCTGAAAGGGATACCATTGAAGTCATCACCTATCTCAAGAAGGAAGACCAAACAAAGGAAGATTTGGTAAGTGTTTAATTGAAGCCACTTCAGAGGATGCTTGTAATGTATATATATAATTCCCCCATCAACAATGTCATAAATTAATATCTTTCCTTCTTTTTTTTTCTCTCTTCAATTCAAACTTGTTGAAACTTATTTGACTTTATATTGAGAAAACTTATATGAGCAAGGTACACAATAATAAATTCATCAAACACTGGTCAATGAATCTAAAATTAATTTGTTATATTCCAATTATATATATTTGCTTGAGGAAAGCCAGGAAAGTGTATGGTCTGCACTCTAACTACCATAAATATATAATTACAGGAAGTAGAATTTTAAAGCTATGTTGCCTTATTTTAAGTGATGCATGCAATGATATATTTATAATATGATTTATTTTGTCTTCTTTTCCAATTTTAAATAGATTTCAAAGTTACAGAAGCAGTTGAAAGACACACGAAGAGAATCAAGGAAAGAGAAACAACAAATAGTGAGTAGTCAACTAGTCATATTGATTGAGCAGACTAATGAATCCTTAACCCATATATAAATAAGAAAGTTATCTAGCTTACATCATTTGTATTTACTACAGATGTAATGTTTGGATGCAACACTACCACATTTTATAGAAAAGATTATGATGTAAAGATAATGAGGCTTTCAGAGAACAACATTTAGAGTATCAATTAGTAAATGGTTATATTGAAGCTCAAGGAAATAGCTTATTTTTGCTTTTGTCTGTACCTTGATCCTCATGGGACAGGCATGCTTATAGATACCAGGGCCCCGTCTAACAAAGAGTTAGGATTAATCCGAATCAATCGTAAGTCCTCCAATCAATTGCTAGTTTGCAGTTTCCTATCTCTTATGTACGTGGTTAAAGTTGCGATTTATATCAATTCTTTGTAAGATGGGGCCCAGGCCATCAAAATAAAATATTAGAAAATTAAATGAAAATGAAATAATACATGAAAATATATCAAAGTAAAATATATTTGAACCCAATCCTATTTGAAGAGACATACGGTAACATGTTTCATTCCTTCATCAGATCGAGGACTTCACAGAGAGGTTTCATCAGCTGGAGCAGGCTCTAACAGATAAGACTGAAGAGGTCAAGATGATGCAGAGTGAACTCAAACTGGTCAAAGAGTTTAGGAGAAAGAGAGGGCAGATGCAGAAAGAACTTGATGAGGTAAGTGGCTGCAAGCATAGATTTACTTGTGTAACATAACATTAGTTTTCCTCTTGCTGGCTTGCATATCAGATATTTGGTAATGTTCAGTCATGTTATTATATAATTCCTTCAAAGTAGAAAGAAATATGAAAAGCTTCTGTTTTATAGTTTGATATCAGTACTTAAATACTAAATATGTCCTATTACATCGAAAAGCTAGAATTGTCAAATTATGACTTTTATGTGGAAGAAAGTATCTTTATTTCATGGTACACATCATAATTCCATTTTTCCTGACAATGGGTTGTGATTTTTATTTGTATTGGTATCCAATAAGAAAAGTGGACAAATTTATCTGTGATTCTATCAAGCCTTTTAAAAGTCATTTCCCGTCTAAAGATTTAGGGTTTAGACAGGGTCTTGCATTCACGAAGATAATCAAAGGCAGTTTTCTTCGCAATTGCTTACCGGGGTAATAATATTTTGCAATGTCATTTTGTATCATTTTGTAGATCAAAGAAGAGATGTTCCTAACCAACAAGGAACATCAAGGACAGCTTCAGAGGATGGAGCATAAATTCTTTGAGGAGAAGATCCGTCTCCAGCAGGAGGCCAGTCAGAAGATTGCTGAGCTGGCCGAGAGAGCTCACACTGAGGCTATCAGGTAGGTGGCAGTTTGAACAGACTACCATTAAATTGATTGTGGACTGTCTAGTTTACCTTTAAAATTCAAGTAAATCCTCAGAGGTCCTACTGGTTTTAAGGCCAATGAACTATGTGATTTAGTAGCAGCGGTTCTTCATATATGGGGTACAAGCCCTAGGGGAGTTTTTGAAGGCAAGAAGGGGGGGGGGGGGTATGAATGTGAAATTCTATGTACAATTCAATTACAGGGGGTGGGTCATTAATTATTACTTATGACTTACCAAACTTTGAATTCATGTGATGCCATATCTGCCAAAAGCGATTTGATTGCATTATTACCTAATTTTGTTTATCTGTATCTTCCATAGCAACCTGGATGAAACCACTCGGTCAGTGTACAAGGAGAACGTTCGTCTGACTGAAGCACTCAACTACCATGTGAAGGAAGCGGATGAGCTGAGAGCAGAGAAAGATAAATTACTGAAGGAGAACAGTCAGATTAAAGGAGATAGGGAGCTTCAAGATCAACTCATTCAGGAGAAAGTTATTAGCAGCAAGAAACAAAAGAAACAAATTAACGAGGTAAGCAGGATGTATTAATGAATTCAGGCAAATTACATTTTTCCACCAATTTAATAAAAAATTACTGGAACCCACAATTATGGAATGCACACATATTTTTGTAATGCACTATTAAAACTCAAATTTGGGGGAGTGAAATATAAGATTTCGCATGTTAGGGGAAGTTTATATGCATTGATAAGTGACAGCTTTGTCATATTTTTTTGTGTGAAGTAAGGATTGTTTCAGATCAATCGCACTGTGAATTTCCGTACTTGATTAGCCCATCCCCTGATATGTTATTCTTATTTCAGTGCGCAGTGCACTGTAGTAAAATTATAATGAATAGTTGTTTATTCTAGGGGTGTATTTTTGCATCGAACATAACGATCTATTACAATTATTTACACACGATTAATGTTCACAGCTTCAGGAGAAAGTTCAGAGTTTGGAGACATCCTTGAGTCATGTTGTGAAAGAGTTTGAGAGAGAACAGAAGTCTGGTCAGCAGATGGCGGGCATAGAGGCACAGTCCAGCAAGGTGGAGATAGCTAAACTCATGAGGACGGTTGATATGCAGACCAAGGAGATGAACAAAGTCAAGAAGCTGGCCAAGACTATCCTTGATCAGGTAGGTGTTGTTCTGTTCTTGCTGAAAATCTGGATTTGAACCTGTCCGCCATTTGGGGGGACAGTGTGCATGGGGATAAACATACTTTCATTTTGGAGTGAACTGGGAGATCGTAGACTGGCCCCCATCAAACTTAACTGATTATTTTTCCCCTTTTAAATTTTTTAATTTTTTATTTAAAAATACCTATTGTGTAGAGTTCAAATTTAAAGAGTAACTACCGGTAGTAACTGAGTTCAGTTGACCAGTTCTATCCTACTTTCAAGTTGCTTTAATCATGACATAATGGACAACTACAGCTTTTATATCTGATTGCAATATTTCACATTCTTTTGTAATGTCATGTAAGTATAAATACTAATGCTATGCATCACACAGAAATCAACACAATTTTGAACATATTTGTGCTATCCTTTATTGCAGAGAACTGAAATGGAGCAGTTTTTCTTGGACTCCCTTGAGATGGTGAAGAAAGAGATTGTAGTAAACCAAGCCAAGTATCTCCGTGATGCAGCAGTAGCATACCAGAAGAAGATGTTAGATGCTCACGCCGGCAAGAAGAACCATCCACGCATCAGGACGTTCAATCAAGCAGACAACAGCACTAACAGTGTGTATGCGGATCTCAAGGCTGCCGAGACATGGTAAGATAGCAAATCTATACAGCCCTCACACATGCACAAAATGTATGGTTACAGTCAGCCCCCCCCCCCCCCCATCCCAATATTTTGTTTGTTTGAAAATTGGTTTGGCTCAGTATTCATGAATAATACCTAGGTATATGTATACATATAAAAAAAAAATAAAGCACTTCATTATAATTTCAAATAGTTTAAGATATGTAATTTTTTTTTTTACACCCATTCAAACACTTATTTCCACTTTGAAAATGTCCAATGATAACTCCATGTTATTTTTCATGACAGGTCTGGGCTCGGAACCAAGTTAGACATCAGTGAGCTAACCTGGGAGCAGAGAGAACGCATTCTGAGGTTACTCTTTGCAAAGATGAACGGAGCCAAGACCACTCAGAGGCCAGTCCTGGACCTGAAACCTACAGGAACACAACGGAGACCCCAAGTCTCTGTTCCAAACAAGCACATGTCCACGTGAGTAGGAAAACCCATTCTGTGTACTAGGCATGATAGATCATTGACTCCTTGTTTATTTAATTCATTTATTTTTATCTTTTATTTCACATCCCATTTTCCATTTTTGTCTCTTCTTTTTTTCCCCCTCTTCCCTCCATCTTCAAGAATGTTCACGTTTGCTCTTGCTCTCTTTCAGTCTTGCCATCGAAGCCCCACCTGAGAGTGACGAGGCGGATCAGACGTTCCTCACCCAGGCCGAGTTAGACCCGTCCACACAGCTACCTGCTGTCCATCAATCATCATCCATTGTGGCCATGTGAACATGCCCCCAAGATATCCAGCTACAATTGAACCCGCCCTGTTTGGATTTAGCTTAAAGACGTCCTCTAAAGTGTCTCGATGTGAACAAGTCATGAATGCAAGATAGCCTGGCCCATTTTGATTTAGCTTTAAGCCAATCTCTTAAGTGTTTGGATGTAAACACTGCCTAGTACCAATTTTGCAAATGTAGACTTTCAACATAAGATACATTTATAATTCCGTCCTATCTTCATTCTGATGAGTGCCAAGTGTTTAAGTTGGTAATCATACATTGATTTAATCAGCACTGCAGAATCAATTTAGTTTCATTGTATGAACAGTGCCTTTGAGTTTCTATCCATGATAGACTCTAATACGCAACTATCTGAGCGTCAGTGTTTACAGTGCCTAATTCATATCTGAAAGATATTCTTATCTTGTTACTTTTAAAGTTGCACATCTTAGCCTATCGATAAGAGCTTCAAAGTCATGACAATAAGTTCTATATTTAAATAGCAACTTTGTAAATATGAATATGTATAATATTTATGTATATATATATATACATGTGTACATCTAAATGCCAATCTCTATGAACAAAAAGCTTTTTATCAGTGGTGAGTGATTCTAGAATAACGACAAAAAAATTAGGAAGTTAGATGAACAAATTAAAATTTTGGTCAGACTGTTTCTCTATTCTCTAGATGCAATAATAAATTATGGTGATTGATATAAATTGTAAAATACTTCATGTTGTTAATGAAAAATGGTTATTTAGATGGTTTTCAAAATGATTACTTGCAAGAGAGGTAATCCAAATAAATTTGCAGTGTAGCTGTTAAGTTTGGTATTGCATTCATTTTGGATGTTTAACTACTTGCATGCTCTCTATAAAGAGAAAGAAAATTATAAACCAACATGCAAGAACCATCTCATCTTGAAATCTTATTTAAACATAATAATAGTAACCGAGTAGTACAAGTCTATGCATGAGATTATCCACATGTATTGCATGACAAACTATTCATGTTAATCTTTTATTATAAAATAAAAAAAATACATTTTTAATTACTTTATATTGTTTTCTAGACAGTTTCACTAGAAATGGTTAGTTCTGCCTCCAGTGGATAATATCCTCATACCATCTTTTCTTCCTGAAATTTTTCAAGGTTTTCCTTTCAAATGATTTGCCAATAAAAGACAATGTAATGGGATTTCTCTTCCAAATTAAAAAGAACAAAACTAACTTTTGCAATAAGTGGTAGCTGCCTTTGTGCAGGACTAGCTGTAGAACAAGAATGATGGAATCAAGGCTGTGATAGTTTTCATATCAAATGAATTGTAATCAATATTAAGTGTGCTTGTGAACTTCATTGTAATCTCTATAGGTGATATCCACTTATGTAAAGGCAATATTATTGGAAATACAAAATTTCATTGACTATTTCCATGATGTCAGGAAACCTTTTTAAACAAATGTAAAACTAGCTTTGACCTCCATCTGATGAACAAGTCTTTTCCATAGTGATTAGTTACATACCTGTTTGTATCAATTTTGTTTATATTTTGTACAGAATTAATATCTTATTTAATTGTCTTGTAATTAGATATTCCAGAATGAGCTGAAATAAGCTTTGATATATTAAAAGTCTTGTGTATATTCTGTCAAAACTATACCTTGTGTCATTTCATAGTGCACTGCTTTTAAATGAATTTGAAAAAATAAAAAGTGAATGATGTAAAAAAATAGACACCCCCTCCCCCAAACAAAAGGGGGTGGAATATGATGTGCTATGAACATGTACATGTAAATATTGACCAAGAGCCAAGTGAGAGGATGAAAAGAGGATTTATTTACCCCACCCCCTCCCCCCCCAAAAAAAAAAAACGGCTAAAAAAAGAAGGATAAAAAACAAACAAAAAAGAAAGGTAAAAAAAAAGGGGGGGGGGGGAGGAAAGAAAAAGAAAGGAAGAGACATCTAGAGGGTGAAAAATAAGAGTGTAAACAAAATATTCATGTAAGAATTAAAGAGTGAGTGAGACTACTATACGTGTACATGTACAGCTCTCTGGTCGGCTCTCTGTCTTCACCTACAAACTGGCTCAGGCAGACCCTGGTTCAAAATGAGTTGATTTTTCAGATGGTGATGTTTAAGGTTGGTTCCCAGAAGTAGATAATCATATCTGATTGATACACGCTGGTAAAAACCCAATAACACACACACACAAAGTACATGGTAAAGAAAATCACTTGTTTGATTTGGGGAATGACTTTAATAATGCAAAATCCTCATATATATTAGAGCTACAAATAATAAAAATAATCAAATTCATTTTAAAAAAAATTGTCTATTTACATTCAATTATTATTATGTACAAAATTACAAAAGGGGACATGTAAAATCATGTCAAAATAATTGAATTTTAAAGGCAGGCACTAGTTGGTAATCTTAAAAAAGCACTGAGCTATCTAGACCTTTAAATTACATAGTTTAAAACAGGATAAATAGCAACCAGGTTTGATAGGAATAGGACATTTCCAAAGCTTCCTGATACAATATTTATCCCACTTAATAGAGAGACCCTTTTGCTTTATCAAACTTACAGGAAGTGAAAGAAGGTCTGCCTCATTTCCCAGAAATTTGAAGAAGAATAAATACCATGGTAAAACTCAAAATTTGTGTTCTAATCCACCCTGTTTTACAGTAACCAGAAATACCCTTTAATCCTTGTTCACATCCTCTTCATAAGGACGTTGCACCATTACAAATCACAATCAAGATTAGAAAGATAGAATTTTAAAAGTAATGAATTTTTTTTTACTCCATCTAGTATTTCAAAGATTTGTATTCAATATAAAGATAAAAACATGAGAGATTATACAGAGATAGAGATGCACATTTTGTGTTGCTTGCAGGTTTCGTTTTATCAGAATTGTGAAGTTACGCGTATATGCGCAGGCAAGGGCACTCTGGCAATAAATAAATGTCGATGACAAGATGATGGTCGGTTGAGAGATTACTAGATGCTATTCCATGTCTCTTCTATTCACTTTCTATACAGACGGTTTTATCTCTTGATAGAAGTTCAGGAGTTGGTAGGAGTCCAGGAGTTGAGAGGAGAGACCAGGCGTAAGCATATTTCAGATCTTGCAGTATCACAGAAGTAATATCTCCTGTATACAAAATAGAGAAGATGAGAGAAAGTATAGAGAATTAAACTTTAAAAAAGAATAGGACTGATTTTTTTGATGAAGTAAAAGCATACACAAAACCAATTCAGATATTAATATTCAAATATATTTCATCTCTCCATTTTCTTTTCTTTCTACAACTCTTTTTTGGGGTAATGGTTCCTTTTGAAAAGACAAACAAATTGTATAAAAGCTTTCACATAGTGTCACAAGTCTCCAATTCAACATACTGATAATATGATTTCTTCAAACCTGTCATTACTGGTGACAAATCTTAAGAGCCACTTTGCCCCCGGGAATAGCAGTATCTTAATTACGCAATGACAACCTGTTAATGTAGAAAGGGGGGAAACAGGAGCAGCTAGGGGAGTATTGGGAGTGTGAAATTCATCATGTATACATATATGTATCTGGGGAAAGACATCTCATCTTGGTAATGCAATCACTTTTGATCAAGTTGTCATCAGTAAAAACACAAAAGTCGCAGGGGTAGAGAAAGAGTCATGGATCACGTATCATGGATCTGGAAGGATTAAGGTATGATCTGCTTGGAAATCAAACCCTATAGTGCATGTTGGATCAATATTGGCTTTCTTTCTGGATCAAACGGTGAGTGAAACACCCCACACATCACCTTAGAGACTGCAAGAAACATGACCTTCTCTAAACATTCACTGAATCTGCTATTCTTCCAAATGGCTTGCGGTTGAATAATCCATCACAATCGTTACATTTTTCGATGATATCCTCTTGAATGAGGAAAAAACTGGGGCAGTGGCCTACATTTTGGCTCAATTTCCAGCAAAAAACGGCAACAAGAAAGGAAAGGAGGGGTATCATGGCCGGCCTTAAAGTACAGTAATAACCTCACAGATCAATCCTCATTTTGCTTGGCCTAGATTTGGATTGTATTTTCAGAGCGGAATGGGTGAAACTAGAATATATCATAATAAGATGAAGAAAGAATTGTCATGGATAGCGAGGCGGAAAGTTAGAGGCTAAAGACAGAGGAGAGAGAGAGAGAGAAAAAAAACGATGGAGACAAGTATGGAAAGAGATAGAAAAAGTAGAAAGATATTGCAAGAGGGGGAGATGGAGAGAAAGAGAGAGAAAGAGAGAGAAAGAGAGAGAGAGAGAGAGAGAGAGAGAGAGAGAGAGAGAGAGAGGGGGGGGGGGGTGAGGACAAGAACAAATGTGTGGGAGATTTTTAAGAGAAAAATTGCACAACTGCATATTTAATGGTTGAGAACAGTTGGTCAACAGTTTACAATGGATGAAAATCTTTTTTTCTTCTATGTTTAAAAAAAGAAGCCATTACGTTTTTTCATTTCTGTTATTATACATCGATCAAATTTCCCTTTTTATGCTTTCTATTCTATATATATAATCATAGTCATCATTTTAGTAAATGATTTCTTTTGTATATGATATCATAGTGCTTTGCTTTATGTCATATTCATCATTATGATCCCTCCTCATCACTATCAAAATCATCATCATCGTCGTCGTCATCATCATCATTTAATTTTTACCTTTACTAGTTAAGACTAAAACACCAAATGACCATTTAACTGTCTGAAACAGCATTATGTGACAGATACTTAAGAAGAAGGAAGAAACCGGAAACAGATTGGAGTAAACTAACCAGGACAAAAGTGAAAGAGCAAATCAATTTTTAGTTTTAGATCGTTTTTAATTTTCCTGAACACCTTTGGGTGGACAAAAATATTTAGAACAAAAATTGATTTGCCATAGGGGAACAAGAAGAGGAAACATATACAATTAGAGCACATGAAAATAATGATCTTAGAAGGAAAAAATGGGAGGGAAATGTATCTCAGGTGAGAATGAGAATAGCAGGTTGCTGGCAGGAGAGGATTACAATTAGATGAATACAAAGTGAGAGCTAGCTTTAAAACTATAGGAAATACATTCATGGATGGAAACAAGCAGAAAATAGAAAAAGGGGTAACACATAGTAAGGTGAAATACAGGAGGTGAAATGAAGATTAAAAATAAATGAGGAAACCAGAGAGAATATAATTTTAGGAGTGAAAACAAATCATTACCATAAGAAACTTGTATATGAAGAGGAAAAGAAATATATGGAAGAAATTAAAAGGGAAAGAAATGTGTGATAAAATGTGGAAAGGATTGGATTTCTTTTTAATGGATACAGACAATGGCAAGGGGAAGGGGCAAGAGAGAAAGAGAGAGTGAAAGCGAGGCGCAGAGTAAAGCAGTTAAATAAGAAAGTAGAAGGCTGAGAAGAAAGTAAAGGAAAATATAGACATAAAGAAAGAGAAATAAATACACAAAACCACAAAACAAGTTTTCTTACATCTTCCTCATCAGATTGATCATGTAGTTCAGCCTCTGTTGCTTTGATGTCTTTCCTCTGGCCCTGTGGTTTCAAATTCAAGGTGATCAGTATTAAAGACAGAAAAAAACAGATCAATACTTGGTCTACCTGATCTGCTGGTCAGATTTATCATTTATGGCCAATAGCACATTCCTATGCCTGCATTTAACAGGAGTATTATAGTCAACCCTGTGGGAAACTACATAAATTTGGCTGAAAAAAGTTGATTGGTAGAAAATGCAGAGATGTTTAGGCATACCAGCTAAGTGTCTGAGTTAAGAACATAACATGAATGTAGCTCACTCATATGCTCCAGTGACAAGGTGAAAGTGTCAGTGAAGCAATCTGACTCAAAATGTTTCATTAAGAAAGAAAATTACAGTTCTTTCCTGTATCAGATCAAAGGCATAACTGAATAAATTAACAATGTGGATGCAAAACTTTTTCAAAATTGTATTTGACAAAACTAAACATTATGGTCAGTGAAGATAAATTTTCAGAACAAGTTCATGTCCTAGATTCTACTGGGTACCTGGCAGGAATTAATTCCCTGAAATGCTAGAGCCCCGTAATGGCAGCCGTGCTCAAGCCAGGGTAATAATCAGGAGCGCCAGGAGTGTCAAGTCTGACAGATATGAGCGCTTTCCAAGAACCCACTATTATTATTATTATTAGATCATATGGATATAATCTTTGCATTCCTTCAAAATGTTTTATTTTTAATTTTTCATTTGATAACATCATCTCCTGAGAGCCAGTAAGGCATTCAAATCAATACTGAAGGGGTAGGGCTTTATGTCTTAGGCTCATACTCAGGTGATAACATGTTACACATCTCTATAAGTTTACAGCACGAATGGGCTACCAATTACCTGCACATTGGGAGATGCTTTCCTCCATTGCTGAGGTGATGGTGGTGTTCTTGAAGATGATGCTCCCGTAAACAGTCTCCTGATTTGCAAAGCTGGAGAGGATTGCTTGACAGGAGAAAGTCTTGGTTTGGTACCACGCTTGGAAGGCAGAGGACGTGATGATGATGATGATGATGAAGGTGATGAAAGTTGTAATAATGATGGCATTCCAACGGGTGACAACAGTGATTCTGATGATGATGGTGATGAAGGCAAAAGTTTAGCCTTTTGCTTCCTTTTCGCTGTCCCAGGAGAATGTTCATGAGCTGCTTTAGCACCCCTCTTTCTCTCTGATCTTACAACAGTTTTAGTTGGCTGGTCAGGCTGCAAGGGGCTGCTCTCTAAAGACCACCTCTTAAAACTCTGTAATGAGGATTTAGCAGATAATGGCCGGGAAGAAGATGATGATGATGATGATGCCACTGATGGCGATGGAACAGAATGCTCGATTGTTTTGTTGTCACCTGCTGCTTGTAACCTGGAAAGGACGGACATCTTAGATGTCAAAGAAGTCGGTACAGACGATGGTTTTGACGAGGATGATAACCTTGCTTCTGACTGTTTGATTTCAGAGGAAGTCAAGTCGGAATTCCATGCTTCTAAAAGACATTTCTCTGAGCTTTCAAGAGAATTGTCCACTGGATGGGCTTTCATTGCATTTAGATCTGATCCTGATGCCACATGTTTTCTCCTCGACCTTTTGACCACACTATCACCTGCCATTTGAAGACTTCTCTTTCTACTCCCAGATCTCTTACCCTTCGTCTCAGGAGTGACAATAAATTCATAAACACTAGTTCTTTCCTGACCTTTCAATTGTTTATGCCCTATACTCGATGTTGATGATTTTTGATGGTGCCCTTTCAAGGGATCCTCTGATTTCCCCTTTGATGTGGCCCTAGGCGCTTTTTTCTTTTGAACTCTTTCGACCAACAGGGTAACATCCTTCTTTGGATGAACTGATTTCTTCTCATCACATATCAGCATACCCTTGCTGTCCGAAGAACAATCACTTTTCCTCACATCACTGCTTGATTCAGATGTCCCTTTACACCTATCCCATTTCCTCTTGGAATTACTTGCTGGACTTTTCTCTGGGAGCATGACTGGTGATTTGCAAAGTTTTTTCATGTTGACTCCCAGTGATTTACTTTTGTGTGACACTGCTGCTACGCTTTGTTGCTTCAGGTACCTAAATTGGTGACTTGATTCTCCCGGACTCCCAGGGGTACCCTCTGACTTGGCATCTGGACCAGATGTCTCTTCCTCTGAGATATTCAACTTTGATTTTGCAGTTGAACCTTTTGTTTTTTTCAAGGTCTGGTCAGGTGTTAGCGGATCATCTTCTTTAGGAGAATCTATAAGCATCCCTACTCCAGTTAGATGCTCTTCTTTTCCATGTGCATGGCATGGCTTTGAATCAGATTCAACCTGAGCAAGCGGTTGGCTTATCAAAGGCTTTTGCTGGATTTTCAAGGACTGTTTGGATCTTTTGGACCTGTCTTCCTTGAAAACGGGTTCTTGAGAATGTTGGTGCTCTGATGATGAGCTCTTTGTCATCACTGGAGCATCGTGTTTCTTCAGCACACCAATGGTCACTGGCGGATCTTGTTTCTTCAGCACATGAACGGTCACTGGCGGATCTCGTTTCTTCAGCACACCAATGGTCACTGGCGGATCTTGTTTCTTCAGCACATGAACGGTCACTGGCGGATCTTGTTTCTTCAGCACATGAATGGTCACTGGCGGATCTTGTTTCTTCAGCACACGAACGGATTTCACCGATGGCTTCTTGGTTGCTTCTTGAAGAGCTTCAGGTAACCTGACACCACCAATTATCCCCTCACCATGCTCAACACCACCATCACCTGGCTTTTTCAAAGGCTTTTTCTGGATTTTCAAGGATTGTTTGGATCTTTTGGACACGTTTTTCTTGAGAACAGGTTCTTGAGGATGTTGGTGCTCTGATGATGAGCTCTTTGTCATCACTGAAGCATCTTGTTTCTTCAGCACACGAATGGAACCCACCGATGGCTTCTTGATCGTTTCCCGAGGAGCTTCAGGTAACCGGACACCACCAATCATCCCCTCACTGTGCTCAACACCACCATCACCTTGTTCTGACTTTGGCTCCACCTTAACTCCAGGAGTCTCTGTATCCTTCGACTTGCTCGGCTCAAAGGGTGCAACCACATGGATGACCTTCTGTTTGGTGGTGCTACCACTGACTCTGGTTCCCTGGTGCAGGAGTTCAAGGCTCGTCAGATGTTTGTTCCTTGAATCAAGAGTACCAGCGGGTGTATGGGTGTACATGGAAGGTGTCAGGTCAACAGGAGAGTATGTCCCACTTGCTTCAGAACCTGCAGTTGATGGAGATAAAAAAGTAATGACATATACTAAGTACATCAATTATACAGATTGTGTCAGTACTAATTAGTACATAACTTTTATAATCTATACAGTTTAATTCTACAGTCTGTATCCTGTTTTTATTTCTGATGTCCAAAGTTCTTCAACTCTCATCCAAGTAGTACCTTTATCATTAAACAAACAAAAATGTCATCACTCATCCTGCTGGCAACTGATACGTCAGATACACCAATGCCAAGAAATGTTAAACTTTCTTCATTACTTCAAGAGGATATTCTTTTCATGTATGTGTTTCTTCCTGTCAAAATCAGTTAATAGTAACAATATGAATAATAATAATAATAATAATATTTTGAAGTATGTTTCAACCTTTATTCTCAAAACATATCATTTCTATCTAAAAAACATTGTTCAATACAAAAGAAATAGGAAGAAGACAAACCTGAAGAGAAAGAATCGACAATAGGAAAAGAAGAGAATATAGGTATAGAGACTAATGGAGAGTGAGTGAATGTAGGAGACACAGATAGACAGCAAGCAAATGAGGCCAGACAAGTGATGTCCAACAACAGTACTTCAAAGAAGATTCCTTGTGACAACCTCGCGGGAATCGTGTGAGCTAGCTTGACATATTAATCGGTCTTCGAGGACTCTGATGCGCTTGAGTGCACACACAGCGGCAACCATCTCAGCGGTAGCTTCAAAATTCATGTGCATGTTGGCATGAAAAGAGACTGAGAACAACCACAATGCATTCTAATGGCATGCATCGGTCATCTTTTTAATTAGAACACTAACACAATAACTTTTTGTCTTTAGCCGCCATAGCACAGGCCTACATAAATGTATAGCTTTAGTATGCCATTAGTTGTATCTATATTGTAATGATTTATTCATAAGTGATTGGATGGTTGGCGGGTTGGATACTGGACATCAAACTCAATTACTGAGCATCTAATGATGAAGTTATCTCACCTAGCATGACTCATAGAATGACTGCATTTCAACTAGGCCATTTGACAGTTAATTATCTTTTCATACTTAACCACACATGACAAATATATAGATCAAGATAGTATTTAACTTTGTGTTCTACTTTACTATGGTTAATAGATTGGAAATTTTAATTAATATAAAAAGAATTGAGAAAGACCCAATTCATGTATTAACTAACTTCAATCAAGAGTGACCTAATTTATAAATATGTGTCATCAATTTTTTTTTAAAAACCTACAGAGAACGAAATTGAAAGAAAAAAAAGCAAAATAAAATAAAACATGACATCCTCATACATCCCCGTCTTTGTCATATCACTGATAAGAACGAAGCCTTTATGGGATGGATTGCTCTGTTTTTCCCGAACCAATACCTCAATTCTGCTTTTTAGACATGCATGAAGAATGAGATACAGCTATAAATGTGTTAAATGTACAGTGAAAAGATCTATCGCAACAAAGAAGGTAAGAATAATCAAACAAATGTTTAACATTCTGAATTTAAACTACCGCAGACCTTAGAAATGGAATAAAACTTTGTTGCAAACTGATTTCTCTCCTTGTTAAGTGGGTGAGGGGAAATTGAAAGAGATTCTTTATATCTCATTAAACCAAATACACAGCCTAGTTGTGGTTTACTTCAAGAACAAGGTAAACTGTCTATACCGAAGCAATCGTTAATGGAGGGTGAAATAATAGCTTTTGCAGAACTCGTCAACTTTGGCACTATTTGTGCAAGCGTTTCCAAAACCACAACACTGATTACTTGTCCTATTTCTCAAGACTATTTAATTTGAGAAAGGAAAAAAGAGAGACTAGAAGCTTGTTAAAAAGATAAAATGTCAATGTAAACTAGTTTATAGGAGAGGGTATCATGATTCAGACACAACAAGTGTTTTAATTATACTTGGGAAGAAACCAAATATTGTCCTTTGTTTGAAAAGTTTTTACTGGTACTCTTCAAGATGCCCCTCACCAACTACCCCCCCCCCCCCCACTGCCCCTAGGGCTTGAGGAAAACAAATCCTTCAGTCTTAAGAAGACTAAAGAACTTTTATGTTTGTGTTTTATAAAGTAGAAATATATATATCAGATACAAAAGATCAATGTATAAATGGATTGGAAATGACATGTTCAATGTTTTAAACTAAACTACTCTAGCACACATTCAAACATGATATAAAATAAAAAGGACTTCCAAGCATCAAAAACTGTATTATCATTAATTATAATTCATAATAATCATTTATTGAACAATTTTTACAACTAACTTATAATTTATCTTTGGGTTTTTATTCTTTGCCCAACTAAGTTCTTTTACGTCTTCCATTTAAATAATTTTTTGTTCTCACTTGATTTCTCTTGAATAGAAAAACTACTGGACATTTGATAAATACAGGTCACATGTTTCAGAATAAACAAGAGGATAATTAATACTATGTATACATCATATAATATAATCTTTTTTATACTGACTCATCAACCCCCAAAACAATCGTGAATGAATAAAGGCAAAGTCGTAAGTACATGTATATAAAGAGTTCCTTTAAGATTGTTATGATGAAGTCACTAAACCAAGAAACATATAAATTACTCAGCATTTAATAGCAGACTTTATCTGATGCCCTGAAGGATCATTTAGCCTATAAAACTCTAAAGTCTATTATAAGTCTGGTTTTGATCCTTGAAGCAAGTTCAACAGAATTACACATCACTTTTTGAAATGACGTTAATACTTTTTTTTAGGGGGGGGGGGGGACAGGTGGACTTAGGCTTGGTGGGGATGGTTGCATTGTGAACATCAACAGGGTTTTACATAGCACCTATATGAAACAAAAATTGATTAATAATTGCATTGCTCAAATTCAATGAAGACAAAAGCTCATCGTCTAAATCAGATGACTAAACAAGTGCATTGGTATTTTCCGGAAGTTTCTTATAAAGTTTGTGATGTAAAATATGAGAGGACATGAAACAACCTTTCCCTTGCATAAATCTCATACAGAAGATTAATCAACCTGTTTGCGAAAGAAAAAACAACATAGAAAAAAACATTTACCCCCCCCCCACCCCCAAATAAAGAATAAATATATAAATAAAATTAAAGTGACAGTACTTGTCTAACATGGTAGAATCTTCATAAAATGCTCTCATCACGTCTACCTAAAAAGAACAAAAATAGCTGAATATTTCTCTTATAAATGAAATGTATTCATTATAAATGAAATATATTCATATTCAAATTCTCATTTAGCAGGGGATTCTTTAGGGAAATATTCATCCTATGTATACGATATACCTTGCTCTTATAACAAAGTACATTGGAGTGTCATGCCCTAGTACATTCCTTGCCTTCAGAAAAAAAGGCTTGACAGGTTCATTAAGCAAGGGTGACAATTAGACACATTACTTGACCCATTTACTCAACACTTCTAAAGTGGTGAATGTTTCTCTCTCTCTCTCTACACTTCAGACAAGTGGTGCAGATGAATAAGGGGTAGTATTGCTGAGACTCTTATCCGCCTAGGGGACTATACTTCATTGGGGTGGTGATTTACCCCCGCCACGTCTCCCCTGTAACCCCGTATCATGTTAGCTGGTATCATCTGTGTACGCCCAGCTAAATTAACTAAGCGTACCCATGAGGGTTAGATGAGTAAATAAGACTGATAACAACCACAGGCCGGGGAGCAATATAAGGATCGTTAGACAACCAAAATTGGGTCAGCTTTGCACAGATCTGTAAGGAAGGCATTTTTTTTTCCTTCTCCATTTCTAGCATCGTAGTAAAGCGGATACGCCCGAGGGCATATCGCAAGTCACAAGTCACTGCACTTGTTGGTGCCTCATCTCGCGCAAATTAGTGAGAGCAAAAAGAGAAAAAAAATTGGAAAACCCCTTCAGAGCAATCGAAATTAGAGTGCAAGAAAGGAAAGAGGGGGTTTGAATGATCACTGATGGATTGTACTTGTTGAGATCAAGAGATCTTATGAATTTTTATACCTCAGGTAGGAGTTACACATTTTGGAGCAAGATTTGTCAAGAAATGGGGTTTATTTCCCCCCTGGGGAACGTTAAGAGTACAAAAACTAATATTCTTGGTCTTGTGAGAGAAGTAGAGCGTGCATTGGCTGGGATGGATTTCTATAAACAAATCTTTGGAGAACGGTTAGGGTACAGGGGGTGGTTTAACAGCGCCGGTAACCAGAGAAATTAGGCGGAAATTGTGGCGATACATCAAGATGCTTCATATAAAGCAAAGCTTCACTATGAAGATTCTCTCATTAGCCTGAATTCTGCCAAGAAAATGAATTTGATTGATTTGCATTGGATTGGTTTAAACGGCAATAGGCCATCAGCCATTATTTCCTGCCCTATTTCTCTTGAAGCAATTTTAAGCCATGCAACAACCAAAAACAAAACAAAAAGAACTGGAAAAGATAAAATATCAAGAAAGAGTTTATAAAAAGTTAGATAAAAGGAGTTCAATGATCTATGACTTTTGAAAATTCTTTGAAATATATTCTTGGTCAGGTTTAATATATCTTCATATTTTACCCAGAGTAATTTCTGATGGTTGTAATGTATATAATTTATATCACTTCCAGTTGATTACTATGATTGTCAGTGGCAGATCTAGATCTGCCTGGCTAGACAAATATTGGCCCCAAAAAGTACAATATACAACTTAATACAAGAGTGTGCTTATGTACCCCCCCCCCCTCCTTCAAAATTATGGATTTTCAATTTGTGTTCTGCTCTCTAAGGTGTATCCAAATATTTAGAAAACAAAGGAAATATCTTTTTGACCTCTCCTATTTTATCAACATTATGTGTTATCTTCAGAACAAACATATAACCAATTTCTGTGCATTATTTCCATGATTCTATAACTCTCCAAGATCTGTATCAGCTGCAAAATAGTATGTGTTTACTTCCCTGTACCCCGAGGCTAAGTATGATCATCTTCAGATGATTAGGATCCCCAACCGTAC